GGGTGAGGACAACTATATATATTTCACGCAGAAAGCCGATTTCGACTTTAGGTTCTTCATTTGTCAGGCAAAGTTATCTTTGGAGTTTCTGAGTGCTACAATACACAAGCGATTCCAAAATTGTTCTTTTAGGTTGTCCGGAAATTAATGTCCGTTTTGAATTTCAACCGCAACAAGTCATACACTTTTCACCTGAATAGCTTTCAAGGTATCATTCGATAGAGCAAAGGAAGCTCTACAAGATGGCTGTCTTGCCTTAGCAACAGCTCTGATCCACCTCGATTTTCGAGCCAAAAACTAAAAAGATTCAACTGCCCGAAAAATCAAGAAAAATCATAATTCAGTTCGTAAGAATTCCACAAAAATTCTAACTTGCTCACGTAAACACTATCCACATAAGACATATATGTATGCTATTACCGTATTTTTTCCTCTGTTAGAAATCGAAAAAACGAAAATTTTCATACTTTTGCAAAAGTGATGCTGTGTCGTTTCCACATAAGTAGATGTGTACTACAAATCTGTAGAAGTATAAACGTAAATTCAGCTCTCTACAAGCTTTAGTTCTCGAGAAATATCGGATATAGCTTTCATTAGTCAGGTGGTCCAAACTAAAATTCAAATTTCTCGAGAACTAAAGCTTGTAAAAAGCTGAAAATCCACGTTTTTACTTCTACAGATTTGTAGTATACATCTACTTATGTAGGGACGACACAGCATCACTTTTGCAAAAGTATGAAAATTTTCGTTTTCTCGATTTCTAACAGAGGAAGAAATACGGCAATAGCGTACTATATGTCTTATGTGGATAGTGTTTACGTGAGCAAGTTAGAATTTTTGTGGAATTCTTACGAACTGAATTATGATTTTTCTTGATTTTTCGGGCAGTTGAATCTTTTTAGTTTTTGGCTCTAAAATCGAGGTGGATCAGAGCTGTTGCTAAGGCAAGACAGCCATCTTGTAGAGCTTGCTTTGCTCTATCTAATGATACCTTAAAAGCTATTCAGGAATGAAAAGTGTATGACTTGTTGCGGCTGAAATTCAAAACGGACATTAATTTCCGGACAGCCTCATACTTAAGGCCCCGGTCAGACTTCACGCGACTTAATCGTCGCGATCTAATCGCCAAGATTTCCATTCATTTTCATCTCACATTCAAAAATTTCGGGCTGGAAAAGTATCACAACCGAACGCAAGTTGATCGGCATGGAATGATGTTGTAACAGTTGTCTCGTCGCGATTCAGTCGCGACGATCAAATCGCGTGAAGTCTGCCCGCGCCTAACGGCAAAGTGCGCGAAAACGCAAAAAAATGGTGCAGAAGGGTATGGTGCAAAAGCGTCTGTCTTTGTGAGAAAGGAAAATCGCTTGTGGTATGACAAAAAATTCTCGAAGCACTTACGCATACCCTAAGAGCAATCACCGTATCAAATCTGCAAGACCAGAAGGCTTCATAGGTATCGAGGAAGAAATAAACCTTCCACTTGGATGTGTAAGAATTGGAGGAAGGGAACTATAACTGTCTGTCTCATAATCCGTATGAGAAATACGTTAAATAAAGAGTATTGAAAGATCCAATGCTTTCGAAGGAGTTGAATGACTACATGATTTTGAATCACAATGTAATTTTAAGACTTTATACTGCAACAATATCTGCAAAGCAAAGTATGGACGCACCTTGTAGTATTGCCAAATCGCGTCGCGACTGAAATCGCGTGATGTATGCCCGGCCCTTCAACCAGAGCAAGGTCACTACTGCGGAACTACTCGCTGAGTTTTTTTGCGGCGTACGCAAAGCGCTAACACAATCAAAAATCAGGGCGGCGCTGGAGACAGCCTATGCGAAAAAACCGTCTCCCGTTCTGTTGTGCATTTTGATCCTAGGAGGACAAAACTTTCTGTAATCATAGCTGGTTTTTTCCTGTTGATCTCTAGTCACCACTTCTAAGTCGCAAATGCTTCTGAATTATTTGCAAAAAAAACTGGTTTTATTTCGTTTTCTCAGCTTGTAATTCGCAAGACCTGCGATACATGTCTTTTGCAGAGACCTTCCACCGCGTGCTCCAACTTCTCCGCACTGCAGGGCGACCACCAAGGCTAATCGAAGGTCTATAATTTACATCTTCATACACCCGAGTTCTCCACCATGACCAACGACTTTGGAAACTACATGAGTTGATCCACGCCATTAAAAAAAGACTCAAAGAGGATTTCCATTCTTTCTTCAGCCACGGCCAGAATGACAATAAAGCGCTGACTGAAAATTCTTACCTGCAAACTTCTCATCAGCTGACAAGCATCACTAATGAACTCACCGATGACATACTTGTTATGGGTGGAGGACATTAGGTCGCCGGTCCCGCCGAACATCTGCATCAAATACACATTCCAATGCATGTACAGGCTGAGTATCTGCTGCATTGTCCGCGCGAGACCTTCTCACTTTCAGCGACCTAATGTCTTCCACCCGCTGACTGAAAATACCTACCTGCAAACTTCTCATCAGCTCACAAGCATCACTAATGAACTCACGGATGACATACTTGTTATTTCCAGACACGGTCTCTTCGTGCAAGCAATCCTACAATTATCAGATGCGCTCCTAAGCCACTTCTGAACCCACTTTATTGCGCTGCAAACTTCTACTATACAAAGCTCGCCATCACCAAATAATCTCTTTACCAAAAGAATAACCACAGGGGGCTTTTTCAACGTTGACTGTTTGCAAAAGCTGGGCATAAAAATACTGAACTAGCTATGATGAGCTAGAATGCTCGAAAAAGAGAATCAAGCATAAGCTGTCTACAGAAATGCTCTCCAAAACATATGATAGCCCCCAATGTTGAGAAACGGGTAAGGATAATAAGCTTTCTTCTTGTACGAACTGCCGAGCTGCGCAGCTGTCCAGAAAATTGAGCCCATTGTTGATATTCTGGCAGCTGTTCAGAAGTCAACTTGTACTTCAGCAAGCGCTTTTACTGCTGACGCATTTCCTTCCACATTGTTCTGAGTTTTTCAAATGCAACAGCACATTATACTATCGTAAAATATAGGGCACTTCAGTGCAACTCACTAATACCTTAATGCTTTTTTTACTCCTCAAAAACCTAGCCTGTGCTGCGGTAAGCAAATCCATAACCTCATACTCTTCAGAAGATGAGTCCCAAATGGCTCTCCTTTCTGCTTCATATAAAAGTGCCTCTCTCCGTGTGGAGTTGTACGAAGCGACAAATGATCCCTACCAACACCATTTGATCATTCCTCTGCTGGTTTCGGTGTTGTAGCCCTCGTGCATTGTTGATCAATGATGAAATGCAGAGAGAGCCTGGGGTTGGAAAGGAGGCAGTCGCAGTCCATGGAGCAGGTTTTAACGAAAAGTTTTAGAGTTATCAAAGACAGTGAGTTGATGACGGAAGAAGGTACAAAAGAAATAATTGCATATTTCAAAAGGGAAAAAACGTGATAACTGAGTATCACGCCTAGACTGAAGACATAAGATTTATCGCATATAAGGGTGACTCAATGCTGATGTGACTAGTTGTTGATGAACTCCTGTGTTTCAATCCCTAAAAACGTTATCAAAGACAATGAGTTGATGACGGAAATTACAAGTTCTTTCGTAAGCCCACTGAGATTACAAAACCACCAACCTGTGTTAGTACATCGTTACCTAAACTCATGTTTCCAAGCACCGGAATTTCGAAAAAAGCAAATTGTACTTACTTTCGCAAGTCTTCTTCAATGGGTAGCTTTTCAATAGTGATGCGCTGAAAGAATTCGAGTAGTCTGAGCTCAACTTTTTGAGTGATGGATGCAAAATTAGAGATTGCGATTTGTGAAGCATGAATTAAGTCGGGAAAGGATTAGAATAGATTGATTTTGACAAAGAAATGAAATAGGAGACTGCAAAATACAAAAGAGCACCACTCTTTTGCAACACCTAAAAGATTGCGAAATTCGACTAGCTGCAAAATCAGAACCAAACAGAAAAGCATAGAGATTAGGAGATTTATAACAAAATGCCTTCTTTTGCAACTATCTTGAATAAGAATGATTCGCATAAACAGTTCCAACTTTTGCATTACCATTACCAGATGGATTAAGGCAGAATCACCCACCTTTTCCAAGGAAAGCCTAAATCGCATTACAATTTCAGCAGGTGTATTTGTTTGATTTAGTTCAAGACGATTGTGGAGACAACGCAGCGGCTTTCTCAAACACAAGGAGTATTCAACAAAAAAAAGAAAACGAAGGCGTGCACGAATGCACATCTTCACGCACACAGTAGCTAAGCAGCTTTTTTTCTTCCACACTGCTTCAAGCTAAAGATGACAAAGGAAGGTCAAAATTAGAGAACTCCACGTTTAATTCACTGTAGTATTAGGCTTTCTTCTGTCATATGAAACCGAATAAACCATCAAAACCTTGAAGCCTTGCAAAAGCAGCGTAGAGCAAAACCGTTGTCTTTATGCAGGCAGAATACTGGAGAACGAAATCGGCTTGAAGACAATGTCCGGGCAAGTTGGCAAGATGGGGGTTTTGGGATTGCATTGACATGTGAGAGTGCCCCCCCCCCTCAGACACGACATCGCGCAAATGCGACGTCATAACCAGGGTTGAGAGTGGGGCCAGGCGCGCCTGACCTGGGGGGTCGTATTAGGGGTGGAACCGGGGGGGGGGGGTCGTATTTGGGTGGTAGGATCAATCGCCCAAAAACTATGAAATGCAGCACTTTTTCTCCAGGTGCAGTGCTAAGAAAAAGTCATCTCTCTTCATTACCGTTGCCTTTATTTAGTTCCGCTTATTTTAGCTAAGGTGAGGAAGTTACGAACATTGTTACTGAGCAAGAAAATGAACTCTTTTCTTAATTTGCTCTTTGCAGGTGTTCAGACGGCTGCACAAAGGATTTGATTACAAATATCATGATTTTGTATATAACAAACTCATTGCTTGATTTTTGCGAAGTTCGAGCTAGTAAAAAAAAATAAAGATTCAAATACATCAACACTGAATGCGAAATAAAATATTTATCCATTCTGGTTTTGTGGGTGATCCGACAGAAAATATAGACATTTTGGCGAGTTCTTCCTGCAGTACTCTGTTTTTGATATCATCGGCGTCCTCTCTCGCATTGAGTCCGTGGACTACCATGTGACGCCTTACATGCAGTTTGGCTAATTCACGAGCGTCACCTAGATAACAATTTCAAGAGTGCAAAGTACGAAAACACATTCTGACCGAGGTTTTGCGAGGTTTTCCTTCACTTATGTCATTAGGCTGCCCCTCTCGAACAAGAGTGGATGGCATTCCGGGACTAAGGCCGAGACCTGGAGCAGGATGCATCCAGAAGCTAGTTGTTGTACCTTTACAGTAAGAACACTAGGTCCATTACGTTGCACCCTAGAACACATAGGAACACCGAAACGCTCGAAATGTCAAAAGAGTTCACGTCATAATGTGATCAAGAGTTTTAATTTTTATCTTGCTTCTTTCGTCCCTCGAAAGCCTATTAGCGGCGGAGAAGCTGCGTTCGGGGTCCGCATTGCTGCCAGGAAGAACAATTATGCATTTTATGGCCTACAAGGAAGTATATTAGATATTGCTGAGGAAAACAAAATAATCGTACCTGTTCTACTTTATCTGGAATATTCATTTCCTTACTATTCTGCAGTAGCGTTCGATAAAAGTGTAGACTATCTGATTGCTCTCTAAAATTTGAGGGCCACTTCAAAAACTTCCGAGGAGATGCCGGTATTGTGTTGTAAAACTGAATCATGCTACTCCTCAAGTCCGGAATATTGCAGTATTGCTGAATGGCGTCGATAGACTCAAAGATAAGCCGCTGACGGAGACGTGGGTCGAGGGTATTTGTTTCCATGTCGACATAGTTTGGACATCCTCTATTTAAAAAGTTGGCGTTCTCGGGTACATATTCAGCAAATGCAGTCTCGAAATCTCCATTTAAGTCGATTATATCAAGGTTTATGTGCCTTTCGAGAGCTACTAAGTCATTGTGGTTTAGCTCGTGCGACTTGCTTACCAAGTGAAGAGTTAAAGCTTCTTTCATATCACTGTAAAATGTCTTGATGCTAGAATAAACGGCAGTATCCCTGGCAAACTCTTTGTACTGTCTGCTCAAGCTACAATCTTGTAGCTCAAGTGCGCTACTTTCTGGTGCATCCTCAAGATCGAAGTTCAATCAGACTCATCTACTACACTCGCTATGGTTCTGAAGGACACGTCGTCGAGATCTCGGAAACGGTGATAGTCAAGGAGTTCACGTTTCTCTTCATAAGATTCTGTGCAACGGTCAGGAGATTAGTCGGAGAATGCGCGAGGATTATACGCTAAAATACGTTTATTTGTATCGTAGTAGTTTTCGAGTACACTCAAGTCGAGTCGAACAGGCTGATCATTCTCAACGGCCGGAATCGTTCCTTGTTCAAGTAAGCTCCTTGTGGTTTTTTGCGACAGGGTTTCCTTTGATATGGTGTAAATAAGAGTTCTCCGTTTCTGTAAATTGTCAACAAGCAGCCCCTCTTCGCGTTGCATACTTTGAGACAGAATGGAGAGTTCATGCATCGTAGTGTTGAGATGGTGCAAGGCTATGTAAGTTCTCGGATCTGAGAGTATCATATGTGCCAGTCTTGCTCTAATTGTGAGACCGCTCGGCAGCCGTCTGTTGCTTCGGATGTCAATGAGAGCTTGAAGGATTACTGGATAAACGCGAAGTATATAATGGAATTGGCGAAGCTGGCTGACCATCTTACTGTAAAGAGGGCACTCATCTGTAAGTCTGGAAAGCACATCTTTTGTGCAGCTTTTTTGTAAATGCTCTTGCCAGTTGTTCTGACGGTCGATCCAAATAAATGGTACAGCTCCATAATAACCCTTTGAGCCAGCTTGAACAATCTTCCTTTTTGTGCCTTCACTGCTAAATTCAGTTTGTGGGCCATACACACTGTTACCATCAGCGTTTGTCGTGAATGTAGATCTGAAGAGGTTTCATGGGCAACCAGCTCTTTCAATTTTGCAAAAACACCAGAAATTTGGCCGCTCATTACAGCTGCACCATCGGAGGACATTGCCAGCATGTTCCGCATTGCATGATTTCTGAAGGTGGTAGAGAGACCAGGCTATCTGAAACATCTCAGAAAGGATGTGAAAAAGCACCTTCGGTGTTTGGATCTTGCATTTTTTTGCAGTAGTTCACGCGATTTGACCGTCGCGGTATCGCCGCGATTTGCTTTCATTTTCATTTTACATTCAAAAACTTCGGGTTGGAAAAGTACCACAACCGAAATGCAAGCTGGTCGCCATGCAATGAACTCGCATCAGTTGTCTTTTCGCGACTGAATCGCGACGATCAAATCGCGTGAACTCTCTCCGCGGCCTGAGGGAACATGGTTTTGACGCGAGTTCATTGATAATCGAGTTATTTGATTGATAGTGAATTATAGTTTGGAAGTAGGCAATTTGCGTGAGTATCCAAATGAAGTGTTCAGTCAATAGAACAGTAACCAGGGATCCATATTTTACCGTAATCCAAAGAGGCAAAATGAGTTCTCATTTTTGGTTCAATCTTTCACAGCGAATTCCTTTCTCTTTTTGCACTCAGATTAAGATGCTGCTAATTCGCAAAGCTGTTGAAACCCGGGCCATCGTCCGGTAAACCCAGTTTTTTTCTCTCCATATAGCTACAGTTGGTGTCAATACGTACTCCCCTTTTCCAAAGCAGTAACGTGTCCGCAAAGTGAGGCCAGTTTGAATGCTCAGGTTGAACGCGCGCGACCGTGGCGCGCAGCTCTGACGTAGCGACAGCGTCGCCGAAGAAGGGAGTACGTGATTGTCATAGACTGTAGTAATCTTTGATTACAAATGCAACCATTCAGTAATCAACTCGCAGAAGCTATTCAAGGTTTTAGTAGCATCCTTTTTTTGTACGCTTCTATACCCGGTAGTTTCTCATAGATTTTTTTTTGTTCAGAGCCACTTTTCAAAGTCGTAAGGTCAAAGGACTAGATCTGCGAAGACTGCGAAGCGATGAGCCTCAAATGAAGATGCAAGGACCAACCCTGCGAAGACTGCAGAGGGATGAGCCTCCGATACTCGAAGAGATACTCGTCCGCTTGATGAGTTTAGCGAAGACTCCTCCCGATTTGACAACGAACCAGTCGTCCTTTGAGCTCTGTCGTTAATAAATAAAGAGTTTATTTTCACGGTTTTGCTCTCGTACACTGGTCATCTCCTAGCTCATTATCGCTAGCTTTCTTCTGTCATCCTCTGCATTCCAAATCATCTTCACTTTCAGATCTCGCATCTACGGGTTTGCTATTGCTACTAATTTCTACAAAGTAAGTTTTTCGTGGAGTTGTATATTTTCTGAAACTAATAGCGTACTTTAGATGATCGACAATAACGAGCAGGGAATATCCCTGATTACTTTGGTGAAGAATTTGAACGTAAAAGTGAGCCTCATGGAGCTGATCATTATCCTTCTTATCTTGTTTACCAGTGCGTCACCTCTGCTTCGCAGAGGCTCGCACTGGGCCTACTTTGTACGCCTTGCTCATTCCCGCCTAATAATGACACTAAAACTCACAGCGCTATGCAGGCTATCACGAATGATTTGTAAACACAACTATTCATTCCGAGAGCTTCTTTGTGTGAGATCGGTATTTTGGTGGTTGAAACTTTTCCGAGAAGAATAAATGCAAATTTGAACCGGTTTTGAAACTTTTTATGGTTTGGTAGTCACCATAACGACGACGGTCACCGCGGACTACATCTCTATACAAAAATCTTCTCAAATGATCAGGTAAACTCTTGGCAAATTGAAAAATTTACGCAACTACTTTTTCGGCGCCATTTTCGTAAAGTAATCAACTTTAGTTCAATTTTTTGGGCTGAAGATTATGGCTTGCACATTAGCTTGTTAATCATATCCAGACTTCGCAAAAAATGGTGATGCAGGCCCAATTTTGCTGGCCAGAAGACGAGTGGATCCGTTTGAAGCGCATTTTTTGAGGGATCCACCCAACGGATCCACTCGTGCTTTTGCATAGCGGACTTTCATGCTGCTAGCATGCGCCACGCAAAATTTGGGCTCTGAACGTTGGCTGGAACACGCTCCTCGAATTTCGTAACGGACAGACACACACACACACAAAAACACGTAAACAACCCTTAGCCCGTTATTATAAGTCATGATGGTAAGTTCGTTTACACACTTTTATTTAGATAAATTTTTTCAGTTTTTTATAAGCTATCTGGCGGCCAAGCTGATCATCAACAAGCAATCTAGCGGAGGAGGCGCGGGAGGGGGGCGGGCCTCCTCCCATACTTCGACCGACAGATGTTATCCTACCAATCTCCCTCGCCACGCACTCAAAGTGTTACCATCCAGTAGCGATGTTTTTTGTTAATGTTGCGATGTTTTTTTCGGAATGTAAAAGATACATCTAGTATTTCTTTTGTTTCGGTAATAAATGTGGATATGTTCTGATAATGTGGTGTGTTACAAGAATTTGAGAATTCGTCATAATTCGCCGAAAAAAAAACCCAAAAGCGTTCAAAAATGCCCGAAAAGGCCCAAAAAGCCCGAAAGAGCCGGAAAGCAGAAACGAAATTATGGTCGAATTTTGACGTTATTTTTACGTGCAGACATCAGAAAATGAAGCAAAAAGACTCGTTGCGAAACCAACAATAGCGTTAACGTCAAAAGGGGAGGGGGCGTTCCTGCTCTTTCTGGCGCTTTTGGGCTTTTCCGGGCTTTTTTAGGCTTTTTTCGGCTTTTCCGGACTTTTTTGGGCGCTTTTGGGCTTTTTTCGGCGAAGTATGACGGGTCCCTTACACAGAGAAGAAACCTGCGAGCTTCGGGGGGGGGGAGGAAGGGGGGGAGGGAGGGGGGTCGTATCTAGCACGGCCATGGGGGGGGTCGTATTTGGCGGCCTTGCGCCTGACCTCTTGCTCAACCCTATAACGCTAGACCTAAAGCGAGAAAAACGACAGGAAAGTGGGGGTATTTACGTTTTGGGGCGGGGTCCTCCGAGCTGTCCGAATTCCTGCTATGCGGCAGAGTACGCATGCCACCACAGCTAAAATGTAGGGTCCCGCAGCGACCCTGCGTCTCTGCCTTGGTGGGGATCGTCAAATTCGAATTGCGCGGCTAATGCATGTGCTCGCCATTTTCGCGCCTTCTAATCTGGATTTTCGGATTCAGCGTCGCGGATAACCCCGATAAGTGGATTTTTTAGAAATCGAGTTTTTGCCCGAACACTGCCTTCAATTTGAACGCTAATGCTAATGCGGAAGCCGACCTTTGTAGAATTTGGGCGCACGAATATCAAATCCCGTGAATTGCAAGTTATTTATTTAGATGTTATACACTGTAAGGCATGGTGCACATGGGTTTTTGCTCCTTTCCAAACAATTTTTACTCCAACGTCTATGTTACGTAGTTAGGTTAAGGTTCGAAATCACTGCCTAGATTTCGTACAGATTTTTTGACCAAAGCTTCTGATGGTGTAAGCATATTTGTCCGTGATTAGAGTTAGCCAAATCTCAGCTTTAGATGCATTTGTGCATGAGCTAACGACAACTTGAAAATCACGTTAGAAGTATTTTAACTTTGCTACGTTTGAGGTATACATCACCGAAGTAATCGAACCAATAATGCTGATGCCTCCGCTGTTGTACGCTGAATGCAAAAATGATTTTTGCACTCTCATTTTCCCTGTGTCGAGCCAGTTAGAGGCTATGTTTTCTTTTACAGTCGAATCATCTCATATGATTATGTGTGTCACTGCACACACTGTTCACCTTTGGCGTCCCCATCTTGGAACTGCAATCGTAAAAACGAAAGAGACCGACCTATTGTTATCGCTCACATCACTTTGTGAAGATTGGTACCTAAAAAGGAGAAAGATTTGAAGAAAACATCAGAGATACTTAGCAGAAGGGCTGTCTGTACTTAAAGGCGGTAGGTCGGCAGAATGAGACCCGTGGCAAAACAAGGTCACAGGGTAGGAGCCCTCATAATGGAACCTATGGGCCAAAATTCGATCTTTCTCTGCCACTCCTAACCCTTAAAATTTCAAAGCGAAAGCAGCGCTCATCTTCTGTCCTTTCCGAACCCGCCCACCCCTTGGACGAGTGAACGCGAAGCCCGCCATGGCGAAGACGCAGAGTCGTTGCGGGACCTCATGCTTATAGCATTGCGGCTGGCGCTCTGACCGCGGAAGTCACTCGTCCATGGGGTGGGCGGGTTCGGAAAGGACAGGAGATGAGCGCTGCTTTCGCTTTAAAATTTCGGGGGTTAGAAGTGGCAGAGAAAGATCGAACTTTGGCCCATAGGTTCCATTATGGGGCTCCTACCCTGTGACCTTGTTTTGCCACGGGTCTCATTCTGCCGACCTACTGCCTTTAAAGGCAGTGGCAGACTGGAGGTATCTGGCTCTCGTAATAATATAATGGTAGACCCCTTACCTAAGCGATAACTAAAGTTCGGAGCGAAAAAGAGGGTCTACCAAGCCTGAAATTTGCTCCGAAAGTGGCCCGAATCTTACGGTAGGCTTGAATGCCGCCCGCACAGCGATTTCGAACTGCAAGGCCAAAGCACGCATAGCGTGCTTTGGCCTTGCAGTTCGAAATCGCAGTACGAGCGCAGGTTCCCGCAACGACTCTGCGTCTCTACCCTGCATCCACCTCGTACTCGCCTGAGCCTACAGTAAGATTCGGGCAACTTTCGGAGCAAATTTCAGGCTTGGTAGACCCCTTTTTCGCTCCGAACTTCAGTCATCGCTTAGGTAGGGGGTCTACTATTACATTAATACTAAAGCCAGATACCTCCAGTCTGGTGGGACATTGCCTTTGAAATTCCGGATGAGGACGCCAAAGGTGGACAGTATGTGCAGTGACAGACATAATCATATGAAATGACTTACATGAGGTGGTGATAAGATTGTCTGGAGGGATTACGCACGGAAAAAACCAAACGTTAAGGCTCAACTTTCCTCTTCTACAAGTTCAACATAGAAAATAGCATGACGTATAATAAAGCGCTAAACGTCTGTCTTTTTGTGCGTGTGTGTGTGTTTGTGTTTGTCTGTCTGTCACGAAATTCATAGAGGCAGCTGCAGCCAAGCTATCGAGCTACAATCTTGCATAGCATACCGTACCAGCATGAGGCCCACCATGCACAAGGACGAGCCGGTTCGATAAGCGGGTCCTTCAAAAATTGCGCCTCAAACGGGTCCACCTGGCTTTTGGCGCGCAAAACTAGGTCACAAATTCAACTTTTTGCAAAGCCCTGATTTGTCTGACAAGCAAATTTGCGCTCCAAGAATTCTAGCTCAAAAAGTGCTCAAAAAGTTTGCTTTTCCGCGAAAACAGCGCCAAAAAGTAGTGATCGCGTAGAGAGTCGATTTGACAAGGTTTTACATAAATATCTGAAAAGATTTTTGCATGGAAATGTAGCCCAAAATGACTATCATCTTCATAACAATTATCAAGCCAAAATAAATTCAATAATCTGTTTGAATTCGTATTTATTTCTCGGCAAAAAAGTTTTCTATCTCAAAATTACCGATCTTGCATGGAGATGCTTCAAGAATGAACAGTTGTTTACAATTCATTTATGATGTACAGCCTCCTCAGACACTCGCACCGGCCGGCGACCGTCCGACGACGGCCTTCCGGCTGGCGACCGTTCCATAAATCTGGGCGGAGCTAAATGCCGGCCGGTGACCGTCCCAAAAGATCATGCCGGCCGGCGACCGTCCCAAAATTCTATCTCCCAGTGTCTTAGCGTAAAGGATACTTGCGTGAGATACGACGCATGGTTAGGCTACCCTCAATGCCTTGTATGTTCTTCAATTTCCGAAGCAGGAACAAGGCAACATGTTGTCTTATAGACAACCCTCGATAGTATCTCGGTGTTGTCGAATTTTAAAATCGGACGTGGTCTCCGAAGCTGCTACATCAGCGGCCTTGATTTTTGTTCTTTGCAGTGTATTTTCCTATATGCCAGTGAATAAAAGACAGTACCATGTAAAACAGTTCTACCGTTCCTCAGTATACACCGGCTGGCGGCCGTACCTTTCCGGCCGGCGGCCGTCCGAATACCGGCCGGTGGTCGTAGACTACGCGGCTGAGTGAAATTGACACCACCCCCACCGGCCGGTAGTCGGACGGTCACCGGCCGGTGCGAGTGCCTGAGTCGCGCGGTGAGTTTCAAAGTCATCATTTTGGGAACATGAATAAGGTATACGGATAACAGAGCCAGTGTGAACCCGCGAAGCGGAGGTGACGCACTGGTCATAACAATATGCGGCCTAAACCTCACCTGCAATAATGACATCGTACTCAATATAAACAACTGATAAGCGGTAAGCACAGGAAACATGATCGTTGTTATTCATTTGCTGAACATTGGGTATCTCAATTTCTCACAGTCAGCATTGACGAACGGTCTGCTACAAAGTCTACAACTACTAACAACAAGTCTCGTTAGGTATGCGTCACAGAAAATGATTGAAGTTAGCGGACGCCTCCCTTTGTAGATGACAAAAAAGAAGTCGAATGGATTCATGTTCTTCGCGGATTCACGTCGTGCCTTCTACGAAGCCGAAGCTGGTTGCAACTTTGGCTCGAAAAGGCTCGTCGAGCGAGCTGCTGACGACTGGAAGCAGATGAGTCACACTGAACAAGAGCACTGGAAGACAGAAAGCAAGCGCAGGGCCGAGGAACAGGTGAAGCAGCAAAATTGGAGATTTCTAGTTTTTGTGAGGCTGACTCCAAAGATTTATGCCATATGGAGTGGGAAGATAACGACTGGTCTAAGCAGTTAATCAGAACGTTTTTTTGTAGATTATTGCGTCATGCAAAAATTGTTAGCAACATATATCGGTCTGCTACAAAAGTTCAGTTCTCCCTTATAGCTCAAGAATTGGCAAGCATCTTACCTGGGAGCCCCACTCAGCGTAACCAATCTGATTGTGAAAGATTGCAAAACTCGATCGTTTCAAGAATTGTAAAAGCTATTTCGTGCAGCCTGCTTTCGCCCTGCTTTATTGGTAGACGCATTATTAAAGCGGTGAGTCGTGAATACATGCAAGCCAATGCAAATGTGCCCTTAATACGGTACCGACAATTATGAATTTCGCGGCCTTGCATGAATCACCTCCTGCGGACACTGTCTAAGCCAGGAGCCCATAATCACTCTCTAAGTAAAATGCCAATTTTGCCTGGGCCTTGATTTAGCATATCAGCCGGAGTCTGGCGGTATACCCGCCGCCTTGACAAGTCTTGATTTTATGGGATACTAGCCGGTATCCCCTGCTCTATCTGAGCTGTCTCACTAGCCGCATACTGCTTTTCAAAGTTAGAGCAGGCTCTCATTTGCAAGAGCCGCCGGTATCCTTTACTTAAATTGAAAATGAACCCTCCCACTGGTTTACGTCACGGTGTTTGATACCAAACGACAACCATTTTCATTTTGAAATGCCAGAAATCGATAATTCGATTAAGAAATCAGTGAATTGCTGCGGAAAGTGGCCTATGGTCTCCGCTGGAATGAAAATGTACGTGTGCAAAGTTTAGCACTAGCTGGTTTAATGGCGCGTGCATCTATAGCGAACTAACATTTTGACGAACACACAAAGTTTGAGTTTTGATTTTACCAGCGCGTCACTTCTGCCTCGCTGAGGCTCGCACCGGTTTCCCCTTGTTTATATCTAACTTTCTTATGTTCGCATAATGGCTATGAAACTCACCTTGTGATGCTGACCATCACAAAGGAATCGTAAACAACTACTCATTACAAAATTCGCAGTGAGATCGGTAATCGGTAACATTAGAAGTAGAAATACTTTTTGCGAAAGAAAAAAAAGCAAATTTAGATCATTTTCTGCATTCTGCATAAGGGCTTCACAACTGCCATAAGTGCACTGAGCAGTGGGAGGTAATCCTTGTGCAAAAATGTTGCCCTACTTGAAACCTTGCCAAATCGGCAATTAACGCGGTATGTGTATGACATTGCCCGAAAGTCATCACACTGTTTAGAAGTGACATTGTCCAGATTTGAATCGTCACTCTTCTTCGTATTAAATAGGGGCTAGACCTATGCTGACATGTCAAGCTGTTTCTTCTCGTGTAGTGTATGACTGGTTGCTATGCATTGTTTGGCTACAGAGCGCTTTTGAGTCTGTTGAATTAAATGAATTAATTTTCGAAACATCCGAGACTCAATTACTCGCGCGGCTTCGCGGTGACTATCTCACAATAAGGTGCCTTTTGGCAGGAACAGAGTAAGTACGCAGTAGCATAAGCCAGATGTTCCTAAGTACAAGGCAGCGGTGCGTTAGATTTTTAAAATTAAGTTTGAGTAGTGAGGTCATGCAGAAGAAGCCCCGCTAGAAGAAAAACTTTCCTATGCTTTCTTCTCCCAAAAACAGAAATTGTTTCCTCACCAGTGGCTGCCATTTACAAGGAAAGAATACTTGGTGACCGGGGCCTTTTGGAATGAAAGTACACCATTAAATGCATTTTGAAGCACTGATTCCAAATCTGTTTTCATTATCTGCTGTGCGCTCTTCCGAAAGAAGTTATGAACATTTCTTGCCACCAAAATTTGCACTGTTTTTGATGCATGATTTACCAATATCGTGAGAATGTTCGCTTACGCACTAGAAAAGAGCGTACAAATAAAGTAAAGTTTTCCGTTAAGCTCAGAAAACTGTCACCGATACATTAGAGGCTAAAAAGCCTGGATACTGATGATTTTGACTGCCTAAATCTCGCAAGGTCAATGTTGAAAAATCCATAACTTCGTTCAGGGAGTCGCACAGCAGATAGTGAACATAGATTTAGATTCAACGTTCCAAGATGCGTTCACTGGTATACATCTCATTTCAGAAGGCCACGGTCACCAAGTAACCTTCCCTCGTTAGTGACGGCCAAATACGTGGTGGGCACAAGATGTTAAGACTTGGCTCTGCCATTTATTTACAGTTTTCATAGTGAGTGGGCAGCCCTTACCAAACATTACAAAGTAGGTGTGCAGGTCATACACAATATATTTTTCGGTTGCCATGATGATATCAAAATCTCTGACTTCGAATACAGCTCCAGGGAATGCTTTAGGGTTCACAAAATACATCTCATCACATCCATCACCATGGTCCTCGCCAAAAACAACGAGTGATGTCACAGCTCGAAAAGGAACTGATAGAACGCGCTAAGGAGCGCGGTGTTGATAGGGCAACAGCACGTCAAACTCTGACCGATAAACTACTATGGAAGGAAAAAGACGAAGTTGTAAGTTTACAATATGCTAAGTTAACATTTCAAAAGTCCAAGACATTACAGGCGACAATTCGAATGCTCAGATGGGCACTGATTGTACTGAGCAAAGACTCAGTTGGAGTAATTCCAAATGAGATTTGTGCTGTGATGATGGAGAAGGCTGCAATTGTAGGCGAATTACGCCTAATTCGACGTGGATTTCAGCCAAGTAGATCACAAAATTGTTGCTTACAGAGCGATAGCTTAGGTTTTTAGAACCGTCAAGAAATTCACAAAATGTACGCAACATTGTATGGGATCCAAGCTTATCCTCGGACGTTAACATGGCGGCTGTACAGCTCGTTAAATTCGTTCAGGGAACCTGGAATGGTTTAGTGATGGTAGGATAGTGTCAAGTTTGTCAAATCCTCGATTGTGACTTATTTTCAACCAGTGCGACACCTCTGCTTCGCAGAGGCTCGCACTGATCCTACTATCTGTATGCCTTACTCATTCCAGCAATAATGACACTGAAACTCACGCGCAATGCCGGCTATCGCGAATGAATTGTAAATAACTACTCATTCCGAAAGCTTTTTCATGTGAATTCGGTGATTTCGCGTGGGTGAAACTTTTTGCAGAAGAACGAACGCACAAAATACGTTTTTGAGTTCTTCATGGTTCCGCTAGTCGCCATAGAACAGCACCGTGACCTACATTTTTGTGCAAAAATCTCGTCAAATGCTCTGGTAAAACCTTGGCAAAATTGATAATTTACGCAATCAATTCTTGTTGGCGCCTTCTTTCTAAAGAGTGAACTTTTGATCACTTTTTTGGGCCTGTATTTATGGCTTGCACATTTACTTGCCATACACATTCGCGACTCCACAAAAGTGGAATTACAGACTCAATTTTGCGGGCCAGAAGCAAAGTGGACCCGTTTGACGTGCAATTTCTGAGCGATCCACACAACGAATCTGCTCGTGCTTTTGCATGTTGGACTTTCGCGCCAGTAGCGTGCGCTAAAATTTGAGCTCAGAACGTTGGCTGGAATCTGCTCTACATTTCGTAACAGACACACACACAAAAAAACACGAAAACACCCTTAGCCCGTTAATATAAAAAGGATACTATTCACGGTTGCAGCTGTGATTTGCACAGACTCCGTTGTCAACTCGTATTACATTTCATTTCTAAGACTTACTATCCAATTCAAGGCACCAAGCTAGTATCAACATTCGGACTTTGGAGCTCTCATCAAACAAAAAACTATCATGAGCTCTCCTCTCGAGAATCCAGGGACACTGCTTCTTCAAATTTGGTGACTTCGGCACTTTGGAAAAATAGCAATAATACAAAGTTTGAATTGCTCAGCGCTTGCAATATCATTTTTCTGCCAGAGTCTGTCTGTGCACGCAATTGGACGCAATGGCAGGACTGACTGCTGTAAACTTGCTCTTAGGTTCCTGAACACCAAATGAGCCGTCTTGGAATCGCTATGCATTGGATGAAACAGAGCAGAGACGTCTACTGCAGACGTAAGCATTTCTTCCGTTACTAACGGTGGTTGCCAAATAATAATTTGATAAAGGTGACACCAGTACCATGCGACTAGATCGTATAATGTGCTTAGAAGATGTCATAACAGTATTTCGTGAAGTCAATGAGAAAAGTCCGGTAAGGATCGACTTCTTTTCATTGTATAAACTTGTCATTCATTTGGAACGAGGAGAATCGAACGCACATGCTGCCTCTAAGATGTGATTTAAAAGCAGTGTCCAGGGAAAAACTCGATTTATAGAAGAAAAAAATCTTACCGGGGGTTATTCGCAACGCTGAATTCGAAAAACCACATTGGAAGGCGCGAAAACGGCGAGAACATGCGTTTTTCAACGCCTTACAATTTGAAATTCGACGATCCCCGCCAAGACTGAGACGCAGAGTCGCTGCAGGACCATTTTGACTGTGGCGGCATGCGCATAGCAGCATAGCAGCAATTCAAAGAAGTCAGAGGACCCTGCCCCAAGGCGTAAGTTTCCCCAGTTCCCGATCGTTTTTCTTGCTTTAGGTGAAACGTACCTCGTACTTGCGCGATGCTGTGTTTGAGGGGAGGGGGGGGGGCACTTTCGCATGGCATTGAAATCTCAAAACCCTCACCTTTCCGGACATGCCTTTAAAAACCCGAAAAATGGAATTAATGAGTACCACAACAAAAGCAGGCGAGGTATATCGAAGTGCATTCAAGCGCTCTGGACATTTGTCTGTGAATCAAAAGTTTCCAAAATTATTTTTAATACTTCTCGTATTTGGAAAGAATTATGAGGGTATCGTTCGTTGGGAATTGTAATGTAAAACTTAAGCATACTCCTTGTCTGTAATATACTTCGAGCATAACCATTCCGCAAATTTTGTGAAAATAAAGAAGATTACTAAGGGAAAGGCGATGAAAAGTAAATACTCTAATTTCATAAGGAAAGGCATCTGTTTTTTTTTCGAACTCGACCAGCCTGTACGCATACTAAAAAATTTCGCGACCAAAGGAGCCTCTACTGCACTGCTCCTCATTTGAAAACATTGTGTGAGAGAGCAACATTGCGAGACAGTGGTGCTGCGGAGCTGTTTGTTTGAAAAAATGAAATGATGCGTTTTGCACTTGTAAAATTAAGGTACATGCGAGATTTTAAAAGTTTGGGCTCTTATCTACAGAAGCAGACGTCATCACTTATTTTGTAAGAATAAAGGAGGCATAAATCACCGAAAAAGATTGATTTCGTGTAAGCCAGTGCTCCTTGAAATCAAAGACAATCGGCTCTAATTCGTGAAATTACCCCATGTTAGATTTTTTGTTATCTATGCGTTCCACGAATCAAATCATTTGTAAGTACGAGACCTATCCTTACGCAAAGCAGTTCATGTCGTTATGTTATACATTAGTTTAATTGTTACTGTAGAATCATTTGTTCAGATTGATGCAGAAGAAGACGAGCAATACGAGCAATTACGCGACCTGGAACTTAGCGACACTGTCCTCTTCGTGAGAGCAGCAGCGTGAGTATTGGTCGAATATAGTAACTGATAGTGTGTTCTTAGCGAGATTGAATATCTTCGTATATCTTTTTCGTAAGAATTCTGGTCAGATCCTTTCCCTTGCCTTTTAGCGGGTACAGCGACGTTTTTGCACCACACACCGTATACTGCAGCGTCTCGCACCTGCAAATAGGTTTGGAACTTCTAGACCATGAGGAGCCTCTCGATTTTATCGTTTAATCTTTTCACTTTTAGACTTAGTTTCTCATCCGATTGGCGATCATCAATAGTTGAGTAAGCCTAAATTTGGTGATAGATATAGATAAAAAGATATCGAGACATAATAAGCTTGTCATTAATCCCATATAGGCATTTGAAAATTTCGCTGAGAATATTCACAAGTATTCATAAGGAGGTTACATTCGCACATTGTAGTAGTGAACAAATGATCGAAATAACTTTCAGAACAGCACTTGCTCTAACCTTCCGAAAGTGATCCTAGCAACGATAGTTTTATTACGGACTAGCTAACATACCTGACTTCGCTATGCCCCAACACACTATAATAAATTTCCACTTTTATACAACACTAGTTGGCTTTCCCGGTCCAGCCCGGGTCATTGGTCACCCGCACTGCAAGCCCCCCCCCCTCTTATATGTTGTGAATGACTTACCCTGGGACCCGCTTCGAAACCGCATCCTCGTGATCCTAAGGTGAAAATGAGCTTCACCGCCTTCCTTTACACGACTATGGTAAAATGCTTGATTGAACATGATAAGCCCTCAATTCCTTAGAAAAGCGTAAACAAATCAATAAATCGAAAGAAAGACCCAACAAATTGCTGCGAAAAGTAGCCTATCATCTGCGCAGGGGTCGAAAACATATGTGTGCAAAGTTTCAGCTGAATCGGTTGAGCGGTGTGCGTTTCTATAATGCACATATCCTCCAAACTGACAATTTTTGAGTTTTATATATATATATATATATAAATTCTACTCCCTCCCTCTGTGCCAGCACAAGCTCTCCAAGCTAAAATGGAGAAAAATGGATAAAATCGATAAGGGACTCGATAACTGCAAAAAAATATTGTGTTCGTAACTACCATTTGATTCAACTGGCTTGGCATCGGCAACGGGGCTTCATGACCTAATCAAGGCTAGGCAATGATCAGAGAGCACTCGCGCGAGAGAGACGCAGGTGCGTCGCGGGCGCGAGCGGTCTTAATTAGATCATCAAACCCCGCCCTAATGGTGCCAAGCCGTGAATCAAAGGTTACCACCTCTCTCCTGTACCAATTTCCAGCCCCGCAGCTCGAAGTTTCGAAATGCCGATAAATTCGACAATCAATAACAAAAACGCTCAATGCACCCGTTCCGCCCCAAAGTGTATGTGTGCAAAGTTTGAGCCGCATCGGTGGAATCCGAGCACACGTACAGACAGATATAAGAGACACACAACAGACTTTCAGCTCAATGTATAGGATGAAACACACAGAACAATATATTGTGCATCCCCCAGAATTGTTCACATAAGAACCATCAACGTGGCTGTCTTTCGAACATTCTAACATGTCGCCTTCGAATAAGTGCCTCAAATTTGCTGGATTTAACGTGCTATGATAAGGGCAGCCCGTTGATGATTTATATGGGGACAATTCTGGAGGATTGCACGGTAACTCTATGTGGTTCACCACTGATGATACCATCAGGAATAGGTCTTAGCATATGGTACTCTGGACCTGGATAGTATTCTCACAAGTAAAACCTTGGAACCCCTTGCTGAATACGACCATCGGCTTGAGCAAAGAGTTGAACGACTTGCTGTGCACGTAAATATCAGCTTATGATCAGCTTATTCATGTGTTTATTAGATGAGCTGAAACAAACAACATATATAGAACAAAATTGAAAACAATTTTGTTCTATATATGTTGATTTGATCATTTAACCACGAGCGAAATTGGTAACTTTTTATTCAGGCTATTGTTTCGGCAATTATTCGCCTTCTTCAGACCCTGAAATGTATTAGGTTGTCTCATAAGTTTTTTCAATTTTGACTTTCTAAAGCAATAACTCGCACACTTCATTCTGATAATGATGCAAAGTACCGTTCGATAGAGCAAAGCAAGCCCTATAAGATGACGTGCAAGTGTTTGCCCCAGCAGCCGAAATCTGAAAACTTCCGGATGCCCAAAAATTTGAAAACTTTCTGCACCTTTGCCCGAAGAAAACTTACCAGGTCCCAAACCCATTCACGCATATGTACACCAAACAACATACTCATATGTGTCGTTGCTGTCTTTGTTTCTGTGTTAGAAACAAATATGCAACCGAAAACTAAAATTTTCATGCTTCCAAAAAAGGGATGCTGCGCTTTTTGACACAGGTAAATGTATACTACAGGCCTTCAGTAATACATCGGTAAATTTTTAGCTTCCCGGAAGCGCTTGTTTCTGAGAAATACCAAATCTAGCTCTTTTTGCTTAGGCATTATATGTTGACATCAATATTTCTTGGGAACTAGAGCTCATAGAAAGCTGGAAATTTGTGACTGTTTGTCTATAGGCCAGTATATAGTATACATTATATAGTACCAGTGCGTCACCTCTGCTTCGCAGAGGCTCGCACTGGCCTTACATTCTGTATGCCTTACTAATTCCCGCATAATGATGACAGTGAAACTCACCGCGTTATGCAAGCTATCACGAATCATTTGTAAACAGCTACTCATTTTTAAACCTTTTTGTGCGAGATCGGTAATTTCACGTGGATAAAACTTTTCTCAGAAGAATAAATGCGAATTTGAATAGGCTTGTGGACTTCTCATGGCTTGGTAGTCGCCACAACGGCAATAATCATCGTAGGCTGCATCTCTGTGCAAAAATCTTCTCAAATGATCACGTAAAATCGTGGTAAATTTTTGGCGCCATTTTCGTAAAGTACCAACTTTAGTTGAATTTTTTGGGCTAAAGTTCACGGCTTGTACATTAGCTTGTCAAACATATCCACGACTTTGCAAAAAGTTTATATACGGACCCAATTTTGCTGGTCAGAAGTTGAGTGGACCCGTTTCGCGCGCAATTTCTAGGGGGTCCACTTATCGGATCCGCCTGTGCTTTTGCACAATGGACTTTCCTGCTGCTGGGATGTGTTAAGCAAAATTTGGGCTCAAGAGGTTAGCTGGAACTCTCCCTACGAATTTCGTAACGGACAGACAGACACACACTCACACAAAAACGTAAACAACCCTTAGCCCGTTATTATAAGTTATGATAGATTTACCTGTGTATAAACAGCGCAGCATCGCCCTTTTTTGGAGCCTTGAAAATTTTGGTTTTCTCAGTTTCTAGCACAGAAACACAGCAACGGCACATATAAGTGTGTTCTATGGAATAATGCATGAGCGAGTTTGGAATTTGGTAAGTTTTCTTCGGGCAAAGTTACAGAACATTTTCAATTTTTTGGGCATTTAGAAGCTCTCAGATTTCGGCTTCTAACTCGTGATGTGCTGAAGCTGGTGCGAAGGCTTACATGCCTTCTTATAAAGCTTGCTTTGCTCTATCAAATGATGGTGCCCCGCTTTCTAATCAGAATTGAGAAGTATGTGGTGAGTTATTGCTTCAGAGAGTCAAAATCGAAAAAACTTATGAGAAACCTAGTACAATACAAAATTACAAAATACCCGATCAAAGCTTTCTACCACGAGCAGGCTGCCACATACAATACTCACCTTTCGTTTGCCAGTAAAAGTTCTGGCACGGTACAACCGAGCGCTTACTATTACTTGAGCAAGGAATCAGACATGTCTCCACAAGATTAGAAGAATCTAGATGTGGTGCGAGTTTTCGCGTGATAGTGAGACATTCTTCCTTGCGATTTATTACGATCATTTATGCGATTAGATCTCTTGATCTTGTCAAGACAAGAAATGCACCTCTTTGTCGCCAAAGCCAACTATAAGAAGATTAAGGAGTGTCGCCAATGGCGATACTGTAGACTGTACATACTGTATATTTATTACTGTTCATCGTTGTTTATTCGTTTTGCCTTGTATTGTGGTACTTAGAAATGTGCCCACGAGGATCAGCCGGGCTATCACAACCTCACTCCATCATCTTATCACAATTATCTTCAGTCAACAATGACTTTGTAAGTCCACAAGGGTATAAAGGGTATAAATACCGATGAACGAGGGAGGTCGAGGATTCTGTCCACAAGTGTTCTGCTGTGAGGACGACAAGCCTCCGATAGGCACTTTCTAAACAACTCTTCTCCAGGTTTAAAGCCAACAAGTATTCTGGGCCGAGAGCAACAAGTCTCCTCCTCATTAGAACTTTCTGCAGAATCAGTCACAAGTATCCTGGGAAGCAGTTCGAGGATTGACAAGTCTCTGGGGACACTTCGCATTCACAATATCTACATCATCGTTGTTTGTAGCTATCTTATAATAAAGCTTGTTTGCTCATGTCTGAGGTATCATACAGACCAGCGTGGCAACCCCAAAACAGCTTCACTAGCCATCCCTTTGCTACACTCTTTGCTTAGGCGGTCAGTAAGCACTCGCTCGTACCATACCAGAACCGCGTTTGGAGTCTGCTCGTGGTCGAAAGCGAGTAGTGTGTAAATTGTTTCCACCCATTAGGCTCTGCAGAAGGCGAGTACTACCGAAACGTTAGCAAAGTTACCGATCTCATTCGTGGCTAAACAATCAAATCAACACATATCCACCATGCAGAGATTTATAGGGGTCGAACTTCCCAATTTTGTCCTAGTTTCTCATATTAGCACTCCATATGCATTTGCTTTAGAAGTGAGAAATTTTTCAGAGAATATTTCGCACGTGTGATGAAGATGTGCACCATGCCTCCTGCACCACCGACGGCGGCCTACTTGCAGCATTACTATCACAATCACATCCACCATCATCACCATACTGTTCATCACTGTTGCGATCCTTCTGTATCGGACAACTCTTCAGCAGAAGTGACACCCACAATTCAAGCACAAGGTGACACTTGCTGGACTCTTCCGCCAGGAATGTGTTCCATGGAAGCAAGAGCACCGGAACTTTATCCGCTCCGCTATGAACCAAGACGGAGGATTTTCGGAAAAATGGCGTCGAATCCTTTCACGAAACCTGCAAATGTGCAGACCACAGAACCAGGTGAGTATGTCAGTGACTGGAGAACGCCAGTTTGAAAAGTTGCAGAGCTGTCTCATGTTGCTCGTTGGTTGGACACAATTCGCTTAGACGATATTGAGAAGTATCATGAACCATTGTGAGGGGTTTGTTTTCAGTGAAAAAAAAGCAGTTTGATTTAACCACCCAGAGCATCTATAGTTTTTTGAACGACAAAAGCATGAGTAAACATAGCCATAGGTTGACGAGAGCTTGCGTTCCAATAGCTCACAGGCATAAAACGTGGACGTGGCATTAGCCATGACGCCCTATAGAATTCCCCATTATTGTTCGCGCACTTCCAGCGAGATCTTGGACAAAAAATGCCATGCCACTCCCATGGAAGTAATTTACAAAAGCTAATTCAGATTTTCAAAATTTTCGAAGCTCATTCTATCCACTAGGTCGTCTCAAAAGTTTTTTTTCGATCTTGAATTTCATGCGCGACAAGTTATGCACTTCTTTATTTTATTAGGATGCGAAGGATCGTTCATTAGAGCACAGCAAGCTCTGTAAGACGGCGCATAAGTGTCTGCATCGGCTTCCTTACGCCTCAAGTCAGAAGCTATTAGGTTGTCCGAAAATTAATGCAGGTTTTGAATTCCAACCGCAATAAGTCACACAGTTCTCAATTCTAAGTAGGTTGCAAGGTACCGTTCGATAGAGCAAAGCAAGGTCTACAAGATGGCAGTCTTGATTTAGCAACAGCTCTAATCCACCACGAGTTTCGAGCCAAAAACTAAAAAGATTCAACTACCCAAAAAATTGAGAAAAATCGTAACTCAGTTCATAAAAATCCTACAAAAATTCTAACTCGCTCACGTAAACACCGTCCACATAAGACGTATATGTACGCCGTTGCCGTATTTTTTTCTCGGTTAGAAACCAAAAAAACGAAGATTTTCATGTTTATGTCAAAGTGATCCTGTGCCGTTCCCACATGAGTAGTTGTATACTACAAACCCGTAGAAGTATAAACGTAGATTTTCAGCTCTCTACAAGCTTTAGTTCTCGAGAAATATCGAATACAGTTTTCCTAGTCATGTAGTTCAAGCTAAAATTCAAATTTCTCGAGAACTAAAGCTTGTAGAGAGCTGGAAATTTACGTTTGTACTTCTACAGGTTTGTAGTGTACAACTACTCATGTGGGAACGGCACAGGATCACTTTGGCAGAAACATGAAAATCTTCGTTTTTTTGGTTTCTAACCGAGGAAAAAATACGGCAACGGCGTACATATACGTCTTATGTGGACAGTGTTTACGTGAGCGAGTTAGAATCTTTGCAGGTTTTATTAACTGAGTTACGATTTTTCTCAATTTTTTGGGTAGTTGAATCTTTTTAGTTTTTGGCTCGAAACTCGTGGTGGATTAGAGCTGTTGCTAAATCAAGACTGCCATCTTGTAGAGCTTGCTTTGCTCTATCGAACGGTACCTTGCAACCTATTTAGAAATGAGAACTGTATGACTTATTGCGGTTGGAATTCAAAACCTGCATTAATTTCCGGACAACCTAATAAATTCGGATGCCACAAAATTTGAAAATTGTATATCTTTGTCCAAAGAAAACTTCCCGAATTCTCTACCAAACTTACGCACACAGACCCCACATTGGACAATATGCCGTTCCTGCATATCTTTCCGTGCTAGAGACCGAATGAAAAATTTAAGCTATCAAAAAATCCATGCTGTGCTATTCGCACATAAGAAAATGTACACTACAAGCCATTAGAAATACAACCGTAAATCTTCAGCTGTAAAAGTGCTAATTTTTAAAGAAATACCGAATTTACTTTGCTAGGGTCTTTCTGTTAAAATCAATATTTCTCAGAACTAGGGCTTGCAGTAAGCTGTAAATTGGCTTGTGCTTCCAAAGATTTGTAGTATACTTTTACCTCACTTATACAGAAACAGCACAGCACCGCTTTCTTAGAAGCTTAATTTTAGTTACCTTGGTTCATAGCATAAAACAAATGCAGCAACGGCATGTATGAATGTTTTGTGGAGTATGTATGCCTGAACAAGTGAAGACCGGTAAATATCCTTTGGACAAAGTCTAACTTTTTTCATTTTTCGGGCATCCGAAACTTCTTAAATTTCGGACTCTAACTCGAGGTGTGCTGACGCTGGTGCAAACATCTACACACCATCTTATAAAGCTTGGCTTGCTTTATAACGGTAGGTACCTTGCATCCTCGTTAGGATTGATAAATATATGACTTACTGTGGTAAGAAGTTAAAATTGCAACTCATGAAACAAACCAATACAAGAGAAAAGTCTTTACTTGCGCAGCTGGTATTAGGTTGGAAAGATGAGAATGCTTTTCGGTTTGAGCTAAACTTAAGATTTCTCAAAAACTAAGGCATACTCAGGGCATATTTTATGATAGAATTTTCGAAGGTTTGTAGAATAGCTGCACATATGAGAGGAGCCCAAAACCACTTGGGGGCGGGCGGGGGGGGGGGGGGGGGGGAAGTTTGCCATTCTCAGTTTTTCGATTTTTTCATGATATCTAATCAAGACCAAAATATAGCAAGTGACGTATGGATAAGTGTACGGCCTGATACATGCAGAAATAAGTGGCTCTCAGTTTTCAGGGACGCAAATTCGATTTTTGAAATCATGAGATGCTCTTATGTTTTGGCCTCGAACTTTGCGTAAATGACGACTTTACGCCAATCTTCAAAGATGTTTGAAGGACAGTTTGCGTCATCGAATGCCCCCCCCCCTCACACATTTTTTGGACTTGTCTTGTTGCAAGAAATTCTCTTCTTTCCGGCCTAATAAAGCCTAAGAATTAAAAATTATCTTGGAAAACCTTCATATTGAAAACCATTGAAAGACCATAAATCCCTTTGCGAGTAATAGGATAGCACAAACTTTACTTTGTTGTGAAACTAATAGTCAGTTGTGCAGATGCGCTAAGCGAATTTTTCAAAATATCCTTGCTAGATATAATGCTGGAAACTATTTGAAAAGTACAATTGCCTTTTTGATTTTTTTTGAATTTTTCACTCTAAGAAAATGAAAAGAGCTTCCGGTTCTTTCCTATCAGCGTCCTGATATATAGTTCCATACCACACATCAACCATAGTTACAGCTCATCCACACCTGTTTTCAGCCCAGAAACATACGAAGAATCTGACGGAACAGAAGATATTCTTTCATCGGACTGTGCTTGTAGCAACTGAGATTTGAATGTTTTAATTTATTAAAATATTTGCACATGGTATATATCACACGAAACATCACGCCCATCATAAATTAATAAATTAGTTGCAATCACAGGATGAACACGCTCATTTTGGAAAACTAACAAATAACCCTAGAACCAGGAATGTTCTAACAAATTACATAGAATATATTATACTGCTATTCTTAGACTCTGATAGTATCTAAGCACAAGCGTTTCCCAACGACTACCTAATCTCTAATTGAGATTATCTCAGATGATCGAGGAGTTAAGGGATTAGTCAAAGCATGCCACCCACGAATCCCGTATCTTTAAGTAGAAAAACTGATCACATGTCCATAGAACAAACACAAATGATAAACAGAGCAGGGTTGGTTGAAGATGCTTTTGAGCAAACTGACAACAAATTTCGATGATATACAGCCCAGAAATTAAACCAGTCGTTGATAAACCGATAGCATTTGAAACCAAGATCAACCAATAACTACCTGAGCATTTAACTCATTCTATTCGTTGCACTCCTTGCTCTGCTGGAAGCATTTTGTATGCTGTGACATCGGCAAGCCCTTCGCAATCGGTCGATGGTTGAGCCATTTTCTTTTTCGGGCTTATTGGGCCAGCACTACAAAATATAGCTTTCATTGAAAAACGCATGTACGTTGGCTCTTAAAAGGCAGCGTCCGGGCAGATACGAAAATGCAGAGTACAGGAGTGCCCGTCCTGGTAAGGCTCTTGCCCAACTGGCATGCAGCAATTTGCTTCTGAAGCGAGAAATCTACTTCAGAAGTGGCGACCGGAACTCCCCGGCGACCGGGACAAGTTAGTTCGATAAGCCAGAGTGCGCACACCGCACACAGTCAGACGTAGGGTCACACGAAGACTCAATCTCCTTGGCAGCAGGCGACAAAATTCAAACCAAGGGCTTCTAAAAAAGCCCGTTTTTGGCGTTTTCGTGCCCTCCAAGCTGCATTTTCAGAATCAGCGGGAGGAATAAGCCCAGGTAAGCGAAAAAAATTCCATTTGAACTTTTGCCCGGACGCTGCCTTTAAGGAGATATAATTGGAAAATTCTGGAAACGTACTCGATTTTTTCCTTCTCTTTCGCTCCTTTCTCTGTAGTGGTCGAAGAATCATCCTTCAGCGACTTCTCTTCAGCTTCAGGTATGCATGAAGGGGGCTCACTATGGTCTCGTTGAATGCTGTAACGGATCATCCTCCATGTTTTTTTTTTTCAAAGTAAAAAACCAAGGTCCCCACCGAGTCTCTATTTGAGCAAGACTTTGCGTTCTACGCGGTGGTCGCTGCTCGTCGCGATCTCGCTCTACACTCTTCCTCTCACTTGTCGATTCAAAATCATCCCATTGGTTAATCAGATCAGAAATGGTGTATCCCTTTACTCCAGCTGTTTGATGCAGAACGTCTAAATATGAAATCAAAACTTCTTGTCATGCAAAAAATAATTTGCCTACCTGTAAAGTCTACCAAGCTGATCTTAGGCGAATTTGGTACGCTCTTACTCTTCTTCTCAACCATGCGCCTACGATACAAATCATACTCCGCGCGTGCCTAGAAATTCACTGCTTAAGAAATATGAAAACCTCAATGTAGCGTTGAGAACAGTTCACCTGCAGCTCCCTATAAGCGGTTACATGGATGCAAGCTTTGCCAAGCAGAACTATGCCATTGCAGATTTTGATAGAAAGCAACACTAACCAAGCGACTACTAAAAAATAACTTTGAAATTTGCTACTGGCTAGCAATCTGAACGAGAGCTCACCGCAGATCAATATGCTCATTCTACTTTGTAACGTGATCGTCTGACTCAGAACGCGTATGAGCATGATGGAAAGCGGTATTGGAATAAAACCCATCCTTCGTGAGACCTCAAAACGTCGAAAAGCTTATTTTAAAATGTTCAAGATCAAAAATTTAGAGCAACAATTTCGTATAAGCGATAAAATTTACAAAGCTGAATGATGCTATAAAGATGGGCATCGCATTTTTGCAATTGATGAAAAGAACTGAAATCTCGGATTGTACCAACCTGATCAGAATAGTCGCTGAAAGCCGAGGAGTCACGACTTTTCACTACATCAAAAGCTATGGTGATGGTAAAATCTGTAAAAAAAACATTAAATTCAAAAAAGCGGAAATACTTGATTACGCTGAAAGAATTGAGGTGTAGCCAAGCTCAGGCTCTCAGGCTTATTCACAAAACTTATCGTTAATCATAGCAGCTCAAAAAGTGGTTACAGCATGTTCACTGAGCAGGTAAATACGGCAAAGATAATTTAACCAACTAAGTAACGTAAGCGCCCTTAAGAGGAATAAAAATGCAAGGATCTTCGAAAACGGTTACCTCTGTAAACTTCTGCATTGATTTCGTTGAACTTTGTTATAAAAGCATGCTTCAACCAATCAACCAACAACTCAGCTCCTATCACCATGAACTACAGAGAAATTCATGTAGGGAAAGCTTGGAAGAGCTTTGAATAGTGTAGAAAACCCTACTATATCAGGCATCATTTCTCGGAAATGTTCACTACTCCAGTTTACAGCCATCATATTCCTAAGCATCACAACAAATAACAAAGCTATAATATGAAATCGTTCACGAACGTCACTGAAACAAACGTAATTCGAATTTTAAAAGGTCAAAGAAGAATTTGATTTGAGGAACGAGAATCAAAAACCATAATTCGTGAAAGTTGTATCTACCTGCAAGCCATTTGAAATAGATTTGCCTTAGCAAATTTCTTGAACACTGATCCTTTTAACTCCACAAAATTGTTAGACATCATAATAGCCAGCAGAGCTTGGTTATGGGAATTGAATGCCACATTCAAGGTGGTAGCCTGCAAATACCGCTTTCGATGTAAAAATGAATGTAATTGTCAGAGACTTACCTGCAATAGAACCAAAAAGGTGTGTATTGTAGCATAGGAAAGAGCGAACACGAAATGGAACACTGTCCTGACTATACTTCTTATCGTCTTCGGTTCGTTCGCTGTCCAGAACAAGGCGTCGAGGATATCCTGAGCATCAACTACGTTTAGAATAAGCTGTTCAAAATGAAGAGATTTCATTTACCTGGCCCAAACTGCTAAACAATTTGTCTGCTACTTCAAGCATGTTATAGAAAATGTATAGTTTTATAACTCCTTGGCCTCGAACTTGGTGATAAACAACAGAAGTATCTGGGAAAAGTATAGTTACTGGCAATTCTGAGATGGAACACGGACTTACCTATATGTTGCATGAGTATCGTACCAAAAACAATAATCCAAACTTTGAAAAAATCGCAAGTTTCTGCAGAGGTCCAAGGCCGCAGTCGTAATAAGAAACCCATCACAGACATCTGCAAACGTGAACTGTCGCCGATTATCTATGCAAGAATTTCATTTAGAACTTACAAGAAACCTAATCGGAAGAAATGTGAATAGATAACAGAATGCATCTATGCATTGTAGTAAGCCATAAAAGAGAAATCGTTCTACCTGCGAAGTTAAAAATTGCTGCAATGGTGGAAAGTGAAGTGTCAGAAAGCGTACCTCTATAGGAATGCGAAGGAAAGCATAAACTTTCCGTCGTTTCTCTGTATAACGAGTTTGATCGTTATGTAAAGAATATCCCCTGAAATATGACACAGTTAGAGCACGTGAACTATGCAAAAAGCTGTAATATGGAAGGTAAAAATAAAGATAAGGGATGACTACAGTCGAGTAGATTTCCTGCTTAATATAGTGTCCCTGCAGACGCGACAACGCTGGGGCGTCAATAATTGCCTGACGAGTTCCCGATCTAGTGTTTTCCAGTGTTTTCTTTGCTTATTCTATGCTTTTTAGGTGATTCGTTGCTGATAAAGAAGAAAAGGGTAAGTTAGAGAGTAGTTTCTGTTTTCTGAGAAATTCTATCATCGCATATTCACAGATATCCACGTGAAAGCAGTTCGCCTAAGCTTCTTGTCTATTTTTTTGTCACTTCATGTCTCTTTCTTCTTATGAGGTACTTCTTTGAACGCTAGTGGGTTTTTACGATTGACTTATTGTCTTTATCACATGAAGTACTTGATTAAAATGCTTTCTTATGGGTGAAAGCCGAAGGTGCTGCAGGACAAGCCAACTAGCGTTCAAAGAAACGCCTCACAAGAAGGAGGAGGTTTGAAAGAAGAAGTGACAGAAGAAAAGGGAATGGCAAGAAAAAAATAGACAAGAAGCTGACGCGAAATGCTTCCACGTGGATATCTGTGAATATGCGATGATAGAACTTCTCAGAAAACAGAAACTACTCTTTAAACTTACCCTTTTCCTCTTCATCAGCAACGAATCAACTAAAAGGCATGAAATAAGCAAAGAAAATACTGGAAAACACTAGCTCCGGGACTCCCAAGGCATTTATTGACGCCCCAGCGTTGTCGCGTCTGCAGGGACACTATATTAAGCAGAAAATCTACTCGACTGTACAATGTTTTCGCCCCAAAGGCTAGTGTACGAAATCTGAGCATTAAAACTTCTAAGTTGGTACCGATAGGGAAGCCCGAGCCAGGTTGCTGTCCAAGCGGCAAAAAGACGCCGAAAATCAATTTCAAACTTTTGCATAGAATGTACTATCTACAAACGAAGCAATCAGTGTGACGCACTCAAAGACGCTGACTGGTCCGCCCGGAAGAGTACGGTCTGGGCAAGAGCTTAAAGTTGAATTTCACTACCGCGATTGAATTATTGAAGCTGCCGCTTGGGCAATGGCTTAGCTGCAATCCCCACAAGTTTACTATGGAGAGCACAGGTAACCGCATTGATCAACCAGTGAGCTAAAGGACGTCGGAAGTCTCAGAAATGGTTACAATAAAAACGAACAAAAGTCGGTGACTCACCTAGTTAGTTCATTCCAACAATATTCGAAAAAACTATATGATCGCGTAGTGAGAAGTGGTTGCTGTTGATAGTCTGCAAAATAAATTCTTGAATAAAAATCGAAAAAATGTAAATTCATGAAAAGCCCACCTGATTCTGGTAGAAGTGGTTCTTCATCGTCACCACAGTAGATAGTAAGATTATTAGATATGCCTACTCGAGCGGTTCGACATGAGGACGGGCTCGCCTCGTCATCCTCGAGATCGCTGCCGATGGTGAATCCTTCGGATGAGTGAGTAGATTCGGTTCGCACTTTCCTACATCGTAATTCCCCGTCTCCGTCCTCCATATCTTGAATGGAAAGGAATAGAATATGCATTCTTAGCAGCAAAAATGGACAGTCTCCCGATTTCTGATCCGAGGCTCTTTTACTGCTATAGGAGCTTCCATCGCCCAATCGGGCGCTCAATTGGCAGCAAAACTGCGTCGGATCAGAGATCGGAAAATTCATAAAGCTCGCCAGGAATGGGAAATATTAACCTATGCAAAAAATATCCTTAGTACTCAGAAATTACAGCGTATTTGTACCCATTGAATCATTGGCGGGTGAAAGGCGGGGCTTCGTGAATTGAGACTAGATAATGATCAGAGATACGCGCACGAGAGAGACGCAGTGTGCGTCGCGGGCGCGAGCGACCTTAATTAGGTCACAAAGCCCCGCCCAGCCGCCAATCCAGTTAAATCAAAAGTTAAGAGATACGAAGTTTATCTGAAACACAGTGATTTCTCAAATATTTTTGCCCTTGAGAAAAAAGGCAAGGTTCAATGGTTCCCAAAGATTGATGGTAATTTTGCATACAATCCTGAGACATTAAGCGAACGACATGTTGAACGTGACATGCAATCATGGCAGTTTCTCAGATGAGATAATACGCGATTGCGGATTCAGCTGCGGAGCAGCAGATGCAAACTGCAGCAAGGTCAATATAGCGCTAAAGGACAATGCACATTGCGCCCTGACTTTAGTTGAGATAGCGCAAGGAAATAACTACACCCTGTAAAACTCATAACAAATTGCTCTCCTCTCCTTGTGAGAAAAACAGCGATTCATATCTGAACAGACCGCCGTCAATAGACAAGTAACGAAAACTTTTGACAGTGTTCTTCTTAGAAAAAACTTCGAAAAGAGTTTGTCTCAGAAAACGGGCTTCATAGTTGTTGGAACCTGTCTAGCGTTTTTTCTAAAGTCTACATCATGTAGTTACTAACAGGATTGATTACATGAGTTGTTCAACTAACGAACATTACTTCCGTTAGTGTTTGAAGGGAATAAAAGTGAAAGGAAAAGCTTTTACTGCGCATACTGGGGTTCCCCTCTCAAAAAACCTAGCAAGGTTGATTAGCGGGAAGTTGTCGAACTTTCTTGCTCCAGTGTTTAAAAGGAAGGAAAGTGAAAGGAAACGCTTTTACTGCACACACTGAGGGTTTGAGGCTCAATCCAGTCTAAAGATCTAGCAAGGGTGATTAAAGAGCTTGGTCCAGTGTTTGAAAGGGTTGAAAGTAATGAAAGCTTTCACTGCACCAAACTCCTACATTCTAGAAGACGACTTTGTAACAGGTATTTTATCCCGCTAAAAAGATCGTTGTGAATAGAAGAAGTCTATGCCAAAAAGCTTGAAGTTCAGAAAGACAGATAAATTGCGGCTTCAAACGTTTTTATTCGAGCGCAACGCGCCCTAGCACAAAATCGCGCTCGAATCAAGGCGTCCTTTAATCGCTTTGATTTTTTTTAGTTGGCGATGTTATCTGCAAAACTTGACTTTCAGGATGTTTTCTAAACTGTTCGATCCATCACTCGTTGAATTCTTCATTTTCTTCGTCTATTTCACATTCCAAAATGATACTCATGTTGGTCAAAAGTGCCGAGTGCAAGGATGCGCCGCCTATCTTTACATCATTACGACTTTACACTCAAACATTGCTGACTCATGAACCAACCTAACGTTTTCTAAACGCCAGTAAAAAGGACACATCGTATTTCCACCTTCTTCTCTACTGCATCCTCGCATCTTCTGTCTGAACAGCTCATCACTCCCCGTCGATGACTCATTCGTGCGTTCCATCGTTCATCGTGTGTTATTGGTAATGGCTCATCCTTCAGCTTTTGCCCGATATCATAATAGGATTATTCCTTCTATACTTCTTCGTGCACACTTATGACTTGCTAGCGAAATTTGTGCAGTCCCAAAGTTCAAGCCTTTGTTTGCATTTGTTTTTTCTCTTCAAGATGGATTCTTATCAGGGAAGTGCTCTTCTTAAGATCTTTTGTTTCGTGCGCCAGGCACTTTCCCTATGCCTTCACTTACCGCTCAGCTTTGTAGAATTCGTCTTTTTGATTTCTTTCATCTAGCGCTATCACAGAACTCAAAGTTTGTTCCGCACTACACTTTGTCTGTGCTGTGGAACAGCAACATTTAGACTTTTCCTGTTGATGAGAAAAGCGAAAGCTTTATTCTGGTAAAAATTGAGTGCGTTAAGCATAAGAGAAGCAAGTTGTATTTGCTAGGTTTTGCGTGAGATGCGATCTCAAAATCCGATTGTAGATGAAGTAGAGAACAAAGAATTTGTACTTTTGATGAACTTACTTTACTTCGTTCATATTAGGTCATCATCTCTAAAATTGTGCCGCTTTTTGTTTCTAAATTTGTAACATCTACCGATTTTGCTGTTAATTCGTTGATAAAAGAAATTTGTGCTCTGCAACGCGCGAGTTAATGTTTTGTTGAAGAAATGATAGAGATGAATACAGGACAAGAGGAACACTCATCCAGCTTCGCTTTCTGAATTCACTTTGCCAGAGATCATAACTTTTGTGACTCACCCTTTCTGGAGAAGTTGATGTATCAAAAGTGTCTAGAATTGTAATTTTTGAGGAAACAATGCAAAGCAAGAGCAGTATCTTGGCATTTCCTCGAAAATCAGCACCAAAAGAAAATTACGATCAGTACAGACTTTTTAGACCAGAAATTGTATGAAGCAAACTCGCTAAGACAAGAGGGTTGTGTTTTTTGATGGGGGGGGGGGGGGGTTGTTCAACTTCTGCCACTTTTGGAATTCTGGGAAGCGGGGGTTTCAGCAAGTCGATAATTCTAATCCACAAAAAATTTTCGAACAGGGCTGTCCTATCATGAATTCAAAAAAAATTGCTTGTCATCATTTGCACGTAAAAGTCGCTGAATTCCATAGTAACGCTTCTCCTCACGTTCTTCTTTAGCTACTGGTTTGATCTGAAATTTCGACACGTTTTATGCTGATCGTTGGTCTGGGTCTGCAATTTCGTCTTTTTCATACCTTACTATCATCAGATCTTATCAATACAAAGTTCAAGATAAGAATTCGATGGGGTCTCCAGATTTGTCTGCACTTAGTAACTCATACTAGCCTCCTTTCGTCTTTTTGACATGCACAGTCGATATAGTGTTTTAGCTTAATTCTCCCCCTTTGAAGGTGGAATTTTTGCACAAAGATAACCACATACCCGTCAAGCTCTGATCTGATTCCTTTACTCATGTGATTGTATAGTTTGACTAATGGCAGCGGCGGTGGTAAAGTCCTTGCGTTTCACGCACCATGCGGAGGTCGCAACACGATTTCTTTCTCTTTTTCCTGTGTTTGTTTAGTCGTCAAGTGACAGCTAGACATAGGGAATTCAGTCACAAAAACTTTAACATTTCTCTTTTGAATGTGAAATTTATTGATGCTCCCAGAATGTCCTTTTTGCGGGGAAATATTTTATCGTTTGCAGTTGCTGTGACTACGACGGGAAATTTATCGTTAGTACGATAATACAAGTTTTGGAGTGGTTTCAGTTTAAAGTTGGATGAATTTATATTCCTGAATGTTCATGACCAGTGATTGTCGTGATTGTTCATGCATCACCATATGATCTGGTCTTGAAATAGTCTTTTGCGAACTTTGAAGTTTCCATGTGTGGGATTATTGAATGATTTCTTTCCAAGATTTCGTTGCATAGGCTGCAAATTGAAAATTTGCAAACTGGTGGCATGCACTTTGTTTGCACGTTCATCGCCTTCCTGTTGTGGAATTTATTGAAAAACATTACCAGTCACATTTGTATTAACATATTGAGTTAGGGAAATTGTAAAACCTATTGAACGATCAATTCCTAATCCTATATCATGCGTCTTCATTCGGTCAAATGTTCTCTTTTCAGTTCGTCAGATGTATCGATAATCATCTAATCTTTGTATGTTTTTTTTGGTGTCTCATTCTTTACGCTCTAACATAAACTCATTTTTAGTTTTTGTTTTTGCAAAGTTGGCTTTTACTTGTCCTTAGAGCATGATTCTTAGTTTATCTTATCTCAAGTATGCTTGTTATCTGGCCATCACGGGAGACCAATGTTTGTTTGGGTGATAGCACCTCGATAGGGGAGTTTTCATTTTATTTTGATGAAATGTCGCCATATGATGTCACTGCGAACGTGCAAACAATGTTCTGCCATAATTGGCCAATTTTCCCCTGCGTTGACTTCATTTATGAATTGATTGAATACATGTAGGTCAAAGCACCATATGTTTATTCTGTAAAACCGTTATGCTCCGGCACCTGTTATGGAAGTCATCATTTATTGATTGATGAATTATTTTTTAGGCCAAAACACATCACATGTTTATTTGAAGCATATTAACGAAAGGGCATTAATCCTTTTGACCTTTGCTGCTCAAAATGTCCGCCACCACGCCACCGGTTCCGAAACCTAGGACCCGATTTAACGTGAGAATTCTTTACTTTTTGCAGACACCGGTCTGCATCTGTATTTGGAAGTTATGCATTAAGGATGTGTGATTACAGATCGGTGTGGTATGTACAGATGCATCACCTAGTCATTCCAATTCGCATTCACGTCAGTCATCTTCTGACATCCCTCCGGCTGACACTAATGGAAACTTCAATGAAGGGCAAACCACCGGCATTTATCCCGCCATACCCGTAACAGAAGGTGAGTTGAGACAAATTTTTTTGGTCGTACATCTGAATTTTATATCTAAGTAGATTACTTTTTTACCATAGATATTTGCCACAAGTGTGTACTCTCGAACGTTTTATCCTGTTTTTCAGCACCAAAAATTCCTCTAGCGCCGTTGGAACCTCCTCCACGACCGCCAGCACTGTCCGTACAACCCTCAGAAGCTCTAATCGTTTGTCCGGAACCAGTTGCGCCAGCTGCTCATCGTACTGCTCCTCCTCCACCTCGGCCACCACCGCCGAGAGTCCCACCACCTCCACCACCTGTAGGATGGCAGGTACGGTTCTTTGCAATGGTTCTTATACACGAATATTTTAACTTCCAATATTTTTATTTTGAATTATGCTCTTGCTTGTAATTTTGCTATTCTTTTTAGTTACGATTTTTTCTTTGAACTTCGTGCTATCCAGATCCCACCACCCGTACCTCCTCTTCCGCCAATTATTATGCCTTCGCCGCCTCTCAACGATGCGCGAAGCCGAACCAGTTCCTCCTCTGTGTCAACTCCATCGCCTCCAGTACCTCCTCGTCCAGTAAGCTTATAGCCGTTTTATCGCAACTTGCTTGAATTTATCGTTGTTTTTTATATGCAGAAAAGATGGGAGGCACACAAAGCCCAACTGCAATCTCAAGAAATTGATGGTCTTTACGACACAATGTCAAGGTAAATATTTACCTTTTTCGTGGAGCTCACTATATATGGTGAAGAGATCGCAAACTCAATCTTTCCAGCGCTAAGGCATCGGAGCAATTGTATTCTCCTTCGCGTAGAGTGGACTTCATTGAGAATCCCATCTATATGTCAATGTTTTCTCTGAAAAAGAGATCGCTGGCGAAAGTTGTGGAGAAACCTGAGATGAACGGAGTTGCGCAGGAGAGTGCAACCGCGCAGGAAACACCAGCCGGTCAGGAGGCACCAGCCCCTCAGGAGATTCCAGCCACGATAGAGATCTCAGCCACGCACGATAAAGAATTGCCACCTACACCTGTTGAAAATAGATCTCCATCGCCTTCATCCCCTGTGGAGTTGGACTACGCTGTTTTCGATAAAGGAAATAACAGGTGAGGCTCTTATTGGTTATCTCTTCATTTGTTTCGACGTTCTTTCTTCTTTTTCGTGTTTTGTTTTTTATTCTGTTGCAATTTCAGTGAAACAAATGAGAATTCCATAAGTCGCACATCATCGTCGGAGCGTTCTAGTCAATCAGGTGTCTTATATAGCTTATCTTGAAGTGTCGCGTTTTCTTCGGCCATTATGGAATTACCACTCAATGCCTAAAGTTATTTCTTCAGATGCTACAAGAAACCCTAAGCTTGAATCTACAATCCCTGTCCCTAGTCGTCCCGTGTCATCACGCAAAAATGAGGACAGATACACCCCAACCCCTAGAAGGTGAGCGGCTTCCTGTTGTCTCTGCCAAATTACAATTGATAGAAAGTTTTTTTTTTCAGGAGCGTTGCTCCTAGTGTTGATAGCTTCGGTGCAATTTCATCACCATTCGATCAGTTTGAAACAGTAGTAGAACTGGCTGAACTTCCAGAAAATATCACCGATACCATTGAATTGGGTAAGTAGTTCTGTTGTTTTGCATCTTTTCTGGAAATACTTCTTTCTATAACCGTTTTCGTTTTCTTCATCCTTAGTTTTTTTATTGCGTCGATCGACGAGGTCTCTTTTAGTCAACAATGACATCGACGAACCCAGCGGAGACCATGCTAGTGGGACAGCTGTAGCCTATTTTGGCGATGTGTTGTTTCATGTAGGCAAAAAGGAAAAGAAAAAAGCCCATTGTCGAATGAGGAATATGCAGCTGAGCTTCCATGAGGATGATGCTGTAAGTCACAGAAAAAGTACCCTTCAAAAAAATGTAGCTTCTCCAGACGGAGGATTGTATCGCTGGACCATTTTCGCTACTTGGGTGTGAGCTTATTTGTCGGGAAGAGCAAACAATCTTCATAAGGCTTTCCGAGAGAGAAGCAAGCAAAACCGTATCGTTTACTGCTGAGAAGGATGCAGAAACTTGGATACTGTTGTTGGGAGAGGTATTTCGTTTAACTGTAGTCATTTTATGCCTATACTGCTTACCGTAGCTTCATTTCAATGTACGTTTCACACTTTTGATTTTTTAGTGTTGGTTATCGGAGTACGATTTGCTTCGTTCAAGCGTGCAAAAAGTAGATGCATGTGGGACTTTCTGGCTGCGTCAAGGTGGGTTTTAGTTGCTAAAACATTTTTTTCCTTTTAATGACTTGTTTATTGTTTTTTATACTTGAATACGGCAAGATCTTATGAGTAGTTCTTCGGTTTTTGCTGCTCATTTTTCATGAGCCTTATTTTGCGTGGTTGACCATCGATATTGAACAAAACGTTACTACTAGCTACTACTACACTTCAGGTACCACTAGCGACTGGATGTATACTGCTGCAGCTTTACATGGCAGAACGATGTTTTACGTCCTACTTGATTCACCGGATTACATATACGAATTGGATGTGAGAAAGGTCGGTTGTGTTTACAAGCATAATGCCGCATTTGCATTGTTTATTGCCGCATTACAGGTTCTATTGCTTCGCGAACGCCTTGAAAAAGCAGATTGGTGTCCGAAATGTAAACGAAAGGACCAAAAGGGACCTTTTCTGATCTCATTGGAGGGATGGTAAGTCGAAATTTTCAAAATTTGTAGGATGCCAGACCGAATATGTTGGGAAGTTTAGTTCTATCATTTCATCATTGTTCTTTTTCTCAGTGTTATTTCTTTTAGTGCTCTCTACGTGGAATGTTGTGATGATCTATGTACGGGGAAGTGGTGTTCCGCCATCCAAAACTCTCTTTCCCTTACACCTTCTAGTGTAGAGGACTATCGCTTGACTGCGGATAACATTCCTATTGTGCGTACGATTTCCTCTACTTTCGACATAAACTTCTTTTCATAAATACGGCCATTCAGATTGTTGACAAGTGTCTTCGATTCATTGCTGCGTACGGGTTCCGATCAGAGGGGATTTATAGGAGAAATGGCAAGATCTCAGAATCTAAAGAGATATATAAAAAGCTTACGGAGGGTAAGTCTGGTATTTATGTTCTTCTCCACATCTTTTCTTGATTTTTTGCCTTTTTGCACTGCCTTTGTTACCGCTGCTCGATTTGAGATGGATGAGTTGTTGCCAAAGTCTTATGTCATCAAATTCGCTTTTTTGAGAAAACGATGCGCATTTTTAAAAATTCTTTCATCTGATCTCGCTTGAGAGATGTTGGATGTATCTTAGGTGAAACGAGTGATAATTAGTAAATCTTTTAGATCCCGTTGGCACACATATTGCGTCGACATCCGAAGAGACAGCTTACGCTGTCGCAGATGTGTTGCGACAATTCTTCCGAAAGCTAAAATCCCCGCTAGTTCCAGAATCGATCCATAAGGATATTTATAACCTGGGTTAGTCAATTTTCAACATGATACTCTCTCTTTCCTCGTAATTAAATGCGCATGCTTCCATTCAGTGCAAAACCGGAACACTTGCGACAATAGTGTCAGATATACGGAGTACCGAAGAGTTCTCCAAAAAATGCCTTTGGTCCACTACCATACCCTTAGGAAACTAATGGCACATCTCTGTGAAGTTGTGAAGTACGCGGATGTGAACAAGGCTACAGTTGAAAACATTGCAAAGGTGATCTTCATGTTTCTTTCCTCAGCCATGTGCATCCATTTTGTATGCTAGGTGACTCAGCAATCCCAATCTTTTGTTGAATATTTTTGTTTCAGATCTTTGGGCCATCGCTGTTCCACACCAGTGATGATGTGAGTGCTGGCTATGATGACACTTCACAACAAATTGGGGCTATCATTGATCTCATCAACGGTTATGATACCATCTTTGAGGTAATTTACCCGCAGTCGTATTTCCTTTTTCTATCAAACATTGACTACTACTTTTAGGTGACTAGTCGAGAAGAGATTTGTAGAGCTATGGTAGAACAAGCACAACTGCACAAAACTACCACCTCAAATGCTGTAAGTGAAAGTAACATTTTTCTTATGCAATGGAAAAGGTTTTCCTATTATAGGTGCGAGCAGATGGTCTCTTAGTGCCCATTCATGTCTGGGAGAAAGAAAACCGCCCTTTCAACGTAAAAATCGACTTAGCTGCTGAAGAAGTTTGCCGCGAAGCGGTAGCAAGGCGAGGTTTTGATGCACCTCAGGATGGGAAATACGCAATTTTTGAGGTAAGTAGCTTATCTTGTAGTTTATGCTTGTGATTTTCTGGTCGGGAAACATATGTTAGAGGATAACGAGCGGTTTAGGTCATCATGGATGGTGCCCTATCTCGGAGACTCACTCCTTTCGAGAAACTGTCTCGAACGGTTTTGGATCACTGGCTGACATGGCAGTGTACAGATGGTTATCTCTTATTTGATCACGATAATTGGCCCTATAATGATTCGGAGTTGGTGAGTCAGGCAAGTTTTTTAAAAGTTGCGTACCATCTAAATTGTACTGCCGTTTATTTGTATTGGCTTTATTTTTTTTTGAAAATTTGTTGTGGTGATGTTGTGGATAGACTGCGGTATATAACCAGTGGTCCATGTTGACTCAGTTTCTATTTAGGAGTTCTTCTCTGGTAAGGTCAAGATAGCAGAACCAGGTTCAAAAACTTTCCATTCTTACGAAATGAAAGTAGAGGAAGGTGTAAAGGCAAGTCACTAGTTGTGATTTGTTTCTTTTTGTTCGAGTGTCAAGCAAGTTTTACAGATAGCTGCATATAAGAAGGACAAACTCTGGAAAGAGTGGAAAGTGTCAGAGACGATATTCTACTCAGGTTGTCCTGCTAATAGAAAGGTACGAAAACTTTGATTTGGTTGGATGTTCAGTGGTAGCAAGAGATTCTTTATACTCCCTTTCTGCGAATGTCATCTGATTGCAAGCTGTGAAAGCTATCGCCTTGTGCTTTATGGTGACAGCCTCTTAAATTTAATGCCCTGCTTTGCTTTCCACTAAGGCAAGGTTGTCCTCGACCTGTTCAGAAATAACAAAAATAATATCCGGAAGAGCCGAACATTTTTGTTTTGAAATCTCTTTTTTCATCATTTTCTTATGTCAATCATAGTTCGTATCCTATCATTAATCAACCCGCGAGCTGTGAGTCATTATTCGTTTTGAATGAGGTGTAACAAATCATAGGTTATCTAAGAAAAAATGTAATAATAAACAATAATAGTTCGGATAATTACGGAGATTTGAGTAATATCACTTTACCTAACACACATACGTCCATTTAGGCTCCCAATGCTTACAATGTTACCGTATTCGACAAGAAGAGCGTTTCTATGACAGACAAGCTCGTTGGATACTGCATCTCGTTTAAACTTATGCCAGAAAGAACTCGTTTCTTGAATGTTGTACAGTTTATCGAAACAGGTGGTCAACCTCCTCCTCTTGTGCATTTGTAAATACAAGACAACCATGTCTCGTTACCATACTGCTCATAATGTGTGTCTCCTTAGTGTCTCCTTATGCTTCAACAGTTGTGTATCCTTATCCTTCAAATACTGAAGTTTCATTGCATGTAAATTGTGTAGGCCAATTTATGAGGGCAAAATGACCAAGCTTGGCTTGGATTATGTATGTAGACTCAAAATCCATGGCCTGTGTATCTGTGTGTCTTCTAGAGTCCATGTATAGATGTTTTTTGTCTCATAGAATCTGTATTGTAATCTTTACTGCCTTTCCATTCCTTTTGAAGAGTAGTAAAACACAGGCAATATTCAAGTGATATTAGTGCGGGACCCCGTAGTCGTCAAACGCGGTATGAAATAGACTCAATAAATTAAATGAAATTGCTCCCTTCCAAATTGATTTCTTCACTTATTCTTTCTTTCTGTGCTCTCTATGAAGAAATGGCGCTAATTTCACCTTATCTTAATCTTAAATGCATTTCATATCTAGCATACATATTATATCGGTGCATTTCTGAGTGTTCTGCTGAATACAAAGTATTTTGTTTTTTGTTTTCTTGTAAAGATTTATGAAATTCCAGTAAAGTGTTATGAAGAGCTTACTCTGTGTTATCATGGTGTTGGAAGTGGTTGAAATGGCCACGCCTATTTTCAAGGGTCTGACACATTTTTCAACGGGGTGTCCAAATACTTAAATCCAGACGTTCCCCTGCAAGTAGACCTCTCATGATGCTCCGTACGCTTTTGCCTAGCGTACGGGCTGCACGATTGCTAGCCACAGATGCCGTGCCATCGTCCAGTGTTGTTGAAGAAAAGTCTGTCAAGAAGATAGGAAGAGCTTTGGAGACCTACATAAAGCTCAGTAGAGAACATGTGTCCATGATGGCTCGGGAGCGGTAAGCAAAATGCCACACCAATTACTTTTTACGGAGAAGAAACACTAAGAAAGTGTTGTAGGGCCGATTTTGAGTTGGGAAAGCGACATTTGGCAAACATGATGAATTTGGATCCTCATGCTTTAACGCAAAATGATATCGACGAGTGAGTCCTTTTTTACTTCTGATTTCACGAAATCCCGATCATTTATGTTGTTGTTTTTTTTTTTCGAAGTAAACATTTTTTCTCATTTTTTCAAGGTCCTTGTCTACATCCCGCACATTCGCCACCATTCTTTTAATGCTTTCTCACTAATCTGGCTGATACCCCGCTTTCAGCAATTTGGAATGGGAAGCAGTCTCTTCAAAAGTCGTTTTTTCTCAAACCAATTGTAAACCGGCGCGCAGTAATGCTAGAGCTGTTCAAATTTGTGATGACACATAGACTTTTTGGCTATAGCACCATCTCCTTTTTCCTTCCATCCTCATCATGTCGTGGTCACTTCTCCTTCAAATATGCACAAATTTCAGTGCCATCAGATATCTGTTTCCGTCTGGTCTTTTCGATCTAAATGCCCGCCCGGTGATGCGACCTCCAGATGAAATCCTTCCAAAGTAAGTTGTGGGCTTTTCTGCATTTCATGAATCCATTCACGATGGAAACTCGCAGCTTGTGAAGTTTGAAAGAAGTTGCGCCTGAAACGGTACATTTTTAAATAGTCGACTTTTGTTTTGATACAAGCATTCCTTGAACAAAAACCCTCTAGATTTCATCGATTCGACTTTGACGACGAAGGTCGGCCCAAAGATACACGATTCTTCACACTGCAGCCGAAATTTTACGGTCTATTGTCGGTGAGTTGTGCACTGGAATTTTCTTTCTGACTATATTGGAGTTTCTGTCCGTTTGGAATCTGGAAATGATGTTTCAGGACATTGGCATCAAAACAAAGTCGGTGACATCATTTTACAATGACCACATGTCAACGGGTAATAAAGGAGTTGAGCTGCAGTCCTTGTGAGTGGTGGTTTTAGTTGCGTTACCCTTCACTTTTCTTCAAGCAGTCTGAAATTCGAGTGCTGCTTATTTTGACTCCTTTTCTTCTTGTGATTGACACTGTGTAATCAAGGAACACCAGTGGAACTCAATGGCTTCCAAAAGAAAAGCTTCAAAAGAAGTTAGGAGAGAAAATAAGCGACGAAATGGTAAGTTCTGTTTCGGTCTGTGCAATAATTCAGCAAGGGATTCTCATTACACGCTATAAACTATTACTGTACCAAATTGATTACATTTTTGATGACTTTCTTCCTTAACATCATTTTTCAGTACACTCAACTACTGGTGGCATTCGATTACCTAGTAAGCTTGCCATCATCAGCAGTTGAAGAAAAGTTTATCATGCAGTATAGGTGAGCTTTTCATTTCATTGTGATACAGTCTTTGTTTTGCTCGGAAATTTATAGTGCAAAAAAGCGCAAAGCACTTCATTTTGTTGCACATAAAAACATTTTCCAGAGAGCCGCTCGCTGCAACCACCCAATCCAGGCTTTTTGGACCCGACATTCCAGAAGTTACAATTGACCCGGTGACTCAAAGAAGACAAGCAACTGTCAAGTAAGCTTCATGAGAGGAGCGATTTTTGTGAAGTAGTTTATTTCAAGGACTCGCTGCAAGGATACGAGGACCGAGGTAACAGTCGTGGATGCGGGTACTGGAAAATTTGACATTGATGGTCATGATCTTCCCACTTTCCGGCATTTAATAGCCAGGTTAGCGTTTGATATGCGTTTTTTCGTAAATTTCGTGATTTTTGCAACTTCTACCCAAAAGCCGTACAAATGAATTTGCTGTTCATCTGCTTCATATCATCTTCTCTCCATATTGCTCAGTTACCTCTCGTTAATCTCACTAGAAATCATAGCATATGAAACTTTCTTTTTACAAATCTTGTAGTTGATCTAGTCTTCAAACTACGGCATTTGCGCACTTTTTTGTCGGGCTGTAAATGAACCTCAATACTTTGTTTTCTCATTATTATATGTCGCTTTGATTACTTTTCTTTGCGAAACTAACGTTACGCATGCTTTTAACCCAAGATCTATGTTCCAATTAGCTCAAAAATATTCCACGCACGATGACTTTGCGACTGACGTGTGCAAATATCAGCTTTTTTGGATGCTTTGAAGACCTGCTCAAAACTTTTCCGCTTCACTTGGGATATTGAACATCAGACTATCGCTTGCATACTTGAGACGCAGTTTATTGTTGTTTTTTGTTTGTAGATTGCATTGTCGTGGATTCGCTCGAAATTCTATTTGCGCTGATCTAAACTCTCACGATAATCGTTTCATACTGTTTATTTCTGACAACTCATCAACTTGTGTATTCTTACATTCTTTTGAGCGTTAAGTGCGGGTCAGCGGGCGAAGTTTTGTTCCAAACAAGGCAAAGCTTATGCTGATTGAATGCCGGGTCTTGCTATTTCAATTTTGTGTCGTATCTCTGATTAGCATAGCGTTCTACTCGCATCCAAAACGAAATTCCAGATGTTAGCTTTCCTAGTACGAGCTGCCATTTTTTGTGATCTTCTACATCCCGAAAATGTCTTGATTGAGGTCTCGACGTTTTTTATCATTGCATTTGCATAGAGCCATTGTCTCGAAGCATTTTTTCTGCTATACTAAGCTGCAGCTGCGATTTGCAGCTGACTACGTTCGAGCTAACAAAAAGCAACATTGTAAATAGCGTCTGGGATTGCAGTGAATATGGTAGTTTGAAAAAATAGGAAGTTTTTGTGGTCACATTTTCTTCTCTAACTCGTACAAATTGAACTTACCTCTTTTTTTTATCAGCAATTCCTCAGTACTCCACAAATAATCGTCAATCATCAAATGCGTTTCGAATTTTAAGAAAGGGGATAAACTTAATGAATCAAATGAGGTTGTTTCAAGTGAGGGAAAAAATAACAAAACTAATCAAGATTGTTTTGAGTGAGAGAAATGACTCTTTTTGTAGCAAAAGCTGTTAATGTGTTAATTGTGATATGCGTCATAGTTGATTGTAAGTGCGTCAAAGCTATCACAATGAAAAGGTTGAGCAACAAAAGGAATCGAATACGCCGATCGGAAATTGAGTTTTTGTTCGTTTGCTTAGGTTGGCCAAAGTTTACACAGTTTCCGTGTTCGATCAAAAATGCTTTTGGAATAGTTGTTGTCAGAGTAGAAGCTTTTACTGGAATTCAACTGTGAGCAAAAGTAGGACTTGTATAATGAGCGTGAATATAAGAATATATTATATATTTTTGAGTAACGATGCTTTGTTACCTAGTTGTCCCAAAAGTGAACCGTTTTTCTAAACAAATTAATCTGTTGTTGTCTACCTAGCGGACTTGGGGTATCATTTTAGGGTAAAGCAAGCTCTAATAATGACACCCAAATTCACCTAAGTCAAAATTCAGATTCTGGAGCCAAAAAAGGAAATTTTCCGACTACTAAAATCGAATCTCATTTGATATTTCTAGGGACCTCGAACTTGGTCATCATACAGTAGACTAGTAGTAATCAAAAATGCAGTAATGGATTTTTTTCGCGGCTCAAATTCAAGGAGCAAAAATAGTCCGCAAGTGCTAAATTGTCACTTTGGTTTTTTTTTGTGTTAAACGTGGTATTTTTCCATTACCAGAACATAAACAGAGAATAATTCTAAGAATATACTAATTAAGGCTTGCAGTATACGATCACATATGTGGGGGGAGCTGGGGACAGAGTTTGGCTTTTGGACTATCTTTTTCCTCGATTTCTATGCTCGAAAAAATGTAATAGATTCATTCATCAGTACTCATATGTATACTCTGTATGATGACCAACTTATGGCCTCCTAGAACTTTTTTTTTGCAAAAATTAGATTTTCAGGTGATAAATTTGTTTTTGTAAAGTTTTTACTCTACTAAACTAATGAACCAGTAAACTAAAGGTGTTATTTGGAGGAGCGTTCGCTACGAGACCGCCACGCGGTTTCCCGCTATTTGCAGATTTTTGAATTAAGTTAACGATTCTTTATATTACTTTATTAAATGGTATCCCAAGTCTGCTAGAAAAACAGAAACAGTTTAGTTATTTTGAAAAATCACTTTTGGGACCTTATACCCTACCTCCCTTTTTCCATTATGGGACCCGAAATCTGTTTTGGTTTTTCCTAAATAGAACATGGATAAAGTCACTGTTGTATACACTGTGTGACAGGTTGTCTGAAAAAAAGAAAAGGGGTATAAATGGCACCTGTTTCTGTTCTGCGGTTATAAAGGAGTTCCGTCTTCGTTTGGTCATTCTGAATTTTTTTTAATATTTTAAGTCTAGCCGCTTGGTGTCATTTGTCATTAGAGTTAGACGCTCAGAATCTTTGGCTTTCCGAGATTTACAAGAAAGAAAATACACAAACGTGCTTATCAAATGGTATATAAGTGGTTTTATTTTCGTGTGTAATTCGAATTAGCTGTTTTCGTCTTAAAATAATAATTTTGCAATAGCTCATATTCATATTGTAGAGTACCACTTTTCTTTTGAGATTTTATTCTTCTTTAGCGGCCATTTTCATCGCGTGCCCCCTTCATTCCTTGCAATTTTCAATTTAGATAATTTTGCTGATCTCTTCTCGTTTTCCCTTTTCTCTAAGAATGTGTCACGAAGTATTTGCATTTTGTAAGTAAAACTTCCTGAGCACATCGCGAAAGTAAGTGAATGGAAAAATCTTTCTGGTGTCTTGTCCACGAGTTTGTTGAAAATCCTTTTGAAAGCCCGTGAGGGTAGCCTTCGAAAAAAATTTGCCATGGCTAGTTCTCCTTACCACGAAATTTCTCTGCTTTTTCTCGTGATTTTTGAAACTTTCTTGCCAAGGACATGATGTTGTATTCACCTAACCTTACATTTCGTGGAACAGTGAAGATTTTCAATCTGCTATTATTTTGAACCGAATGCAAGAAGAAAATGAGCTTTTGTTTAACCCTTTACGTTGTCAACAACTCGGCGGAAAATCTCTTCCGGCCTGGTCAGCAGATGGTCTTCCGAGTGCAGGTAAATACGGAAGTGAATCTGTAGTTTAGAGTCATTTTGGTTCATTTCAATCCAAAGGACATTTTGGATGATTCATAGCGTTAGCAAGTCTATGAGTCATTCATCGGACTATTACAAACCCTCAGGGAAATCTTTTTTCAACAGTGGATTGCTTCTTGTCGATTGCATATTCTATTTCCTTTTCTTTGTGAGGGGTGAGTCAGCTTCTGTGCAAGGGGGGAGGGGGGAGATTAAAAGCGGAGTTTCCAGTTTTGGTAAGTCGTGGAATGTGGGTAAATGTTCTTATATTGAAAAAAATCGAGATTATCAAGATATGAATCAACCTATCCTTGATGTTTTTGCATAATTCGCATGTAAATGCGATTGATGATCGTGACAATGTCCTTGGACGATATGTTGACTCATCGTCGAGCTGCACGAAGGCATTGTTTGGGGGAGGGGGGGGGGGGGGGGACTTCCTTGTTCCCGTACCGTAATCCCATTGGGGCGATGTCCTTTTGGTCACGATAAATTTTTTTTCATCAAGGGATTTCGTCAAACGAACTCACGACTCTGGTTTTCTTGAAACTAGAAACGGATTTTTGTTTGAATAGGTCAAAGATAGATCTCTTTGGAAATGTTTTGTGAAATGGCTGAGGTATTGGAAATATGATTTCGGGATTGTGAATTTAAGGAGAACAAGTTTTGAAAAATAAGGGGAGCAAGGGTCTGGTACTGGAAATTTTCTTTTTGTGCTGCTAGCCCGGTAATTTGCTTTCTTGGATTTCCTTCCTTGAACTAGGTCATTCTTGTCAGTCCCCCCCCCCCCTCTTTAAACTCCCTCCCTCTTCGAGATGTAAGCATTCCACTGAAATACAAAGAGTGACTCACTGGGACGGGTTATGCATTGTATGATGCGCTTTGCAATCACTGGAATGATTACACTATGCCCTTTTATTAGGGCAAAGATCTGCAAGGGTCAAGTGGCGGAAGGGGCAGAGGGGGGGGGGGGAAGAAGGAGGGGGGGGGGGAGTTGGAGTAGCTAAACTGATGAAAATATCGTAAAGTGTTAAAATTTTTCTCTTGGGTTTCCTCAATCATCAGCTTCTGATTGCCGAGAAATGCGATTTCTTCGACACCTTTTATTGCTTATTATTGCTGCTTTTTTTCCTAAATAATCATTTGATGCTGAAATATCTCATTACTTTATCTTATCGTGCTATCATCGTGTCACAATGTCCCAGTTTATCAGATACCGATGGTCGTTAGTTGCTGAAAGCTTGACAGCAAACAAATGAGCGCCATCACGTCATAGAGTGGGCGAAAACAAAATCGAGTCATAAGGTGGGCAGAGAGTGGACACCCGGAAGTAGGTGAGTTGGGGATGGATTCTGGTATTGAGACGATTTGAGTTGGTAAGTTAATGTGCTGAGCAAAACAGAGACGGTATCTACTGTCTTTCCTCACTCATCAACGAAAATTAAAGAATAATAGGAAATAAGAGCTAATATTACAACACACGTCATAAATTTTAAAAGTTGGTTAAGAAAATTGAAAATACTGAGCAGCGCAGTGAGTAGCTTGTTCTTCAAACTTGAGATTGTTCCACTAATTTATTCCCTCGAACTTACTTCGATATATCAAAATTTAAATCCTTTTTGAAAATAATTTTCCAAATAGTAGTTTCGTAGACTCATTCGTTAAAAATTTTTTGGGGCTCAACACATTCTCATTTGCCGGTTAAGATCCCAAGGCTAAAACAAAAATCTTGAAATGGGTGAAAAGCAGCGATGGTCCGAGAAATTTTTTTTTTGGAGGGGCGGTGACGCGAATTTTTTCCGGTTGTATAGGCGTAACATTAGCCACACCCTTTAGAAGATTGTTCACAAGCTAATTTGTATTATTGAAAAATTTCATCTACTTTAGTCATTTAAGTGGAAATGAGCTACCTGCGCAAATGTAAATCATCTATGAAATTAAAAAATTTTGCGATCCGTGTTTGGGAGGCCCCCCCCCTTTCTGCCACTTGCAAGAAGTTATGGAGCATCTCAATATGAGCTATACTTCATATCGTTTTTTTTTCTTACTAGGAATTTGCCTGCTTCTAAGGGCTGTTTTTTGTTTCATGTTATTCTCACTCTGAATTTGAAGGCAAATTCGGGCTCATCTGCTTTTTCGCAACACCCCCATCGCAATGAACTGCGAACTAATTGAGCAACTTCGATGTGCTATGCAATAAATTCCTCGCATTGGCCGCCCCTGAATGTCTCCCAGGCGGCAATGGCGCTCAACTGGCGAGGTTTTCTCATCGGTTTGGTCTCGAGCGTCGAGCACAAGGCGATCTTTGCTCGAGCGGCAAACGCATCGTTGTTTTCTGTCGGTTTGTTGTGTTGTTGACGCGTGATGACGGCGCGTCGGCGACGGTGGCCGTGGCGCAGACGGTCCAGCACGGAGCGCGCATGCGATGCTTGCGTGCATCGTTCCTGGCAGTGTCACCTGTGCCGGCGACATCAAATCGCTGACCGCTTCGGCGATCACATGTGTTTGTCGCCGAGCAAAAAAGCGCTAGATTTGAATTTCTGATCGAGTAGCCGTGTGGCTAATCGCTAGTGACAGCGGGTTTCGCTTCGAGTAATTGGAGGTCAAGGTGAAAAGGGTATAGATGACAGTTTCGGGCGATGAGGGGTAGGTTTTGACAAGGTCGAGGAAGTAGAAAAATTTGGTCAAAGTTTGTATTAACTTCGAGAAAGTAGAAATTTTGGCCAAACCTCGAAATTTTGGGTATGTTCGGAAAGAAGTGTTGCAGCAGTTGATGTACTGGGATATTGAAGGACAAGAAGGAAAATAGTTACTTATTTTTTATTGTAGATTTCTTTGAATTATTCGTCTAAAATATTAACTTAACTCATCTTATACAGCATGACTTTGATATTCAACTTAGGATAAAATGAGTTGTTCAGAATTTCAATTCAATTAGTAATCGTTAACGTCAAGAGGTTTAGAATTTTATAGCAGTGCTTTCCAAGAAATTTTTCTTGCGACGGGGGAGACAGAAAGAAAAAATTTGTGTTTGGAGGGGCGTGGCGCCAATACGCTCTCTGAAGAAAATTCTGGATGTTTTGAGTAGTTTTTGCAGGCCTGTGATTACATGTTCTTAACATTTTGTAGCTGATTCGAATTTGTATTGGAATTGAAAATCATTTTAGTTATTCGGATCCAAAAACAAATTATTTGAACTAATGACTCATGCAGACAACTTCGAAAAATTTCCCCATTCTTGAAGTTGCGGAGGGGGGGGGGGGAGAATTGGCTGCTACACAATAATATTGTGAGTCTTTAAGAAGATGAAGTGCTTTGTACCTGGAAACTTTTCGAACGGGGAGCTCATCCTATATTTTTGACGTCATATTTATTTACTGGCAATTCAGTTTGATATAGCTGAGGAACTATGAGTTTGTGTTGCAAAGTTTTCCCAGTGAAAATCACAGGGGATTCTGTCTACAAAACTTTTGTAAAGAGAACAGAATGGAACGAGAACTGCAAAGCAAAGAAATCAGATACTATAGATTATCCATGTTTCTGCATTTTTCTGAGATCAGCTTACTGTAAGACTGTCTTCTGAGCACAGCAAAATGCAAGATTTCGTCTGCAAGTTTTTTTCGAAATGAAAGCCTTTGAGCCCAAATAAAAAAAAAACGCGTGGAATCTCATAACCTCAGATGATGTTTGTTTTAGCAGCGCCTTTCGGAGCTCTCGCGCCTTTGTGATCTTTGTTCGGTGTTCTTTTCATCTGCCATCTCGATTTTTTTCAATTTTTGGACTTCCCGTAGCTATCGAAATTTGAAAAAAAAATCCCCTCCTGCAGATTATGTAGTCATGTGTGTTCTCATCTGCTCAGCCATCTTCGAACGTTTCCACATCTCCGCTTAATATCAAATGAGTTGCATTGAGCATGATATGCTTGGCCAAAGATCGCCGTAGCAAATGAGCGCGAATGTCGCTGAAGCCATTATCAGCAGACAGCTGATATTGACTTTTGATCTGAAAATTTGCACGTTGGGTTGATGAAGTTGAAAATGAGGACAGCGTTTGTTGCAGAGAGATTTTGCTGGCCCCGATGATTGTGGCTGGACTTTTGGGTAAAGTCGATGTAAAAGCGACGTCAACTGGTTCCGGTGGCATCACTGCACTTCCGCGAGCTGTCCGCCATGGAATTGCGCTCGGAATAGCCGCTTTGTATCCAAAGACTATGGAGCCATTAAGAATATGTGAGTGATTTTGCATGTACGTACTTCAGTTTCAATTTCCTTACGTCGTTTGGTCAACTTTTTACACTTTTTTTTGAATTCTACACCCTTCTGCAGAACAACAGGTGTGGCTTAATTTAGTTTCGTTGTTCCCTTTTTTCTTTTTTCGGAAGTTTATACCCTCTAAATAGTAATGGATGTGGCTTATTTAAATTTACGGTCTTATTTTTTGCAGTTCTCATAATTTATCCTTCTGCATAGCAATAAGTGTGGCTGTCTTCAAAGCTCTTTGAATTTTTGAGAGCCAGTTACCCAAATTTGGCCGAAAGCCAGCGTCCTATCGCTCGCCGACTAATCTAGCTTGGCAAGGCCTTTGTTAGCAATGCAGCCGATTGCTGACTTGGCCATTTGCCCGCGACGCATAGAGGCGCAACCCGAGACAGACGAGATGATCGTTAGCCTGACGTTGACCACACCCAAAGTGCAAATATGCATGCATTTGCAAAGCTGCATGGCGTCTGGCATTTTTTGGATTGCTGGATAATGGCTTGATTACAGAGGAAAAGAAATCGAGTGCAAATAGCTTAGAGAATCTATTTTTTTCCGAATGGTAGGTCTAGCGAATTTGATATAAAGTTAAAGCCTAGCAACGCAGTAAACATGAACGCGTTTTTTATTCGTGCAAGACTGCGCTTCAGCGTTCAATCAGCGCAGTCAAAGTCAAACATATGAAAATGACACTAGCGCAGGTGGACGAGAACTGGTCCCCAGACAATATTTGCAGAGGTCCTCGAGAAAGGGACTACTTCCTTTTATTGATTTGGTGATAATACCAAAAGAATGTTTTTTTTCTGCTCAGTCTGTTTCAGTTCACAAAAGATATTACTTGCTTGAAAGATTGTTGACTGAAAGAAATGAAATCTGAAATGGAATGTCAAATAACTTGCAAGCAATGAAAATTCCATCTTTTTTCTTTTAAGAAACTTGAGTTTTTGAGGGGACCAGTTCTCGCATGGTGTTGATCAGCTTCGCAGCTACTCGTAGGGACTTTGGTAGAAAATTTCCATGAGATGTCATGGCCTGTCAATGTTTGTAAAGCAGCAGCGCTACCTGGCATTTTTTTTTCGGTTGATGGGGGTGGAGGGAGATTACAAAACTTCTCTTTAAATTTTTTGGGAGTTTCAAAATTCTTGCGGGCCTTCAAGCCCAAAATTTTAGGAAAGGGGGCTTGGTGGCAACCTAGTCTATGATATTATTTTTTGAAAAAACTGATTTGTCTTTTACACATTTTCGAATTTTTTTTTTATTTTGATTATTCACCAGTCAAAGCAAGTCACTTGCACAATTTTTTTACCCAACTACCTTCTATGTTCTCGCTCTCCTTAGCCGCACTCCTCCCCTCCCTTGGTTCACCACTGCTGTGTTGTTTGTTATTTATCAAGTTTTGAAATGCTAGGCAATATTCTTTTTCATTTGTGGAACAAAGATTTTTCGAAACGTTCAAGTACCATAACCCTCGATTCCAAAAATCTTTCTTCCCAAAACCCCCTTTTTTGGCTTCATCACGGTAATGCATCCGTATCCCCGGAATGACGGACGAATGAGCTGGCTCTGCGAACGGGCGCGAGAGTAATTTGTGAGCTATTCTCGTTACTATGCACGAGGATGGCGAAATCGGTTTTTGGTTGAGTAATGCTCTCATGTTGCAGCTGGTCTATTAACGTCGGATCCGCGAAAGAAAGAACGTAGTAAGGTGAACCAGCCAGGAGCTCGAGCTAAGTGGATTTGGTACGTGTTTATTATACTTTTCTTTTCCCTTAGTTTATATTATTTGCTTTCAAATAACAATTTCTCCCTCATTTTAATTTATTTTGCTTCGGCCTTTTTATCTATGTTTAGACTGCCCTAGCATAGACCCAGAGAAGTGCTTACTTCAGTAGCTGTAAGCCCCTCTTAGCCACCCTTGCTGGGCTTTTTTACATTTTTATTTATGCAATGGCTGTGTTCGTATTCTCTCCATTAGATTAACTCTAAACGCTGCAGATTATTATTGATAAAACAGCGATGTTGTACGAAGAGGCATGCTGCCAAGTGCACTTTGCTGGTGTTTTTTTTTTTTCGATGCCAACAACACTGAGACGCTGTGTTTAGCACGTAGGATAGTGCGTCTTATGTATCGGGATACGCTAAAAAAAAGTAAAGAGGTCCAACTTTGCTTAGAACGTCTATACTTTGTTTGAGGATCCCATTTTGTGAAACTTTTTGCTAGCTAACACAATCAAGCGGAAGTTTATGCTGTGAAATTCATAAAAGGAAGGTCTCAATCGGTTTTGTGCTATTTCCGTTGCTGCCAATAGTCCGGAAGCGCGCGAATTGCACTGATCCCTTTGAAATATTCAAATGTCAACGCACTGAATAGGCACTTTCGCTTTCCATTCAACTTCTAAAGGATTGGATTTTGTGGAAAACTTTTCGTTACGGTACTGAGGATTACGGGAATTGCAGAAACCTAGTTCTTTTCAGCTTTAACTAAGGTACATATGAAGAGGATCTTCTTTACCGCGAACACAGCCATTGTTGATAAAAAACACGTAAAAAATTTTTTTGGTACTGAGGAATAAGGTGGACCCTAAGTAGAACAATTGAATGGATGATAAATGTATGAATAGAAACTCTTGAAATGCACTCTGAAGGGGCAACCAGCCTTGCTCAAGACTGTTTTTGTTCGAGCACACCCATTTTTCCAAATCTGTTGTTTTGCTCGGGACACGCCCATTTTCCTAAAGTGGTTGGCTTTGACGTTCGGGTCTCCCGCCGCTTTTTTCTCCCCCCCCCCCCAGTCTCTGAGTTTTTTCTTTATAAATAGAATCATTCTGTTGACAAAAGAAATTGAAAATTTATACTTTCATTATGTCTCGAAATTTTATTGCATGTTGTTATGCGACTATGTTCTTTCCCTCGCCTCGTTTCATCTTCGCCCAATCCCCGAAAGACCCATTTCACGACACACTTCGCAAATCCTCAAATCCATGAACGTCGCAAGATTTTTTGCAAAAGGGTCCGTGCGTGCAAAATCAGTAAACGTCCGGCGCGTTGACCCCTTTACGAGACGGACGTCAGCTGATTCACAGAGTCATCATCGTTGTCGTCGACGTCGTCGTCGTGGTGTTCGGGTGTAGCACACGGGGGGCGGGCGGAATGTTTGGTCGTGAACCTCTTATGTGTGGTATTTTTTGCAGGAAACGTCGTTGAGTGGCAGTGCCCGGCACGCGCGCGTCTGGCCACGCCCATTCGGAACGGGCCGCACGTATTTGTTTGCGATTACCAAGAGTCGTTGCTGTGTTCCTGCGACGCCAACGACGCGCCGCACACGTCGCGCGCGACGTGACGTGCGATGTGCGTGAAAAGCAAACAAAAATTAGTAGTTTTTGTAGATTTGAGCGTGACACAACGTGCGTATGTATGTTGTATAGATGTTGCATAGGATTGAGGTATACAAAATTGTTGTTATTAATTGGTATTGATTGTTTGTTATCGATTGTTGATGTGGAGAAATTTGTAAAGAATCTGATAAAAAGTATAAAAACTCAGAAAAATCGCTAGATGCTGGTGAGTACGGGTAGAAGTCCAAAGGTGTACTTTACCGAAATAATGAGTACAGCCTATAAAGGTTAGAAGTACGGTAGCGCCCTTTAATTTGCAACAAGGCGCAGGAAAAACCAGTCGACGTCACTCGGGCTTGAGTGCAAAGATCGCCAAGCACCATGTGCCAGACATGGGAACTTGAAATAGCTTGGAAATAAAATAATTAAAATAGGTAAGCATTCTGAATTTTTGCTCAGAGAATTCAGGAAGACGCCGCTGCAGGTTCGATTTCTAATTTTTTGATTTTCTCTGCAACACTTTGTGATTGAATGACGTTCTCATAGTTTTTTTGCGAGTTGCGTAGCTAGGTCACATTCCTTGATAAGAGTTTTAATTGCCGAATTGCAAAAAATGGGAAAGAGTGCAAAGTGACCAGATTCTTGTGATTTATCCTATCAGCTGATCATTTGTACATTCTTTGAAATTTGGATCGTATTGAAAAGTTGGTCTGAGTCTTGACAAATTTATCCGTCAAGAAAAATTAAATGTGCTTTGATTCCAGGCACCCGAAAAGATGAGAGTGCTACCGTAACTTTTGGATTTTTGTAGTGTGAAGTAACCAGAAATCAACTAATAAAAGTTTAAGTATTATTTCTTCAATATTTTGATTTTTTTGCAGTTTCTGATCGTTTTACGGTCTTTCTGCAAAATGACGTGAATTCACATGTTGTAGCGTCATGAAAAATAGCATGTGATCTATATGATGCCGTGTTACTCGTCACGCTTCTCCCTTCTTGGGAGAGCGCAGATTGAATTACGATTTATTCACACGACGAGATTACACCCGGATCTTTGTTTCCAGATGCACGTCTAGTGGAGATTTTCACGTATCATGAGGAAAAAGAGGAGTTGATGAATTATCATCATCATCATCATTATGTAAAGAATCGTTGTGCCTAATCAAAAGAAGTGAAATTGCGGGAAACCGCGCGGTTCCTGCAGCGAACGCGTTTGCAAATCTAGCCTTCGCGATTATTCGTTCATTAGTTCTAAGAAGAAATTATTCTTACCTGAATATTTGACAAAAAAAAACCTTTAGCTTCGTGTTTTTTGTAGGTCCTCACAATGTAGTAAAATCGGAAGCGTTGAGAATAGACTTATCGCTACAAGCTGCAAAGTGATTGGAGTGCACTTGAGTCCCACAGGGAAAATTCGTCTGCTTGTGCAAATACTTGCAAATGCTTTTGATGATGTCATAGTAAGTTTTATGTATTTATATATGAAAGCCTTTCGCAATCGGGTAAAAATCTACGATAAAAATGTCTAAAAAAAACTTAAGTTGGAGATCCAGCGAAGAAATTTACACCTTGAAGAGGGGGAGGAGGGGGGAGGGGGAGGTGAAAAAGCCCCAAATTAATATCGAAGGCAGGGAGGAGTGGTCAAAATTTCTGATAGTGATTATAAGTGCCTAAAAAGTCTAGATAGGATTTATAAACTACTAGCTTTATCATTGAGTAGCATACTTTAGCCGATATTTGATGGCTTATTGGTCCCGTAGCGAAATTACAGTATCTTTTCAATGCCGTACTTGCTACTGTAATTTCTGTAGAGAAATGGGAAATGTTTTGCTTACGTTGGTTAATTTGCTTTTGCGATTAAGGTCAAGAGCGACCAGGTCATTTTTTTGCAGCATCAAATTAGGAACGTCTGAGATTAGGTAACATTCTTGGAATAACTTGCTCTTTTTATATCATTTCATACCTGGGAAAAAATCCTGTGGAAAATGATATGGCAAAAGCAGGTAAAGTTCTCTTTCTGCTCAAGGTGGTACTTTGATGTGCGGGGTACGGGACAAGTTTGTATGCACTCTTTTCGTGGACGTGTTGCAGACTAAAAATCTGTTCAAGGAGCGTTTTATCACCGAGCCACCTGATATCATTGTGATGAATTTGCTGATTGTGTGATAACCTATGAAACATCAATTTTCTCTGTGGGTGGTATAAGGTACTGTAGCTGGAAAAGTACGTATTGCCAACTGCAACGATGCGTAAAGGACAATCTCGCGTTTTTTTCTTTGCCCTTTTGCAGTGTAAACTTTGAAGTGTTATTTTTTTCTCAAATAGTACAGAGACTCTAATCTTCTGATCTCTCTCGCATCGGTCCGTGGTAGGCACCTCCAGCCGGAGCTAGGTAGGGGCAATCGTCGTCGTCGTCGACGTCGGTGCAAGGAGGTACGAGACGATGACCTTGAGAGGGATGATGGTGGAGACAAAATGGTAACATGATAGTAATCGTGTTGATTGCTTGAGTTCTTCTAGCTCGGGCGCTTCGCTTCGTGACCGATTACCCTCGCTCGCCCCGCTCACGACGGTCCAAGGACACCCCGCGACGACGGAAAACAGCGGGGCACGGGGTGTGTGCTTGAATTTCAGTGCGCGCGACCCGCGGGCTGGTACGGATTAGCGGTGCCACGTGTGAGATGTTATGATGAACCCGCCCGCCGAAGTAGAGAAGGGTAAAGGGAACATGCACTTTGTTCCTAGAGGCTGCAATCTTGCACGGAGTGCAGCAGCAGCGATACGAGGCGAGTGCACTCGTGCAAAATCGCGTCGTCGTCACTGGCGTTGCCCTCCGCTCCCACACCACCCCAACGGCGTCCTCTCTCGCGCCCTTCCGTGCTGGTGCCGGTGTCGGCGCGGGGTTGCGACGGGGACGACGGGGGATGGCTTACGTCGTTGCTGGTGGTGGTGTCGGAGAGTCGGACGCGGGGGGGGGGGGGCTATTGACCGTCGAGCGGCTGCGACGGCCGAGCGTCCGGGGTCGTCGCGTCCTGGCACGCCCCGCCCAGCTGCGCGCCGCCAGATGGCTTTGCGGTGCGCTCGTGAACGGGCGCCGTCCCTGATGGAAGGCCCGCTGTTCGCCGCCGCGCCTCAGGCCGCTGCCGCCAGCTTCTTCGGGCCCAGCGCTACCTCCACAGCTCAAGGCGCCAGCGCCAATGTTAGCGCCACTGCATCAGCACCTCGTAACCCTAACCCTACCGCCAGCGCCACTGCCTCTAGGCACCTATTCGCCTCTTCGAATCCATCCTCTAACGGTGCCACCACCGAAGTGCTTGGAAATTGTTGGACCTCCGAAGATACCTGGCATAATGTCTACAGTTGGATTAATAATAGTCAGGTCAGTTAGTCTTTCACCTTTTCGCAACAGCTCCAGTTTCCTATTGAACCTCTAGTTTCGCCTCACATTCTCATTACTTCTTGCATAGATTGTGTTTCACCTACATCCGTGTCATTATTGCAATCACATTCACTTTTATTGCCTCGCTCATGGGAATTCAAATAACCTCCTCAATATCTCTGCAGAAAAATTGTTGTGTAGACGACTTGAGGCGTCAAGATGGCTTTGTAGATGAAACGGGAAAATCTTGCGTTTTTTGTCTGTCGGTCACCTGAACATATTTCGCATTTTCTTATCGTCAGCATTGTAGTTGAAATGATTTTGATTTCTCTAACTTTCTGGAGGAGTTAATTTTTTAAAATTTTACGCTGCAAAAATGCAAAGTTTTTGGTTATTTATAGCTCCTGGTCCTGAATTTCTAGAAGATTTGCGTTTTCTTAGAAAAGTTCCTGCATATTTTCCTCAAGTACTGAAAAATGCAAAGTTCCTGGTTCCTCATATTCTTTAAATTCCATGTTTTTTTGGAATTTTTGCTATATAAAAATTTCTACGAATTCCTTCCAGAATTTTACGTTTTATAATGACTAAGTTTTTGGCTCCTTATAATTTTCGGAATCCAATTTTCTGGAAATTTTGCATAGGCTTAAAAAATAATATTTTTACTTTTTATCTGTATTTTCAATGCTCTAAAACATGCGAGATTTTTGTCACTCTATAACTCTCAATTCATACTCAGTTTTTTTTGGAAATGTCTCCCCCCCCCCCTCCCAAAATTTCTCCTTCTTTTCCCTTATCCTTGCTAGTTCTTCCTCAGACAGTATTGGCGCGTTGCCGAGTTTTTGAATGTAGCAGGGTTTTTCTGCTAGTTTTTCAAAATTCGCGTACCGGTTCGATAGGTAGCGGTTACGTGTTGGAAAATGTGTTTCTGCAGATTTAGTAATCTACAATGACCTTTTTACTTTTGCACGAGCGCAAGGGCGGGAAGCGGGGGAGCGGGAGGGGGGGGATAATCTGATCTTTTAGGCTTTGGTATTTTTTGAATATTTTGTAGTCAAAATGACATTTGTATGCTATCCACTACCATTGTTATCAAGTGTAATTTTTGACTCCAGAAATTTCGAGGAATATCATCAGTGGAACGATAAATTAGTAATTTATTTTGCGAGATAGGGTGCGCTTAACCTATTTTTTCTGAATTTGTGGTTCTTTGAAAAATTTGTAAATATCATGGCATTCTCCAAATCACAATTTTTATGGTAAACTGACCTTTGAATTTCATTTCCATGAGTTTGTTTTCCTTGCCTTTCCCAAAATGGCTCTTATACCGTAATCTTCGTGAAACTTTCGTCGTGACCTCATCGTCACTCTCTTCTTTTCGAAATATTTTCTTTTCCCAATCTCTACTGAACTCTTTTCTCTGCACAAATGTTTGCGTTCACTTTTTAAGAATCGTCGTGACCTCTTTTCTCGGTTTTTCATCTAAAATCGTGGTCACATCGTCGGCGACGTTGGTTCGGTCGGTTTTTTTTCATCAGTCGTGCATTCGCGTCGTATCTCACACAGGCTCTCCTCTCCACACTCTTCAAAATGTCCTTTGTGCTGACGTTTCACAATTGCTGTAAGAGGAACGGGGGGGGGGGGGTGCGGCTGAGTGGGTGGGTATTTAATGGATGTTTGATATTGCATGTGTATATATGGCGCGCTACTTAGAAATTCTTCCTGGGTGGGCGCCTGGGGACAGGCTGTGGTAGATCAGTGATGATCAAACTTTCGGCCAAAATCCATACTTCTCCTTTTCTCACAATTTTTCCCGTTTCAAATTAATCAATCAATATCCGCCCGAGGATTGGTATTCTCCTATTCTTCTCTATCAATATCGAAAACGTGCAAAATCAGCGCTTAGTAGCTGGCAAAGTTCATTCTCGATGTGCCTCTGTGCCATTCAACAGAAACGAAACGATCGCTGTGGCATTCGTTTTCCAGCAGAGAAAATGAGCGACGGGGGGGGGGGGGGTGTGGAAGAATTGTAAAAGTGCAAGTTTTTGTAGAGATGCATTTTGTCAAAATGCATATGTGCACATATATTGATATGATGCTAATAAGGGTAGAGGGTTATCGATGCCATAAGTATATGATTGTTCCGTCTCTGGGAGAACTCGTCCGAAGTGGTGGCAAGAGGCGGGGGAGCTAGTTCAGAATTTTTCTGAGTCCAAAAATTGACAGACCGCTAGTCCTATTTTCCAGTAGGTAGGGGAAAGGGGATGAATTACAATTACATAAAAAATTATTTGTTCAACTTGAAAATTTAATTGGAAAACTCGGACAGCATAATGACAAGAGAAGAATTTGCTTAAATGGAATTTTTTGGTTTGGAAACTGACTCCTAATCCCCTCTGAAAATTTCGTCGGACGGATTAGAAACGGACGAGTTAGTTGTCAGCGGTGAGGAACTCAAGGAACTCAGAAACCCACTTGCCCTGTGCGAGCAACTCGTCCCGTTCTACCTACATCGGACGAGTTGCTCGCAGAGGGCAAGTGGAGTGGGTTGTCTGTACTAGAATTTCTCCAGGTTCAATAGCCCACCCTCCCCCCTTTTGAATAGTATTAAAAGGTGTCAATTTTTGGGACTCATAAATTCTCGTGATTTTATCCTCTCTGTCTCATTCATCCCATTGGTGAGAGTACGAGTTTTGTTGTAGTCCCAATTTTTCTGAGGACGAAAACTCAGCGAACAAGCTCGTCCTGTCGTACTATGTTGGACGAGTTTTCCAAATAAGGCAAATACAAATTGAGAAGTTTTCTGCCAGTGCAAAATATTTCCTGGGCTGGAAAGCTGACACCCCCTCCTGCCGTTCTTCCGGAAATTGTTATCGCTCGCAGCGAATTTCTCTCTGAAAGCGAGTTAGAGGAGAACGTAGCACACGATCTTTGATTGATGAGGCAGCATTGAAACGCACATTGCTCACTCTTCTCAGCACCATGGTGATCATCGGCAAATTCCAACTTTTATGGAATTTTTTGTGCGATCTTTGCTCGGTCTGAATTGACGCGATTTACCTCGGATTCGCTGGAAATTGAAAGAAAAAGTGGACAACTTCTTAATCTAATCGGTCAGGTTTGATTAGCCGAGCAGCTGTTCCAACACACAATATAATGATGGCTTCTAGCTGAAATATTGCAGCTTTTCTTGGTGTTTTGTAAAGTTGGCGGAAAAAATTGCACTTGTGATTTGTCTGTCTGCATTTGCTGTATGGGACTCATTTCCAGCTAATGGCTTATTGGTGCAAAAGTAGCCGATAGGCGATAGTTTATCTAAACAATAATAACTCTAAGTAAAATTTCATTTTTATGTCCTCCTACAGCGTCTGCAAAATTGGCGGGAAACAGTGCAGAAAATTTATGACATATCAGCTACAGATGCTGCACTCATTCAAATTTGCCCCTGTTTCTTCAAATAAATGGCTTATGCCGGGGTTATCAGTTTGGAAGCGGAAATTAAATATTTACATTAGTCTTATCACAGCATTATGACATATATTTGAATGTTATATTGCTTCTGCCATTTTGATACCGCGAAGGAGAACATAGGGAGGAGAGAAAGAATGAACAGATGCGAAGGAAAGGAAATCAAGAAATTCTTGTCGGTCATTCCGGTAGTGGCACTCTTTTTGACCTTACAAAATTATCGTAAGTAGAAAAAATTATTTCAGGTGCTAAAAAAAGAGGGAGTGGAGAGGAAACGTTAGCTGAACTTGAATCACAAGAAAAAAATAAAGTAGATGGTTATTGAGAAACAACGGCGATAATTTTTCGTTCATTTCCAAGCGAGGATTTTCACTCAGAAAAATTATCGATGTAGGAACTTTAAGTCAATGATAGTTTAATACTTTTTGAGGGCTTTTTGATGTCAGTGGTTTTACTGAAAAATTGATATCTAATATTTAAAGAATCGTAACGCCCATTCAAAAATCTGCAAATAGCGGGAAACCGCATGGCGGTCCCGAAACGCGCGAATGTAATCTAGCCCTTCAATTACTGGTTCACTAGTATGTAAAGAAATTACAAAAGGACATTCGCTGGAATACTCATAAAAATTCGCATCTTATCGCTTTTCTTAATTTTCTACGAAGAAATAATCATGTTGTTGGATTTACGATTTGATGAAAGGTCACAACCTCTCATATGGGTTATACATTTTCAGTATTTTTTTGCAATTTTTATAGAATTGGAACGTTTATTAAAAATAGCATAACTCAGCTAGGATGTGTTCGAAGTTCCTCTATTAGGTTTTTCATTGTTTGTGGGTAAACTTTTGCGTTTTACTGTATTCTATCAAGGAAACCCTGTGCTCTTCTGGTTGAAGGGTCGGTACAAAAATATAAATATTTTTGTTGTCCTTTCTAGTCTTTTCCGTTTGAAAAATCCATCTTTGTTTTTTGTCTCTAGACATCCTCAGAAACATAATAAATGTTTGCATGTTCTTTGGTCACAAACCGGCTGCACTTTTGCAGTTGATGCATGTTTTGTTGCAGATTGCAGCATCTAGCATAAGTATGAAGCTATCTATATATGTACACATTACGACAATTATGAGATGTAGTCTATAAAACATCTCGTAATTCCTAACAATCACTCACATCGGATCCGGATCCACGAATAGACGCCTTTTTGCATACGCAGTGCAATAAGAATGCTTGAGAATTAAGAGGATTGCTAGGTGTGATGACCACTCCTGATGCACACACATCAGCATTGGAGAGGGGTTGTTCTTTTGGTGAAAAGAGCAACATAGGATAGTGTGAAATGACTCAGAAGTACTGTTACCATATCTGGCATATAAGTTCTAGGGAAGACCTAAGACTTAATTTGAACTTCCCAAGGGAAGGAATGAAACGAAGTTGATGATGTTTGGTGTCCTCAAAATATTCTAAACAGTTTTACTTGTAGGCTTATACTTCAGAAACGTTCTCATTCCGATTTTGATTATCACTATATAAGTGATTCAAATTAAGTTGTGACCCCTAACATTAAGACTCAAACCAAGCAAATTTGAATTTTGAACTATTTTGGAAATCCTGCAATCCAGAAGTAAAAACAAGGTCAATTGAATGGTTTCAAAATTCATGTAGATTACTTTTACCACCCCCTGTCCTCTTCTTACCGTACTGCTACATTTAATGGTTGAATTTCCTGAATTTCCTTTTTTTCTCCTGATTTTCAAAATCTGCACATTCAGGGATTTAAGGTTTTTCCACAATTGCGGTAGTCTTGCCTGAGGAGCCTATAAAATCAAATAGCATAAAACAGATGACCAAAAAATTGAACAAATTATATTAATGATAATTTTCGTAAGAAATTAAAATTTTTTGTATGTATCGGCTTGCGAGAAGTGTAAAAATGGTGGAGGTCAAAGTTTTTTTTGCGATCTAATCGATTTTTTGGTGATTTTGCTGATTAAGGTACAACTTACTCGACTCCTTAAGTGAACGGTGGACGGTTACGATAAAAACTCACAAATTCATCAGGATATAACAAAGTTCACAAAGTATTGAATAACATCTATTGGTTTTCACTTGAGTTGATTCCAGTCTCAATTTTAGGGAGATCGATATAATTGCGGTATTTCCAATGGGATACCGTAATCACACCGTAATCACCCAAAAGTCTTAGTGGGTAGACGATCTGTAAGATCACTTAAAAATCTGCTCAAAGCACCGATAACCAACTATGATCGGTAAAAATCGTATAACAAAATCTTTGCATATTCTGATATTGCATTTGAGTTCCTTCCTGACTAAGATCTCTAATTATTGATTGATATTGATTGCCTGTACAAAGCTAATTTGTTAGAGCTTGCACTGTTTGCTATCCACGACCCACTGTGTAGTATTAGTACTCATGCTAGCAAAACTTGCTCGCTTCATTGCACATCCCGCCAATATCATCGTATAGAAAAACTATAGGCTTATATAGGTTTTTTATGAAATTTGTGTAAATGCACAATAGCCGCACATGCACTCGATCACTTAATAATGCGAACAAGTGCATACTACGTGCAAGTAATAGAGTTTATCGCATGCAAAGAGTGCAACTAGTACGAATGTGTGCCACCACGCCTAGCCACGTTCTTTTGCACTCGATGTTAGTGGAGTTCTTTGTCCATTGTGTGCTTGCATACACGTCTTCACTTAGGCGTGAATTTTTGCGAGAAAAAATGTGTTTTTTTTTCTTGTGAAGTTTTTTGGCGCCATAAATTTATGATAATGATCTTAGACACACAAGTGAAATGCTTAGAAAAAAACAAAGTCTGAAAAAAATATTTGAAGCGCTGAGTCGTAGTAGGCTTCCTTCACATAAGATACACCTCGTCAGCTAAGCGTAAATTTTTGCGCAAAAAAACGTTGTTCTTTGGTGGGGGGGGGTAGGGTTTTTGGCGCTATAAATTTGTGATAATGGTCTTGGACAAAGTTAGGGAAAAGGGAAACGCTGAATAAAATCATTAAAGCGAAATCGAACCTGGTTTAGGTCATGTGCAAGAAAAATCATTTTTACCGTTTAAGTCAATTTTCAACATGATTTATCCATAATTTACTTTTTTTTGAAACACTAGATACTTCTGAGACGTGTACATTTAGTCTAGTAGACTCTAGTTTCATGTGTATTCTTGCCTTGACAACATTTGCGCGTAAACACTGATAGTGTCGGCTCCATGACCATTTTTCTACGCGCAAATGTTGTCGTCACCGTAGGAGCATAAGAATTTTGATCTATAGACTGTAGAACACTTTTCAAAAATCTCTTTTCACATCTTTATAGAAGAAACAATTGGACTGATACGTTTAAAGTCATGATTAGGCGAACCTTATGAGTCATTTCACTTCGCGAACTTCAAAAAAACAGGTTTTCGAAATCATATATCCATATTCAAAAATATCCATGAAATAAATTTTCTTTGAACGACTGGCCTCTATTCTCCCTGGTGATCCTTCAAACTTCTTTTCAATAACTGCATTCGCTTCCTATCAATACTTTCTTCCTCCCGATATCCTGATTTTTACGGAACTCCTGTTGCTGGTAAAATTTTGGTACCGGATTTTTCAGAACCGATCGCCTTATTTCTTTGTTTTCAGAATTGTAACGACTCTGAAGGTGATAGCGTTCGCTCTTCAACCTCGTCTCACCTCCATTCAAGCCCAAAACAATCTGCCTGGCCCATTGATGACTCGCACCTCTTTGAGCCTCTTTTCGATTCCACCTATGCCCATCTGAATCAGGACAGAAAGCACTTCGATGTGACTTTCGACAATCCTACGACGCGCCAGCCAACACCACCTGTGGCCACCGCAAAGCCTTGCGCCGAATATAACCTCATCCAGGAACTGCTCAAGCTGAACATTCGCCAACCGACCACCTCCGAATGGGGCCTTCCGGATGCCGCCGCCGCAGCGGGTCTTGCGCACCGCGACGTCGCCGCGGCAGCTGCCGCAGCCGCTGCCGCCGCCGCGGTCTACCGTCCCACTCCGATCCAGCGGCCGGCGCAGGTGGATGTGTGGAACACGCGACAAGACGAACAGGACGTGTTCTCGCAAATGAACAATAACGACATGAACTACTTCCTGCCGCGTCTCAGCCAACAAGTGCAGCGCGAAGCGATTCTGCGACGGAACAACGCGGTGATGGAATCGCACGCAAGACTTGAAGAATGCTGTGAGGAGTATCGTCAACTGGAGAAGGAACGGAAGCAGACCGAAGCCGAACTGGCTAGACATAATCTCGGCAAGAAGATTAGGTGAGCGGTCCTTTGTTGTTTAGGTAGTCCTTATATGGAGGAAGTGAACAGTCTTCTTTGATGAAGCTGGTGAATGATCACAGGAAAAATCGCTGAATGATACTTAGGGAGGGGGTTAGGGACTAGTTTTAAAAAAGTTTTTGCTGAAAAATCAAAAAAGAAACGCAGCTTAGTGCAATTTTGTGGACACAATATGACCGCAACGCAGACGCGACGCAGTTGCTTGTTTGAATATGAACGAGCACTTTTCATGACGAGGACACAGTAGATAGTATTGGCTTTTTATACCAACCATTGTTATAGAAAAATTATACTGATATTGATTTTATCGACTTTTGCCACAAAATAGCTATGACGTTAACGCAGCGCAGCGTCTTCTGCTACGATTATGATATAAGATTTAGCGAATAATATAGTGTCTCTACGACCCCGGCAAGCTTGCGCAGAAGAATGGCCATAGCGCGCAAAACTAGAAGATGTAGCCATTTTTTACGCGCAGGTGTTGTCAGTACCGCGGGAACACCATTTTAACCATCGCTTTTCACTAAGTCTGCAAGATTACACTTTCATCCGTATCGCATTTTTGGAGTAAAGTCCATCCAATAATCTAACGATGAAGGACAAAAGGTTGTGAAAACCTTTTTGATTTGCTTCGGATCATGTAAAACCAATCTGAATAACAGCTTCTGTACTTTTGCTCAGATTCCGTTAAAAGATAGTAGTGCAAGGTGTACTATGGCTATTCTATAGCTAGAATTCATTTTAATGACACCATGCACTGACCAATGCAAACAGGTTTCTGTAAGCACACCCACGACTTCTAAATTGCCGCTTAATTCCAGTTCTTCAAATGGTCTACCGATTCCACGTCTGCCCACTGCACCATCGCGTGTCGATCGACTTATAGTCGACTTTTTCCGTGAACATGCACGTATCACGACGTTATTATCCAAGATGGAACAACTTCGCGGCGCTCCATTGCCTAGCCCAGTCCATCAGGCGCTAAAAGGTACGTGTGGTCATTGGGTGGTAGGGAAGGGAGGAGGGGGCTGAGATTGTTCAAAAAAAAAATGAAACCAAATGCGATCATCATTTGTGCACACTTTTCTGAGAGCAAGACTAAAAGGGACTTCATATAGGATAGAGGTCCCGCACAGAAAAGGATTACTGTAAATTGAGTATTGCAGAGTTGCTCGAAGCGGTCACTGTTCTACAGCACTGTCGTCATCACGAACGTACAGCAATACTACAGCAATTGCGTGGTGAAACAGTACGATATGATGAGGAGAAAGGTATTTTTGAATTTGATTTTTTTTGCTGATCTATATATTCATTTTTTTGAATTTTAATTTCATTCCTTTTTTTCGAAACATTGGTCATGCTTTTTTACTTGCACTCTTATTCCACGCTTTTTCGTCCAACAATCTAATAATAGTGTAATCGAACACCAAAACGCCAGTTAATGACGCCTATTTTTATTTGAGCCTGTAACTTTTTTCTGCTTGACCTGTAAAGAGTATTCAAAGATCCGCAGACGAAATGTCTTTTTTTGCGTCGTCCTTGAACACTTTGTACCATCCGTAATGCAGCACGTTTTCCCAAGAGTGCAACAACTTTTCAAATGACCTTGTGCTAAATGTATTTTACGACCTCGCACTTTTGCAGAAATATGGAGAGAAAAAATTGAGTGGCAACAGCTGTCGCGACTATGTGTACAGAGTTGTACAGAGCTATAGATATTTTTTTGATGTAGCCGCCCTTGCAGCAACCACTTGTACAATGTGTTCGTAAGAGTCGGGTCCTGGCACGAAAGAAAATGTACTTTGTTAGAATATAGTTATGGTTTATTGCCGGACAAAGTGTAGGAACCTTGTGCATGAACGCGGTTCGCACTCGTATGGTGCATTGCGCAGAGTTTATGAACATGTAGCCGCCCGCGCACCGCGTTCGCCATGCTCAACTTGAACTGCGCCTTTGTCCGGCAATAGACTTTATGTATGGTGCTTGTTAATGATATCTGGTATTACTTTGCCATTGAACATTCCTATTGGCGATTCAAACAGCTATTATCGAAGTTTTGTTTCTTTCCAGAAACCGCCAGTCTGACGCAAGCATTGATTGCCGTTCGACGCGCGGCGTGTCGTGCACGTGCGGTCAACTGGTGCTCGTTGGTATGGACTTTGGGGCCAGAAGATGTTGTCCAGAAGTCGCAGGTGGAGCGTTTGGTTGCATCCGATTTTTCCGTTGGACCCCCACCGATCCGCCCACGTCCGCTGAAGAATTGACCAATGGGTCGAAGAGTCCACAATGTCACCGAGCTCTTCACCTACCCTATGCATAGAACCTTTTGATTGGCAAATTCATTGTTTTCTACTGATTATGAGACAGTTGTTGAATTGTTCGGCGCCTCAATCGCCTCTCCCACTCCCGTTGTTATTAGCGCGATTAGCCTTGCGCGCGCATGTGCATGCGTCACGTATGCGTGCATGTACGCGCGCGCGTAAGGCACGAGTCATCATCAGAGCCGTCTCTCATACATTTTCGTTTGTTCTGTTCTAGAACCCCATTCCTTGTAAATATGTTGTAAAACGGTTGCGCAACCGTTTATGCGTGAGTGTGTGTTGCAGTTGTCGGGCGCGAGTCGCGCGCATTCGCCGTCTCACTACTATTTCTCTCCCAACCTTCTTTATTTTACTACCACACATACCCTCCCCCCACTATTATATTTTCTCATCGCGAGTTGTCGTTCGTAGTCTGTCTAGCCATTGTAGTGATCAACCGTGGTCCGTGTTCACCGGTGTAGATCTTACGTAGTACTCCCTCGGTACCCGGTTTAGTTTATCGCGAAAATTACAGTAGTTACAGTGCAAGCCCCTCCCCCTCTAACTTTTCATCATCCCCTTTCTACACATACCCTGTGAAAATCCTCCCCGTTGATGACCTAATGTTCACACATCCTCTGTTTTCTTCTGTGTCTTCCTTACTACTATTCTTAATAATAACACCATAAGTTTGTTTGATGTTTTCGGATATTTCTGTTCGGGCGCAGGTAGCAAAATAATAAACAGTCATAGTCAGAACGAGTTGTTTCTTGTGAGGCTACAATGTCTCCGAAAATTCCGTTAGAAAGGGTTTGGTAGGGAAGAACGTCGAGCTCCGGCAGCCTCCGCCCGCGAGAACATCTGTCACAAACTGTGCACGTTTACACGTTAGAGCTCGTACCAGTTGTTCGCGCGGGTGAAGCCTATCGGCTTCTTAATTATGCTCGCCTGAGCATCATTGCGTTGCGCAAGTTTCAACTACTACTTGAATAATATATATTAAATACAGAAGAGAAGCACGCGCAGCAAGTTAAAAGTGTGGGCCAACCCACACCGGTGCCGCCATATCGTGTCATGACCAAGTGGGCCAAAATCCAAGCCCCCTGGTTTCTGTCGGAATTATGAAAGTAAGCTGTTTCTTGCGCAGAATAAAAATTTCCTGCTTCCGCGCAGAATTTAGAACCCTTACAACTCATTTTAGGAAAAGCCACTTCAGCTTTTTTTCCGTATCATCACGTCCATTACGCTACATTTTACGACATCTATACATTACGCTGAGCATGTGTGCAACTCATCGCTTTTTTGTCTTTCGAAAATGGTATTACACCCTATGAAGCACTACAGCAGTGTAAAGGCTGCTACAATTCAAACCAGTGGTTCTAAGCACATTTGCAAGGATGAATTGTTAGGAGTGGACGGAAGGAGGGGGGCATAGCTACACTTTATTGCAGTTTTATAGAAGCATTAAGGTACGGTATCAAGAAAATATCAACTATAAAAAGAAATCGTCTACAATATTGAGATCAAGACTGAAAACATGCAACCCGTTTCTTACGACATAATGCTGTCGTATTTTCACAAGCGACTGCTGTCGCGCGCGAACCGCAAGGCTTGGCGTGCGCGCCGCTTGCGGCAGGCCGCCAACCGTGACTACTACGTGACTACGCCATGCTATGGCGCAAAGTCGCCTTTCAAAGTGAAACTTCCAAAAAAGCTGACGATGTGTTTAGACTTCAGTCCGAGTTTGCGTACTATGCGATACACCTTCGACTGCGAAAATTTTATTGCTCCAATAAATTCAGATCACCATTCTCAGCTCCGCATTGCTTCTTTTTTCTGGTCATAAATGCGCAGGGTGACCAGCGCAACTTTTCCATAATGTTAGTTTTTGTTGGCGCGTATGCCGTACTGACACAGTTTTCACTGCCGCATTTGGGTTGCTGTAACGAGGTCGAAATGTAATATGTGACCTCAAAACGTCGACGGATTTCGGTGGATTTTGCAATTTTTGACGAGCAGATTGGACCGTGCTGGTCAGCGTTTTGACACACGTCAAGGGAATTCCCTTCGCTGAGAGCGCTGCACCAAAGTTCAGTTCAGACGTGGACACAAGTAAGATTATGCGGGAGATGTTCAAAAACAAAAAGGAATAAGAGACGAGGAAACTCCACAGAAGCGCAGCATCTCGTGCTAAAAGTTGTATCACCGTCTCTTAGACTCATGTATGATAGAAAGACTTGTTTGAAATTTTTCAAACTACAACTGAACAAGAAATCCGTATGTAGAACATATGTCTACCATTGCCAAATTGTAAGACCCGTCTGAGCTATAGCCTACAGTCTGTCTCAATCGAGATCGGATCGAACCGGGGAGTGAATTTGCGCGCTCGCAGCATCAAGAGTTTGCGCTGCCTGTGCGCACTGTTGGAGAGAAGAGGCTGAAAAGGAAACAAACAAGTAGGCTGTAGACGTAATGCAAAACCCTAGCGACGCGGTTTCCGCCATGTCAATTTTGGCCAGTTCAGATTGGGACGGACTGTAGTAGATTTGACGATTGATAGGGCTCCAGAGCCAACAACATCTGCGCATAGAAGATGGAAAATGCCGACAGCCTCAAAATTTATGTCTCATGACCTTTGTCGCGCATTGTTGTCAACGCAGAAATAGATCAGCTGACGTCTTGTAGGTTTTTGAATAAAGACAATGAGGTAATGTGCGTGTACAGACTGAAATCCGAAAAACAGATTCCAAAGTGATTGTCAAATACAGTCTTTTTCAACCCGGAATAGGCGAAACATTCCAAGTGGAGCAGTGCATCCGCACCGCCACTGGCTCAGAATAGAATGAAGAGACGCAGACTGTAGGGTGGAGCGAGTCGTTGCGAAGTGGCTCCCGCCACTCCAATTTCCGCCTAAACTGAGTTGAAACTTACTATACCAAAATGACAAAAGACTATGAACCCATATCAGACAATTCTTAAAACTTTACTACTTTTACTACAACCGGTTAACACGCTCGCCCGACTCCGCCGTGGAAGTCTGGGAACCGATGGTACAGTCCGTGTCAACATTGTGCTCGCATTTCAGCGGCCAAATCGCACCAAAGTCTCGCGCCGCGTTCGCACGCGTGCAGCTTGCGCATTCAAAACTTGCCTCGTCGTACGGGGTTGTCGCGCTATGCCCCTGCGGTGCGGACGCGTAGCTGCTACGGAAAGGGAGCATTTGGTTGACATCGATTGTACAGTCGAATAGATTTTCCGCTCAATATAGTGTGCTTGCACAGAAGGTGAAATGCGGGTGAATTTGCTCGTGAATAAATAGCCACGCCAGTATTGCCGGCATTTGGCGCGCGCAGTTGACCAGCGTCACATCAAAGCTATTTGTTGACGCGCAAATTTTACCGCTTTTCACCTTCTGTGCAAGGCCACCATATCAAGCGGAAAATCTAATCGATTGTACACGCATTGTAGTTTGGGTTCCTACAGCTTTTTTGCCCACTGAACTTCTTATAAGAGGCTGTGATTCTATCACAAAGATATGAAAAGATCTTAGCGCTGGCATCTGAACTGCAAAAATGGCTGAGATTTAGAAATTGTCAGAATATTCTAGTACCAGTCGTCGTGGTGACCCTGAACTGACGAAAAAGCCTCAACAAATCTGAAACGTTCTGAGTTGAGTTAATTTTACATTCTCCTTTAATTTTCAATTCTCTCATATAAAAATGAACATGTTCTGCCAAATTCATGGAGCGATGACAGGCTGATTATGAACAAAAGGGCACAAAACACTGCGAATCTTGACCTATAGAAGAAAAAAGACATTAAAAAGGTAAGAAAACGCCTAGAACAACACAACTAGTAGCGACCACTTCATTGTTAGAGCAGTGTCTGCCAATCAGACCAAAAGTACTGCGCATAGAAATGGGTTATTACTTGACTTCAGGCGCCGGCTCCTACCACCTACCCATCTCGTTCCGGCACGGTTCCGGCACAACCCCCACAGGATGCTGAGGTTGTTCCGGAATTGCGCCGGAACGTGACAGAGAAGAGAGTATCTGCATCTTTCCACGATTTCTCCTATAGATTTCTCGTATGCCGTTCATTCATAGTTATTACTCCTTCTAGCAGACCGAGACTACAGTCGATTTCGTATGATCAGTGGTATTATTGCATACACTGTCCATCTTTGGCGTTCTTTCCTGAACTCTTTTTTCGGCGTTTTCTTGAAATATTCCCTTTTTAGGTAGTAATCTCCTCAAATTGATGTAAGCGATAGTATTGTAAGTATAATTGGTCAGTGTGGTTTTGCGATTGTAAATCCATGAAGACGCCAAATATGAACAGCGTGTGCACTGCACACATGATCATTTGAAATACTCAGGCACTCGCACCGGCCGGTGACCGTCCGACTACCGGCCGGTGGGGGTGGTGTCAATTTCACTCAGCCGCGTAGTCTACGACCACCGGCCGGTATTCGGACGGCCGCCGGCCGGAAAGGTACGGCCGCCAGCCGGTGTGTACTGAGGAACGGTAGAACTGTTTTACATGGTAGAACTGTCTTTTATTCACTGGCATATAGGAAAATACACTGCAAAGAACAAAGGTCAGGTTCGCTGATGTAGCAGCTTCGGAGACCACGTCCGATTTTAAAATTCGACAACACCGAGATACTATCGAGGGTTGTCCACAAGACAACATGTTGCCTTGTTCTGAGATACGACGCATGGTTAGGCTACCCTCAATGCCTTGTATGTTCTTCAATTTCCGAAGCAGGAACAAGGCAACATGTTATCTTGTAGACAACCCTCGATAGTATCTCGGTGTTGTCGAATTTTAAAATCGGACGTGGTCTCCGAAGCTGCTACATCAGCGGCCTTGATTTTTGTTCAGTGTATTTTCCTATATACCAGTGAATAAAAGACAGTTCTACCATGTAAAACAGTTCTACCGTTCCTCAGTATACACCGGCTGGCGGCCGTACCTTTCCGGCCGGCGGCCGTCCGAATACCGGCCGGTGGTCGTAGACTACGCGGCTGAGTGAAATTGACACCACCCCCACCGGCCGGTAGTCGGACGGTCACCGGCCGGTGCGAGTGCCTGAGTAATTTGAATATTGTGGAATGGAGCTCGGACCAATCAGAATAGGTGGTAATTAAGCCATGCAGAGAAGTGAATCCTCTCAACTTTCAGAAACTATCGTCCATATTGTTTAACCAGTGACCATCCTGTCACCTCTCCTGAAGAAGCCCTATTCCGTGTGGCACAGTGCCAGCACTGGCCCGACACGTGCGCGCTTTTGAACGAGTATAAACAAAGAGAAGAAGCTTTGCCTTTTATGCACAAGGAGTCTACTTGCTAGTTAGAGTGCCATAAACCTCTCATAAGCAACGCTTTACAGGAGGCTATTCAATGATATAGGGAGCAATTCCGATAGATGTCTGTTTGAAGCAGTCCACTTGCCAATTCCGCGCTTTTTTACAAAGTCAAAGAAAGGGATTCGCCCTTTTTTGCTTGACTTTCTTGCTAGATAAGTATCTACTACAAACAGGTTCAGTGGAGGAATAACTCTTTACTTATGTATTCAGACGCAATTCTTGTAGTTCCAGAATGTTCCAGAATGGTATATTGGATGAGAGGCTTCCAGCAAAGTCAAGAAAAGGAGAAAAAAAGAAAAGAAATTTTATGGTGACGTCGCAGTTTGAATCGTCGCTGTCCAGTCTGAGCTTACGGGCAACTTAATGAAGGTTCTACACGTCACGCCTGTTTTCACTCGGTCAGTGTTTTTCTCCCTTTTTTGCTTTCTTTTTTTCCTTTCACTTGTTGTATTTTGGGGTAAATTTCTTGACAAAGTGTTTCGATCGTTCTATCTCGTTACCAATTTGAAATCATGTAATCATTGACAGAGGGCAAATCGGCTTTCAAAGAAAAAAACAGCGGAATGTTTACAGGAAGCTTATTGATCATTTCTTTGAGTCTTCTCCTAGAACGGCTAATCGTCAATCAACTTCAAACTTCTCATTCTTAAAACCTTCGGAAGAAGTCGTTTAGTTCTTGCTGTTTTCTCAATAATAGTCCATTTGCCTTCGATAACGTTGAATATGCAATAAAACACATTTGCCTTGCCATTATAATGTACGAATAATTTATCGTATGCGTTCTTTGTTTATCACAGTTTTTGGATGAGTGCCGTTATAAACAATCCCATTGTCCAGGGTCCCGTCTGATTCTGTTTATTCGATTTGCCGTGCAGCCCAACCACTTTATCTCGCACTAGTTTAACCATTTACTTCCGTTTGCTCTATAGTACGAAATCTCCTTGTTTCTCATTTCCTAGAATTTGCTTTTTATGTGTTTCTTCTATCTTCCAATTTGCAAATCGTTTGCTGCTCAGATTGTTCATTTGCCTCCTACACTGCCATTTCCCACGGACATCCCTGCTTTTCTCTCATGAAACTAGCTGTCGTCACTCTCGCCTTCTGTCATCTCCTGCAATCACAGACTATCTCACAAGGGAGGTCCGATTAGTCGAAGTGGCCTTTCCAAATGAGTCTTATACCACTCTAAAGAGCATCAGACGATGATTCCAAATCTGATTTCATTATCTGTCGAGTGCCTTTGCATGCCGAGTTATAAATATTTTCTCGGTGTAAAAATTATCACATAATCTAGGTTAAATCAAATTTACGGTCTTTTTAGAGCTCAGATAGAGCAGTGTTTAGAACTAGTGTTTTGGACAGAAGGTATTGTTCAAATAGAGTGCTCTAATAATCAACATTGGCCCATTTGAGCAATTCTGACAATAATTAGGCATTCAATTTTCCAACTCAAAAAGTGCTCATAACTCGAAGTCCAGAGGCGCTCGGCAGATAAAGAAGACAGATTTGGAATGAGCATTCGATGCCTTTATAGTTTTATCAGTTTTATGTGAAAAGGTCACTTCGACCAAACGCACCTGTCTTGTCAAAGACACAACTGCGTTCAGTCTTTGGTACCTCAAATCACCAGTCCTACAGCGTTGACTAATTTTTGAATCAAAGTTTGCCAGGGATAAAAGTTTGGTGAATCCTTACGTTTTCTGAAATGCTTTAAAGGCACCGTCCGCTCTAAGTTGAGGGCCTTGGGCTTTTGGCAGCATATGATATTAGGATCGCCATCAAGCCAATGCTCAGGTCGCGGCGCAAAATGCTGCTTTGGAAGCGAGAAAATCGCTCAGGAGTAACGAAGACGCACGAGGACTTCCAGACGGCACCGCCCTCCCCATCCATGCCCACCCATCCATGCCCGCCCAGCCAATCACCGTTCCAGAAGCCGGCCTGCGGGTTCTCCAGAAGGGGACTGTTGGGCTTTTCGCGGATTCCCGACTTCACATTCGGAATCAGGGACATGAGAAGACTCTGAAACGACAGAAACGTGGAAGTCGAGAATCTGGGTGGACGGTGCCTTTAAGCTTTTCTTTCTTGGGACATTGCTTTCGCCCTTATGTGATGTCGCGTTCTCAGTATTTTTTAGTCTATGGCTTACAGCCATGCTCTATTTCTGTCTTTTGGTATCAATAATGCTACAGAATGCTTCTCTCTCATTGCAACTTCAGTGCTTAAAATAGGGAAAAGGGAAATGGGCTGCAAGTGCAATGCCATATGCACATTAATCGGCGTCGTTCTGCACAATAGAGTCATTCTGCGTTGCTTGCACAGAAGAGCGAATTAGAAATTTGCACTGAAACATTGATTTGCATGTAGCCCAATGAACCATAGATTTGCATTCCCGACATCGACCATGTCATAGCGATATCGAGTGTAATATCACAACGGCTATCCAATCCAAAGCGTTCGTATTGATGTCTTGTTTATTGTCGCGCAGCTACAAAACGCGTAGACGCAGAAAAGTTCCGGTTTCAGGGTGCGAATGTTCGTGAATGACCATCTGATTGTTGTGTTCATTGTGTAGTGTCAAAATTACTTTCACTCTGCTCTATATGCACTTTCCATCTTCTTCTGCACTTCGTTCCTTATTTTGAAATCCACTTCCGTTCCTTCCTGTTTGCTATCTCTTTTCATGGACTTACCGCCGAGCATAATTTATTCAAAGTGCTGCGTTCCAGAGTTGAAATCTGGCTTTGGATTATGATAGAATCCCGTCATAAAACCAAAATTAGACTGTATGATATTAAGTTGGAAGTGACGGTAACTACTGGGTTGTTCCTAGAGTTTCTTCAGGAACACAATAGTCGTCGAAGATTCTTTCACGATCATGATATGTGTGAACGAACAGCATATAATAGTTTGTCTTTTTTTCTGACTGAGAGCATATGGTCCTATTGTCACAACAGCCTGGATTTTGTGCGGATGTACATATCACCAAGAGATTTCAATTATTGTATTTCCTGTTTGGCAGCTGTCCATTACCATATCTCAATTCATATTTTCGCTAAATTTTTCTTAATCAGTCGTCATGCTTAGCCTCACTTTCGGTGATTTTTGAAGGCTCTGGTGTAGTTTCTAAATACGATAAATTGACGAGACCTTGCTCTTTATGTGCTTTTTCCAGAATTTTCTGTCGATTCTTATAGTCTCCATAGTCTTAACCCTCTAAATTTTGCGTATCCTAGCGATTATGGCAACCATCGGAGATCATGATATATTTTTTGAATCTCTGGTAAGCACATCAAGCTGAAACTTATCAGTAGTGCAAACTTTGCCCTCTATGTCCATTTACCTTCTTTCTCCCCTGAGATGTGGGAGTCCGGAAGATTCGTGGCTGTCCGCAGTCTTGTAACCTTCTTGCGGGGTAGATTTTTCGTAGCTTAGGCAGGACATGGTATATACCCTCTGTCCCATTTGAAGTGAGCGCCCACTTCGCCTGTCTCTGCTCGGGGTTCGCGAACGTTCTATCTGATGATTTTCCCATGCCCAAGAGTGACCAAGAGCTCATAAAGGAGTTTCATTCGATGATTTGTGTGAAAAAAGGTCAGGAACTTGTTTGCGAACGCTTTGTAAGCCCAAGCGAGGCGGCCGCGCTAAACACCCGCTCGACTTAATTCACTCTAAATGAGGCTGAGGATACCTTCCCCGGGCACATGCGCGACGCGGAAGAAACAATATTCAAAACCGTTGAAGATTCTCTTGAGACCTTTGGTTTTCGAATTGATATGATTTTGATTGATTAGGAATAAGAAGATATCGAATTATCAGGTAAAAGTCATATCTTGTTAATCAGATCTAAAAATAACAAAGCAAGGAAGAAGAAGAAGGGAACAGATCGATTTGTTGACATTTTCAACAAGCAGTGCATCTGAAGTTGCCGGAGTTACCCGTGCCAGCATCATGCCAGCGTCGTGCCGGAACATTGATGGTACGGGGCGCGTTAGTGGGTTCCGGCGCGGCGTTGGAACCGCGCTGACACAGCATCGGCACACGACAACGTCTGAACGCAACCTAAGTTACTCCGAGTTTGGTGTGCACCGTGAAACTTCCAGTGAGAAAAATTTTTGGATACAGACTATACCAGCTGTGTTTTTGCAGAAGAAAAAACTCTGCAAAATCGATATCATGAACGTGACTAATTTGTTGAAAACACATAAAACCAGTTCCAGACAATTTTCTTGTAGTCCTGGTATTTTTCTACATTATGGCTAATTAGCGTAGCGCTATCAAGGGTGACCTTGTAATATAGTTTTGAGTTTTGCGAAACAAATTTTTACAGTAAAATAGACCTCAAAGTTTGTAAGTGCCAGTTCCCTATGTCGCTTTTTTACTACTCTGTAGTTATATGTAGACTTATAATGATCTGCTCGTTTAAGCTATGAATACTATGACTTTAAAGGGGTTGGGGGATAGAGAACAAATATTTTTTGTACGCCTTTTCTGGGATTCAGAAGGTACAAAATTGTATATTACGCTCACAACACTTGGTTACCTTTTGGTTTCTAGTTGGGATCCACATTATTGCTGAGTTCAATGAAAAAAATTTGGGAAAGGAATTCCTTACCGCTTGGTTGTCGAACCGGGGCAATTACGAAATACCCTTTGTTTTATTTGGCCCTTCCACCTTCGTTGTTACCCATGTTCATACCTTACTGGGCGATATCCACTGAGGTTTTCTTTTTCAGATGACCCTAGCAGATGATGTACTCCCCTATTTATCATTTTCCGCTATTTGTTCTACTATAGGATTATTTTTATGCGGACTTCAAATCTGCCAAAGGATTCATGAACGTGGCAATACTGAAGGCACAGGCTCTGGCCCATTCCTAATTACATTTCTATCATGTGCATTTTGGCTGCAGTACGGTGCATTGAAACGGGATAACGTGGTTATTTTCGTGAACGTAGCTGGATTTTTCCTGGAGGCCTGCTATCTGGCGTACTATTATCGGAAGACACGGCAGCCTGTGAGTTCTTTACCATTGTCTATTTTCCAACTCCTTTTATTTTTTGATTCCGAAATGTTTTCAATCTAAGACTGTTAGATGGGGTTTTGCCATCGTTTGCGTGCATGCGCGTGAAGGAGGCGCTCGCCAGGCGCCGTGCACGTTTTCTACGACTCAAAGGCATTGTGTGTTGGCGCCTCAGAGGCAGCGCATTGCGTTTTCTGCGTAGACGATCGCACAAATCACTTAGAACTGGCTTGTATCACTTCATATAAATTCAACAGATGGTTGTTATTCCAATAACTTCATTCTTCTCTCACTTTTCTTGTATCATTTTTGTTGATATCTACTAGCGGCGTCTTATGCAATCTTTAAAAGTACTTTATAAAATCAAGATTTGATTTTTCATCATTCAAAAAATCCGAAAGCTTGACTTACATATAAGTGTTGCATTTTCATAGTAAACAGGGATTTTGAAACACTGCAATAAAATAATTTGTACTACAATAAAATAGTCTCAGAAAATCGTGCAGTTTACTCATTTGAACTTTCTCTCTTCCTTTTTTTTCTCTTCCCATTTACTGCACTTTACAGCACCACATGTTCCTGTGTTATCAGTATAGCACATTCATCTTTTTCCTAGCCCTTGCGTCGTATTCCCTTCTGATTATATTGTTTCTTTGTTCCTCACCCTCCAAAACCGATGTTTTTGCATCACAGAAAAACATGATCTGTGAAAGGGCCGGCAGTTCAATGCTAGGTTTTTCTAACTGCGCGAAATCGACAAATTCTCACCATTCAAATGGGTTACGAAACCACACGCGCTCGAATTTGAATGTGGTGAAAATGGCGCAGCTTGGCAGAGGGTATTGTCTTTGAGGTGGGGACCTTCAGGGGCCAGAAAGAAACAGTAATCTGAAGCAGAAGTGAAAGGGGGAGGGCGGGAAGGAGAGAGAACAGGTTTTTCACTATCTGGGAGTGTAAATATGGTTTATATGAGTACATTTAAACGTTTTTTTTCTTTCTCGCAACTTACCGAGGAAAATTAGTCTCAACTCACGTTAACTTCGTTTTATCTTCATCCAATGTGAGCGTTATTTTATTTTTTCTCAATTATTTCCAATTATTTACTGTGAATGTAGAATTGCTCAGGAAAATCTGCCAGTATTTGCTTTCTAACTTTCGAGCTGATGTGTACTCTATTCTTTGACCTTTTCGAAGCTTTATGACTGTACTGGCTAACGATCTTAGAGTCCTAGTTTTATACTTTAGTGCAAATCGACAGAACTAAATGCGTTCTTTGCAACGAAATGCATGCCTTGCGGATTGCATATGAAGAAACTGGGAAAAGGACTGATCGGGGACAGGGTCCGGCACGCGTTGGTTTGGAGGTTTTTAGGAAACGAAGTCCCCCATGACTTCGCGAAAATTTACGAAGTCCCTCTCGACGTGAAAATCAGTAGAGAAACCCTTATTACAAAAAAGCGAAAAAAGCGCATTTTGAGGTATGTAATATAACAAAAAAGCAAAAAGAAAACATTTCGAGTCGATTAAAGGCTCTGCCATTGGATATAGTACCATTTTGATGCTGGGAATGTCGAGAATCTCCTAGGCCAAAGAAATCTGTAGCCTCAACAATCCTGCGATGCATTTTTCGCCACGTATTTCAAAGGACACCGCAAGTGATTGGAGCGCGATATCTACCAACGCGTAGAATTATACTACTTTTGACTCAAAAAAGGGTAGAGGCAACTATTTGATCCGCTCTCTTCACTATATGATAGATGTTTGACCGTTCTAATCGTCCAAATCAAAAAGGTCCCAAACTTATGTGAACTCTCCGATATTTATGCTCCGAACCAACCCAGTTGGTTTGGTAGTTGGTCTAGAAACCAACAAATTCGAGAACGGATATTAGGACACATAAGTTTTGGGAACTTTTTACATAACATAGTTTGGAGTAATATTGTATACTCATAGCCCAAATTCAAAGCCATGTGATTGTTTGTGCGCTGTAAACAAGCCACTTGTTTGTTTGAGTCTTGCATTTGAAATTCGCGCGCTTGCGAAAGAACGCGTTCAACTCGTGAAACCTGACATGTTCGCCGTGTTTTTTTGGCGCTTCCTCCAGGACCTCATAGAAACGATGTCCCCGTTGCTTCTAACTCCGAAAACGAAGTCCAATTTGACCCCAAACCATCGGTGCCGGGCCCTGATCGGGGATCACAAACTAGGCGAAATAACAACAAAAATTTCAGATTACGCATTGATTCTGGCGTCAGCGATAGTCGCAAATTTTTGAAACTAACCTGTACATAAACATGCGCAAGCGGTCTGTTTTCCCTACAAGTAACTGAATTTTTTCAGATTTGAAAACTTCAATTAGCCCTGTTAAATGCTGTGTTGCTTACATCCTAATTTTCAAAATGTTTGCTTTTTTGGAAATGCTGTTTTATTGGGAAAATTTTGCGAATCTCTTTGGGTTTCCTTGCTTGTCTCGAACGAACATTTTTTTAGTTCAAGAGTAATTTACAAACAAAAAGTCGAATACATTAGTTGACCAGAGAATGATGTGTGTCCGGAAAAGCTAATTTTTTCCTGCAAAGCTAATAAAGATATTTGAAGCAGTTCTGAATTAGTGTTTCTTTCTTAGCATATGAGCGCTAAAACCAAGGCTTTTCTGCTTTGGCTGCTTTCTTGTTTTTTTTTCTTCCAGTTTTCTAAGCAATAAGCTGAAATCAAAAACAGTTCTTTATTAATCTGTATACGTGGTGTTTGTGAGCTAATAACAGTTGAGCACTTTGGCACCAAAAAAAGAAAGCCTAGCATCAGCCAAAATTTTCCGCTCTATTGCGTATGGTATGGCGTGACATGTAGGTGTGGGGAAATCTTCTTAACTTCTTTGTAGGTAAAAACAGACATTGATTGATCAAAAACATGTGATGACGCTGCGCTGAATTTTCAAATTCTGCTCTCGAATTCGCGCGCAGTCAGCTAGCATTTTTCCTAAGAGCAAGTTCAAAGGTCATTCTCGCTAGTTCTACCATGCCAAACTGTCTAACGACATATATACACACAAGGGGTGAGACTGCGCGAGAACGACGACGGCATGACGACGACGGCGGGGCGCGCGATGACCTCCTGTGGGGCTGTGCCGGCTTGCACAGCTGGCACGATTCATGTCGAAGGACACAGGTTGTGTCGTGCAGGTCTTACGTACTTGCGCGCCGCACATGTGAGTCAACAAAGAACTCCTTGCATGCTAGAATTTGACACATCCGCGTCTTATAGTTTGCTATAAGCAGTTAGGGAGCGAGGGACTAGGGGAGGGTAAAATTTTTAGTATGAAAAAAGGGGGATTTTCCAGCGCCATGAAGGACTCGTTGAACAGGCGCAGCAAGTAGCAAACTTCCACTAGGCTGACAAGACGGAAATTCAAGTTGCGCCTTGCTCTCTGAAAAAACAAAAAAAAATGAAATAATCGGATCGTACTGTAGAGGAGAGAATGTTTCCTTATTTATTCTAAAAGCATTATGGTCCCGTTAGTCCATGCCGTAATTTTGCCGTAACATAGGAAAGATTCTACTATGGATTGAGTAATATTGCTATTACCGAAGTCACAAAGTGTTATAACTCCTTTAGTCCAAAACCAGTCGAGTACGTAATTTTGTTTTTCCATGAAATACCTACCGTAACCAGTGGGAGCAAAAAGGAAAGTGGCAGAAATGGCAGCATCTTAACCTATAGGATAGTTGCGCACTGTCAAAGACGAGATGGGCAAAACATGGAAACTGGAAGGTTATGAATAGGGTGCAAGAATTAATTACTATTTCAGTATTTTAATCATAAGATGTGAAGATTGTCAAAGTGAATGATGAGGAAATTGTCAAAATCTTTGTGATTTTTCTTCAGTTCCATATATTAAATCGGGATTAACTATCAGTTGATCAAATTAATTTTTCAACAAACGTAGGACAAGAATCAAAATCATTAGCCTAAGCGGCGTGCCAAATAAGTGCATTTAGATTGTGGATTGTAAGGTCTGTCATCTATTTTACTAGATACTATCAGTTGTTCAAAGATTTAGTTTTTACCAAACAATATCGATATCAATTTTTACGTCTTTGTTCAGATCCCACTGCATAATCTCCTTTGGACGTAGTAATAAAGGATTTTTCGAAAAGCGTATCATAAACTATCGACTCCGTTAGTAACATAAGATTGAATCTGTCAAATTCATAGTTTCTACGGTGAGTTACTGATCGAAGTAAGAACACTACTTCTTCACTCACATCGTCGCAATACTGTTCCCATCTTACCAACCATTCGTAAAGGACATGCAGTGTGAGCGTTCGTGGTGTAATGGTTAGCATGGATGCCTTCCAAGCATTCGACGGGGGTTCGATTCCCCCCGAACGCAAACGTTTTGCAATGTCTGCATGATTCAACTATAGACTCCAATTCTTGTCAGTGCTTGTTTTTGACATGATAAAAGTAAAAATAATGGTAGTCTTAAATTCACTGCTTTCTGCTAGCTTTTCCAGGTGAAGGTTTTGCATTGAGGAAACCAATACGGAAGTTTGCTTCGAATAACTTTTGCTAACAAGCACTTATGATGTAATGATGCATATATACTTCCAAAATCGGAAGTTTTGGGGAATTTTGGATATTTATTTTGACACTGAACAGCGAAGAGATTAGGTGAACATTTTTTTTACTCGAACTAGTTTGAGTTTTAGTTGTTTTCTTTCCTCAATTATAGTGTGCTTCACTGAAGTTGTCATAGGCATGTCATTATTATACGTCAATGATGGAGCAAACTGAAAAAAAAGTAGAACGAGTTCTAATATTGCTATCTGATTAGGGCTGTGTTCGTGGTTTCCAGCAGAGAACTGGAGCGTTGGGTCTATGGGAATAGATCTTGTGTAAAAATTTTAAGTCCTAATCGATCAATGTTTATCTTCAAAAATATCTGTTTCCCCTTATTAACTAGAGGAGACGTATGTAAAGGTGTTTATGATCAAATTTTGCGCAAATTACATTTAGGCAGGCCTGAGGGGACCAGTAGTCCTCACTTTCGTTCTAGCAGTTATTAGGAGGCTGCATCCTTTGTAGTACGCAAATTTTTTTTTTGTAAATTGTGCAATGTATCGGAAAAAATGAAGAGGTTTGTTTTATATTACCAACTCTTTCAGCGATTGTTACGAAAAGTCATCGCCGCCGAGCTTGCTGCCATCGCCGCAATGCTTTATGTGGTCAACTATGGTGGATTGAGAGATAACGGCCGAGAATGGCTTGGCATGATCTGTGTTGTTATGAACATCGCCAGTATTGGATCACCACTTTTTCAAATTGGACAGGTGGGTAATTTACCTGTCAGCCGTTCAAAAAGGCATTTTTTGCATTATAAATATAACGCAAAGTATCGAGCTGTACACAGCGCGGCAATGCAGCGATGCCTCTGAGTCGCAATATCACAGCGACTCAAAGGCGTCGTGACCGCACGTTGCACAAAAAGTAGTTGGATTTATGAATAGTTGAAAATATATTGTTTTTTTGGGAGGGGGGGGGGTTGGATTTTCTCTCAGTTGATGTACTGCTGCTTATAAAATCTTTTCAAGGTTATACGAACGAAAAACTCTGAGTCCATGCCTCTTCCGCTATGTTTGGCATGTTTTGCTGTAAGCTTACAATGGTTATGCTATGGAATACTGGTCAAAGACTTCTACATACAGGTAAATACTTTATTACAAGAACCTGAGTTTATAAAATAAGTGAATATTATTCTTAAGGTACCGAACTACGTAGCAACATTATTATCAACAATTCAACTGTCCCTATTTGTTATTTATCCACGACGGCCGACATTTGTGCAATTACAAGCTGATAATCATTCAGTTTAATATGTTTGTATATATGGCACAGTTTTTGATACTCACAACCCGTTTTGCGCTGATGATTCACCGAAAGATACCTCTTATAGATTGTTAAAATTCTAGTAATTTCATTGTTATTGTTGTAAAGAGATCATCTTCTATATTTCTTGTCATCTTTTGGGAGCTGGGTTGGTCCAACGATTGTGTTTGTTGTGGCTGCTGCTTGACTTTGGTGTTGTGGCTTTGAGCGAATGTTCAAGAATCGGCTTTGAAACTGAAAAATGGAAAATATGTCTACTACATGGTCGAGGGAACACACAAAGTAGCGCATATCAAATTCATCGCAATCCTTCTAAGCCAGCTGAACATCACGGCTGCATGTGTGGATGCACCAAACGCACATTCAAGATATCTACCCAAATATGAGACTGATGAGATTTTGATGCGGTACAATAGCGAGGCCGCTATCCTGTCGAACAGCTAAAGTGCTATCAAGCCCCGCCCAGATCCTACCAAGCTCCGCCCACCCATGTACTGAAATCCGTCCGTGTTTTCAGGAGAGAGTCCCAAGGAGTCAGGTTTTTTGAGGTTTTTGGCCAGTTTGAATGTCGTAACCATAATCAGGGCCACGGAAAGGCTCCAGAATGGCAAAAACATAGGCGAATTTCTGGGTGGACGATGTCTTTAAAAGTAAACCCGAAACTAATTCTGTGAAGCTTAGTAGTTATAAAATCCCTTATCATTGTGAAAAACATATTTTTGACATTTCTAAGTATTCTGGATAATCCGGCTCTCCCTTAAAGATCACCCACATTGGTGGGCGTGGCGACCCTAGTAGCGCCCGCCTTCTACGGCGATTTTCTCGCTTTGGAAGGCACCTTTTGCAGCGAAACTTGGGCAATAGATGATTGAGATCCTCTCTATTGCTACCACAGAACCTCACCAGTCTTGGGTTTGGGCGGACGGTTCCTATGAAACACGCAGCACTAACGCATAGATTTCTTCGCAGATTACTTTTCTAGAATTTATAAACTGACAAATAACACTGCAAAGCTTTGTAAACCGGTAGTTCCTCTTTATCCAGGGTTTCCGTATCGCGCTTCTAAGTCAAACATTTGCATCTGATGTACGCGCTGCATGGAAGACAAATATTTGACCCCTTCTCCATAGCCGATGTACACAAACAAGTATTTGACACCTGTCACAAGATACAGATCAATACCAACCTCAACATTCATCTTTGGCGCTGGAGCTGCTATTTCCGCTTGTTGCATCGTTTCTGTTTCCTCATGGTGACTTGGCTCCAGTCCAAATTCCTCTATAGGCATAACATCACCCATAGCCTCTGGGCTAGAACTAAAATCCTCGTCTAGTGAGAGTCGATCCATATTTTGTTCATCCTAGAATACATAATCTTATATATAAAGCTGAATGTCTGTTTGTCTGTCTGTCTGTATGTCTGTCTGTGTGTACGTATGTTCCGAATAGAAAATTCCATTTCTGAACCGATCGGGACCAAACTTAGCACACATACACTTCGGGCTCCGGCGGGTAGTGGACTGTGTGATACCACTGCTTTCGAAGTGTATATGTGCCAAGTTTGGACCGGATTGGTTAAGAAATGGAATTTTCTATTCAGAACATACGGCGGAGCCGGGTAAGCCAGCTAGTACGTAATAAACACAAGTATTTCTCATGTAGTAGACAAAGGAAAACTCTGGCAAGTTTGGAACTCGAGTCATTTACGACGAAAAAAATTGTTATATCCATTGTCCTCTGGTAAGATTACTCTAGGAGATTTAAAATAATAACTTGAATGATTAATAACTTGAATGATATTATTCCAACGAGGTTTCCGTAACAAACTACCGTAAATTTCTCGAGATACAATTAACACCCACGCTTTCCGTAGCCAATTCGTTCCCCAGCGGATTTCGGCTAGGCTGTGTAGGCGGCATCTCTGCAGATTCTTCGCTTGAGTTTCTTTGTACTTCTTCGTTATTTCCTCGTGAAACGTTTGGTTCTAGATCTTGACGAGGTTGAGTAGGTTGAAAACTAGTCCCTTCATTTGATAGCCTAGGCTTCTTGATCCTGAATCATATTTGAAGCTACCATTCCGGTTAGGGAAAATAGAGCATGCTTATGATACCTTCGTCTTCTCGATTGTGACCCTTGCACTGACTCTTGAGACTTTTGCGAGCTAACACTCTGAGAAACATGCGAAGGTCCGGCGACAGGCCTACAATAATCTGTGTGGTTTTACAGTTTAGTAGAAAACGGCTTATTATATGAAGGAAGGAATCCCTCGAAAATACGGCAAATTGATAACTTCTTCGTACAACCACTCACTCTTGCGTCGTTGCTGGAGCTGCCTCCTCATCTGCATCATCCTCTCCATCCAAAGTAGCTATGATGAATTCGGCTGAGAAACCAGCATCGCTTTCCACACCAACAATAAGCGGACTAAAAAGAACAAAATTTGGAAAAGTAAGTGTCGAAAAGTGTTAGAGTCGTTTGAGATCGGCTTACCTGCCAGCTTTATCGAAAAACAGACTGACATCACAGAAATGTTGCCGCGCAAACGTGATAATAGCCTGAATATTTGAGTGTTGATCTGTGATAAATACACAAAAAGGGGCGGAACGGAAAGGGCATAAACGTTAATCCTGCAGAATCCTTTAAAGCACATGAAAATGACAACACTGCTCAAAAATTTCACTTACCTTGAATTCTTTCATGCCGAAACTAATTTCAGATGGTTTTTGCACCGAAAAACTTTTGAAGCATGACTTCGCAACGGTAATCTCTGTTCTGCATGTAGTTCCTTCAATAGTATCTGAAACAGCACTGATGTATTTTGAAAAAAACCAATGAATGAGAATAGATGTAAAAAATCATGCGCCAGAAAGCACTTACCGTCTTCGCATGGGAGATAGTTTTTGAACACAAACTTGTCCTCTAGTGCGCGCATAATCAACTCTTCCCTACCAGAATGCATTTCAGTGAGAAAGGATGTAATTTCGCTGAATGAGAGAGCAAAAGAGATTGGTCGTGAGAAGGGGGTAAAACTGTGTAACTTACGCAGCTCCTACTGTCACCGAATTTGACAGGTCTTCTCTCGTGATATTCGAAGTGAATGGTTTATGGATTTCCATGACATTCACCTCGAAGGAGCGGGAGATATCTAAGAGATTTGATCGAGGTACGATTATTTAGTGCATAAATAATATATCGAGGCTATGATGCCTGCAGGTCGCCAGAATATAGCCTATTTCACCAACGACTCAGAGGCATCCGAGCCGCGCCGCCGCGCTGGTCGCAACATGAACGTTGTCAGCGGCGCTGAAACAGTCATACCCAGCAGTAACTTACCATAAGTATGCTGGAAGTCTATGTGGAGACCTTGTCCAAGACAGTCTATAGTAAGCGTGCAGGAAACCAAATTCTTCTCAATAAAGTGGGCACTTTTGAATATCGTAAGGGCAGTCTAAAAACAGCAATGTTCGAAATGCGAGAAGAATATGCACGTAATGGGACTATGTATGACATGGAATACAAAATTGGAACAAACGAAGAAAATGAATAGCAATGAACGCGCCTTTGTTGAGATTCGACAATCCCTAACTCCACCTTTGACGAACTTTGTATCGAAGTCGGTAAAGAAGTCATCCATGAACAGAAAAACCCCATAAGCTGAGCGATTTTTATTGAAAGCTTTCAGCCGAAGCTAAACTTGTCAGTTCAAAAATATGCAAGAACAAAAGTCAAGGAGCGACAACTTACACCACGCTCCTGAGCTTGCAAAAAGATCTCATCGCCTAACTTGCTCAGCGCAGCAATTGCATTTGTAAAAACTGAAGAGAAAATGTTCTATTGGAGGAATAACGATTAGCAAAGGATAAAGAAGATGGACTGACCCACTTTTTACATTGGAATGAAGCAGATATACAGCTTTCTCTTTCGGTGCATTCGTCAACGTTCCATTCAATGTTCCGTTCAGTGACTGAGCTATGGATGAGCCAGGATCGCCCATTACAATTGTCTAACAAACAGAAAAATCCGAGTACCTTTGATTCAACGGGATTGACGGCCGAAAGGCGACCGCTCGCACCCGCGACACAATCTGCGTTTCCCTCGCGAGCGTGCTCTCTGGCGATCATCCCCTAACCTTAATTAGGCCTCAAAGCCCCGCCTTCTAGCCGTCAATGCCTTTTAATCAAAGGGTAGATGAAGTAGCCCACAATATATGATAAACAACGGCGTGGATGCGATGAAATTCAATGAAGACATTACTGATGATCAGCGCAGATTGTAGATTTGCAACTGTTCTCAAAACATCCCAATGGAGCATTTGGAAATTGCTGTAATTGAAGGCGATCTCTAAGCAAACTTCCAATAGTTCATTACTGCCATGCAAAAAGGTTGGATACGAAACCGTCTCAAAAGCTTGCTGAGATACGGAAAAAGCCGCTCCTTTGACCGTGGGAAGTGCGGAAGGTGTGACCTGCGCAATAGACAGGTCGGGCAATCACAATCGTGGCCACATTGAATGGACCATTTACAGTCTGTGTCAATAATGTGTTCCTTTTCCGATCAGCTCAAGCGCAACTTTAGAGCCTCGTGCCGCGTTCGCGGGCGTACGGCTTGATTGTTCAAATCTGCCACATCGATTGGAGACGCTGCGTATGGACACGCGCTGCGGATGCGCGGTTGCTACGGAAAAGGGAACATGTGGCTGACACGTACTTACATCTCTCCTGTGCAAAAGTGCTTGAACGTGCCACGCTTGTTCCCGCTCTTATGGTGTGGAAGCTGCTTTGCAATACTTTTACATCTTCGAGCATATCCTCTCGGCTGGCAATTCAAGAAGGCTTGAGCAAAACGGAAAAACGAACGGAAATTTGGGTGGACACAGCCTTCACGTAAAACCCTTCGCGTTCGTGTGGGATTACATACGTATGGTATAGAGCATTCGAAAAATCGTAACGATGGCGCGACCGCGCACGACACGCACGCATCTCCATTTCTTGGATATTTATCTTTACTCGGTTGATTTTTCTGCTCACATATGATAGCATTCAGACCCTGAAAGTAAATGAGCTGGGCCTTGAGGTGATGCCTGTTTGTATGGGTGTTTTATGCTCCTGTGTGCGCAAAGGCCGCAGTCAATCTCGTCGTCACAATTTTAAGAATGGACCATAGGTATGTGTACGGTATAGGGTCCAAAATGCCTTTTTCTGAAATAGTCTAACTGAGGTCTACCGAGTGATGATGAGGGCTTACAGTCCATGTTTTTGATAGGAGTCATCTGGTGTATCAAGAAGATATCTTTAGGCGTAGATAGACACCCCTTCCATGGCCACCCCAGTTGATTACCCAGTTCCCCTCTTCCCCCCCCCCCTCTCCCTCCTTTTTCTCGAGGGTTGGCAAGATCGTCAAAATTACCGGAGTGATTAGGCCCTTCTTCTGAAGTATGGAGTCAGTGCCGAAAATATGGACCAGCGCCATAAAGGTCCTGACGAAAATCTTCAAGACTTGTGAGATGCAAAATCTATGAAGCTGTAAGCGATCCCAAATAATAGAGACAACTTTGTTTCACATACCAAGAATTCAAAAATCCCGCAAGCTTGAAAAAGTAAGGAAGTCAATGATTCATTTGGCCATTTTCAAGACGCCGCCATTTGAGAAAGGTCGCAACGCACGCATTTCTGCACCATGTCGCACGCTTCAATTCGTTTTGAGTGAGTAAGCGTATTTCGAAGAACTGCCCACTTTTTTTCTATGCTCGTAGTGGGTGCTATATCCTGTAGCTCCCTTTGCGCTCCTTTTTGAGTTTTCTGCTCTTCAACTTCGAATACCTAGATTTTCAGAGTCGTACCGCTGAAAGCTGGCGCTGGTGTTGAGATAAACGGAGTGATCTTGTGGTCGCTGAGGCTGATGTAAGTGAAATTATGCATTGTTTTTTCTCGTTTGTGTTTATTGTTATTTTATGACATTTCGAGCTAATCTGTTATTTATCTAGATGCGAGGAGTGCGATGCTTGCAACAATGTGTAGAGCCAGGCGGTTGTGTCTATACTTTTGTACAGGTGGGGTGTTCGTTTTATTTCAGAGTTTCTGTCTTTTGATGTTTAATTTATCACACTGATCCATGATGTGTCACAAAAAGGCACAAAAACGACTTAAAAACGAGTTTATTGCATTGACCTATAATGACTGAAACTGGGAGAGTAGCTTTTTGTAACTATTGCTTCCCAATACAAGTTAATTGGACTGAGCTTCTTGTCAAGTCAAGCGAGAAGCCACATTGTTTTATGCATTGAGCCAGTTTCATAATTATATGATCGGCTAAAAGATTTGTATAGAGGCCGGTTGAGAACTTCTTTTGATTATTAGATGAACGTGTTAGGTCTCTTCGTTTAGCATTGTTTTTCATACTCTTTCGCTATCGAAAAGCCTCATTGATCTGGCACGACTCCGCTTCTATACAGATCGTGGAGCCCACATACTGAAGTTGTGGATTAGACTTGTTAATCATGAAAACTGTGTTGAGATGATGCTGAAGGCAGATAGCGCGTATCATCCTAATAGGTTTCATTCTAAAACCAACCTATTTTCTGTATGCCGCAGTCCAGGATCCTTTCTCTCATTCTATTATTGGACCCATTCTTCTTCCTGTACTATGGTACTACGAAAGGTTTCGGCCCACTAGTATTTTTTGTACTGGTGCATTATATATGAGTCTGTTTTGTTTCCTTGTTATTTTTGCAAAACGGATGCTGATGTTCTATTATCATTTTTAGAGTCATAATTTATCTTGTTTAGCTTATTATTTGTTGTTCACGTAATTTACTTCTGACCCAGTCTGTTTTCGCGCTAGAGGAATTCATTTAAACTGGTCCGAATTTTGAAAAGCAGCGCACATTTACACATTAATTTAAGAGAAGATAGGGAACACCAGTCTGATTTTAGGTGTTTCAAAGAATTCCTTCTGCTTTCCCCATTTCTCGAAATTTTGCTTCACTACGTTGTCATGCGATTCAATCACCATTCATTAAATGAGCTTTTTCTATTCTTTTTTTCTCAAGCGATGATCTCGCTGAGGGCACTTCTTCCTAAATTCACCTAACTCGAGCACGACTAAGATGTAAAGGCTTCAGTGCGTGGCCTTTTGGCAGTTATGAGTGAACCCTGAAGTTATTTGAATGCCTGGCTAGCAAGTTTTCAGTTGTGCGAGTCTGAGAATCTCTTGTATGTGCCAATAATTTGCATCGTTCTTGACTAATATCATTTTATCTTATTTTATTAATGCACTCAAGGTGCACCGAAGAACAAAAAATAAAACTCTAACACGTCGAACAAAAACATGATACCAGCTTGCCCATGGCCTTAGGGAGATAAACGATGGACGTATAGGCAATGCATTAACCTAAGGCCCACTAAGATATAGCGGTATATATTAGAATGTCTGATGAGTGTACAATATTCGCTTAAGAAATAAAGAATGACTGAAGAACTGCATCCTTTTATTTATGTTGAAAACCCTTTTTGAGTGCCAGCGAGGTTACGGGCTTTATCGCTGTAATGATATCTAAAATTAAACACCTTAAAATTTCCTATCAGTTGCACTCCCTCTAAAATCACGTGCTTAGAAACCCTGAAGTGTCAATCAATATTTTCTCTATAAAAAGTCCTACAATCTCAATACTTTGTGTCAATGCTTTGGTCATGACAGCTTCATTTCTGTACCATGCGGATCCAATAAAATCAAGTTCTGTCTAACTAATGACGTTGCTCCTTCTTGCGAAAGCGGTTCGTAAAGTTTGTGTGATGTTTTTTCCATGTAGTGTATAATCTTTAACAAGAAAAGCTATACATTATATGCTTCACACTGAGATTTTTGTTTATTTTGAAGTTCTCTAAGGTTTTTAGATTTATATTTCTATCTCTTTTACATTACAGGCCGTGAGGTGGGTACCAGTTGTGATCATATTAGCTGCACTATGTTGGGGTTATTACGCCTATGTTTTTGAATTGTGTATAAGTAAGTTTTTCTCAGCTTTCTACGCATCATTTTGGTAATTATCATTTAGACACTGTTCGCAATGATGTTCAGCGGGTACTATACTTACTTTTCTTTCACATTTTTCTCATATTATTCAGTGTATCATATTATCGCACAGTTTTCGCTCCATTACGGCTGCCTCCCTCAATTGTAAGTGTTTTTTCTGCTTTCAATTTTCCTTCTGCAGTGTGTTATTTATCTTAGCTTTTCTTTAGTTTTATCCTGATAAAGAATGCTTGAACGAATTAATGGCTTGTGAACGTGACGAACATCTAGAGCAGGCTGTACTAGCTCGATACGTTTCAATACATCGAGTACCTGTTAAAACAAGGGACTTTGCAAGGGGTAAGCATTGTTCAGAAATTTTGATCCAAATATGCTAAATTCTGTTGATTTTGTAGGTATCCGATTTTGTCCGAAATGCAAGTGTATCAAACCAGATCGAGCACATCATTGTTCTATCTGCGGACAGTGTGTTTTGTAAGTTACGCCTATTGTATACAGGTTATAGGAAATTATTGGTTTCGTTGTAGAAAATTTGATCATCACTGCCCATGGGTAAACAACTGCGTGAACTTCTACAATTATAAGTTTTTTCTTCTGTTTATGGGGTGAGCATTGTTTTTTCCTCTCTTCAAGCTATATGTGGTTAATCTGATGATGTTCTCATTTAGCTATGGGTTTATCTTCTGCCTATATGTGTTCTTCACGGATTTGCCATATTTTATCGAGTTTTGGACGAAAGACATGCAAATGCATAACCTGAAGGTGAGCAAACATATTCGTTTATCGGATTTACTCTAAAATGCGATTATTCAGTTTCGCACATTGGTGGGAAAATTTTCTATATTGCATTGAGAGAATGGTTGGGAAGAAAAGAGGATCTAGTCATTTATCGGCTATTTTTATGACATTCCTTTTGCCTAAGTTTCTGTTTACATAAAATTCACTGCCCTTTGTGCATTTTCAGTTGATTTCCTCAAAATCTTTAAACTATCACCTTGAGTTTGAAAGATTGTGTTTTTTTTTTCAAACTTTTCCTAGTTGCTTTGTTGTTATTTAAATTGATTAGGCAGTTGCTGGTTTGGTTCAACTTTCTTTTCGAGTCAACTATTCTAAACCAATGTTTACTGAAGTATATTCTATGTAGACATGGGTTTGCCAAACTATTGATACTCTATCTTTCAGGCAAGCAAATTTCACCTGCTCTTTTTGGTTTTCGTCTCTGGAATGTTTGCCATATCGCTATCGTTCCTCTTTTTCTATCACCTCTGGTTAACTGCTAAAAATAGGACGACTGTTGGTAAGTTCACGCATTTTCATTAGTGTAGCTTAGCAACGAGTTGATAGTTTCACTTACCAATGGCGTCATTGGATTTGTTTTGGATTAGAGGTCTTGCCTTCAGAATCATTTCGTGCTCCAATGCTCGAAGGAGGGCCAGATAAACGAGCATTCGATCACGGTATCCGTGCCAACTACAGAGAAGTCTTCGGCTACGATAAGAAATTGTGGTTTTTACCAGTGTTCTCCAGGTTGGTTCAGATCAATGTTTTTTTCGGTTTTCTAGTTGTCGGAGTGATGGGCATGTGAGATCTTTGTTCGAGGAAGTGTTGCCTGTTGAGGGTAAAGGGAAGAATTTTTGGGTCATATGGGCGGTTCGAGTTTTCCGCGCCTGTGGTTGTCTATAGATTTAGGCTTCTAATTTCTCACATTCTACCTTTATTTCAGTATTCGCACACATTTTCGAGCATTCTCTGTGTTTGTTAGTCTAAGGTGAAGGATGTTTTGTGCTTAGACTTAGACAGTCTTGGATCTTCACTGGATATGAGAGCTTTATGCATTCGTTGAATGGCCAGTTAATCGTAGATCAAATTTGCTAATCTTTCTCATTTTCGCAAGAGGTAGTTTCAAAATTCATTTATATATCGTAGCCCAACGTCTGTTCAAAGGTTTTGATATTCTAGACATTTATTTGTCCTTCATATGTGTAGATGAAGTAATTACGTGAGAGGGTTTGGGTGAGTCTTGGGTTGAAGGCAGTAGGTGGTAAACATGAAAAAGACTGTGCGACTGAATCGACTGACAAATCACTCACTTACTAACAAAAATTATTTAACATGCGCATTTGAGAAGTAAAGGTGTATGCGACGCAGATTTTTGTTGGGGGGGGGGGGTTTCACGATCCCTGAGTGCATGGTATGCTCTATTCATTGTGCCGTAACGCTTGGGAAACACATGTATTATGATTAGCAGATCTCCCAGCATACCCACAGCGCTGTAATCGAAAGAACTCTCGAATAGGCCTGGTCTCTGCTTCTAGGAGCAGGCTTGGTACGAGGTGGCTTTCCGAATTTGCAAAAACGAAGTCCCCTTTGACTTTCGTAGAATTTTACAAAGTCCTTTTCACCCTGAGCAAAAAAGTTTCAAAAGAACGAAACGTAAAATGTAGCCCAAGTTGTGTTTTTCGGCCACAAAAAACGATATCCCCTTTGCTTTGCCCCAAAAAAGATATCCAGCTTGCTCATAACCTGTGCCGAGCCATGTATAGGAGATCATAGCGCAAGCCATCCTTCTTTTTTGAAAGTAAATAAATGAAAGCGACGAATCGAGCAAAGTTTTTGGGCTTCTGAGTTTCTTTTTTTTATCTGAGTTCAAGTCCCAGTACAGATTTTTTTCACAAGACTTTCCTTTCGATTTTGTGGTAGATATACATTGGAAGACCACCACTCAAATTGCCATTGTCGTGGTGTCGCTATGCATGTTTTGATTAACCGCATGAAGTAAAAGTAATGTTGTGGCGTGAGGTTAGAAACTGATAGCTGGCTTTCAGTGGTGGAGATGGTTCAGTTTATCGTACAAGGCAGCAGGGTGTATATGTATACGATACGGCGGCTCGAACACACACCACCTTATCACCCACAACAGACCAACACAGCTCCTTATCAGAACATACACAGAGCCGACGAGAAAACTCGTCCTCTGTGTCGGCACCATCTAGACAAGAACGATCGTGCCGTACGAACGCAGCACGTGTTTCAGTCTTGGAGATGGTGTAGTGTTCGAGCGATGGGAAATAGGTGGAAGTCGAGCCGTCGCACGATACTCGTTACTGGCACAAGTCGAAGCAGCCGAGTTACTCGCCGCCGCAGCCAGCGACAGCGAAGACGAAATCATCTGAAGCAGCTGGGTTCTCTCTCCTCGTTCTCGTTTTTGTTAGATCTGATCTGATACTACCGTATTCTCGCCTACCAAAACTCTCATCCCCTCTCTGGTTTTCATTTGTTCTTCAGTGTAACTGTGATAGAACCGTTGATTTGATTTTATATCTGCTGATTTAGCCAACTTCTTTGATCTATGTATTGTTACAAGGTAATGGTAAAGAATGTCAGTACTACCCTCGTTTTCATGATTTATCTTCTAAAAATTGTTTGTGTGCCTATATACTATTTCAGAATTGGGACTATGACTGATTTTTGGTCTCATAAATCGTTATAAGTAGCTGTTATCTCCGAGCAATACATCAAGACGATAAATCTTCTTTATCGGGTGACGTAGAGCCTTTGATGCCTAAAAATCTCGGTGTCTGGTAACCATTAGGGAACGGCCATAGGTTGTCGGTGTTGTCGGGGTCAGAGACAGTTTAGAGAGCGCGCGAAACGTGGAGGCTATCATGAGGTCCACAACGACCGGCAATCCCGGCAACCCCGACAACACCGACAACCTACGGCCGTTCCCTTATTCATAAGCGTTTCCAGGCACACGTAGGAAGTCCGCACGAAATAACTAGTATAATAACATGAAAAAACGGAAAATATATATAGCTTGATAGAAAGCGGCAGAGGAAGGCGCTCTCCCCGGCATAAATAAACCAAAAAAAATCAATTATACAATTTTTTTCATGGAAGGAGAAATGTTTTCCTACCATTTGCGACCGCAAATATTATTTTTCGGAAGAGGGGATACAGTGATGTTAATCACGCCTGCCCGCTTTGGAATTAAAAAACTTGGTCTTTAATTTTTAGTAGAGAATGTTACTTTAGAGATGTCTATCAACTTTTGAGAAATTTCAAAATTCTGTTGAATATCGGTAGGAACGGACTTGCGCATTGATTCTCCATTCGACCTCCTTCTATGCTTGGCACCCAGAAAGGTTAGCCTCAGATATTCTTTTGGTGCACTGCTTTTATAACAAATATAAAGTGACAATGAGTATTAATCAGGCGCTCCCTTTTCCACAGCAACTACGCACTGCAGCACGAGGGCCTTGTATGCTGAAAACTATGGCGCAAATATTGAGAGCATAAGCTGTACGCTGTTAACGCATATTCAAGCCAACAAATATAATTATTCCTTCAGCTGACCATAAGTCATACGAACAAAACAAATTTTGGCATAGAAAATATAAACCCGAATGAATGGCAAGTGGACTGCGTGAAAAGATAACAAATACAGAAAGCAGAAAACTAAGAAAATGGAGCAACATAAAGGAGCAAGTTCTAGGCGAATAAGTAGAAGAAATAGAGGATAAATGCGCAAATATGAGTAAATAACGGGAGATTAGTCCGAACCGAGATTTGTCGCCCAGCTAAGCGGTACCCATGTCGGTTTCGTTTCCAGATCATGTATGAGGCGTATTAGTTGTGCAGTGCCCTCTTCGAGATCGTTGTTGATAATGATAGCATCAAATATATGACCGTATCTGCAAGCAAAGGATAAAAAAGAAAGGAAAGGATAACTAGAAGAAAAACAATAACGTACTGCTTGTAAAGTGTCGTTCCGCCATTGATAATTTGCTCGATTTCTGCTTCCGAAAATGTCCTCGTCATAGCTGTTTTACTGGACTGCCGTGGAAGCGATGAGGTAACTACTCGTGTGTTCTAAAATCATGTAGATGAAGCACAAGTCACACAAAGAGTGACGAACGCTTGAGAGGCGTGAAACAAATTTTGATATCTGGTCTTCTATATGGATGCTAATCGGAATTTGACAAAGCCATTACAAAAGTTGAAGATCATATGTGTTCGTAGCCTGAAAATTCAAATACAAATGCTCGCCCAGTACCGTGGGCTCTAAGTGACACGGTTGGAAAAGGTACGGTTTGGACGAGGCTCTAAAGTAGGTTCAGATCTAGTATCAAATGAGCTCCCGCTTAGTCAATGGCTTAACTTACGCTTTCCAGTAAGTATGCATAGGAAGCACAGACCGGATTCTGCTCTCATAATGAGTAACGCAAATTGACAAAGGCTGAAGTCCGAAGAGTTTACATAGGTTCAGTCACAGAGATACAACTGCGCAGAGAATCTCTCATTTTGATTTGACTAAAGAAAAGCGACCTGACCGTGAAAAGAGTGCTCTCTCTTTCCAGATAAATGCTGTGTAGAGCGAAGGAAAGTGAACAAAAAAAGCCACCGAAAGCGCTCACCATTTTGAGTTTATGCGCAGATGTGCGTTTCTGTGCAACGCCTACATTAAGGTCGTGATCTTTTTTATGTTACAATTGCTTCGCCACGAACTTACTTTGAAGGCGGCTGCGTCGGGAGGTTGTATGAACACGATGAATGGCATGAACTCCTGTGTTCTGAGCAGTGCAAGGGCCAGAGGATGTGGAGTAATCAAAGGAGTTCCAGCTCGTTGTGCATCCCGTACAGAACTTATGGCAGTTCCGTAGAGATTACCTAAAGAAAACTGAGTAGATGAAAGACAGCTGCTGCAACTCGTAAATTACCTCGAAACTCTCCGAACTCGAGCATCTGTCCGCTATATATCATCTTCTCCATAACTGATCTTTCGGTAAAATAGTAATCCACTCCTTCCACCTCGCCAGGCCTAAAAAGATATAATAGTCCAAAAGTTGAAGTAGAATTGATTTTCCGTAACTTGCATTTCTGCCGCGCTACAGCCGCACTGCATTCTCTAATTGACAAAATCAATGTATTGCTATCTTGACAGGCTTCTTGCTTGGCTTCTCCGATTTCTATTTTTTTTTTCGATTGACACAGCACATACCAAAGAATAAGGAACCAAAATTAAAACACGAATCTAATGTCAAAGCAGTGCGCATTTTGCAAACATGTGCAGCCGCTGCAGTTGTTTGCGCTGCCCAGACAAGCACTGACAATCAAATAAAAAGCAGCTGTTACCAATAAAAGCCGCAGATAAGTACCTCTTAGCCCTTGTCGTGTGTGGAACAGTTGTTGTAAATCGCTGCGGAAATCGGGCAATTAGCCGACGCTTCAACTCATTCCTGCAAAACAATGCGATTGGGTGAGACGATAGTTATAAATTAGAAGAAGCGATACCTGCCAACACCTGGCGGCCCGATCAAGACTACAAGGCGTGGCAGTCCATCTCGAGGAGCAAGACGGCAAACGGATTCATATATGTACTCAGTCTAGAAGGAAGCGAAAAAAAAAACACAAAACTAGACTCATTAACATAACAGTAGGTAGAATCTATAGTAATTCAGCTTGACAAAGAATATATAATGGAGAGAACTTTTAGAAAATATGAGACCATGTAGACAAGGAGTTACCTCATGACTGCCGCCCGAGCGACTCGATCCTCGGCCATTTGTAGGCCTTTGCTCGATCTCTGATGTACTTTTCGATAGCTGCAATGTCTCCGAAGGAATCAGGCCAATCCGGGAAGATCCTAAACATAATCATTCTTATGATCTTCCTAACATTCCTGAAATTTCCAGAAACCATTTTTGTAGCCACTCTCAAACAAAATAAGCAGATGAATTAGCTATTGCCTATCATCATCATTACCTTTGAAATCCTCGCTGTTGGCGAAAGCACCAAATCCTATGCGTCGAGCCTGAGAAAAAAGTAAATATTCCCCAAGATACACAGAAAAAATCGACCAACTTGCCACCAGTGATCATCATTACAAGTCTGCAGCTCCAAAATATCACCGCGAGTAAAGGAAAGTGCTACTTCAGGGCATGGATGCCTTTCATCTTCTTTGCCTTTATAGTCGAACTGCAAGCGAAATGTGCAATTCTAGGCATAAAGGGAGGAAAAGGAACAGTTATAAACTCCGGAAAAAAAGGACCAAAACGAAGACTTAGAAGAAGACTTACTAAAGCTCGCAGATACACATGTCCTGTGCCATTCTCTACCGGTGTAGTCATCTCAGCCGGTACCAACTTTAGCGTTACTGTGCCTTTGTCCACACGATTCAAAATTCGTGCAATATCGTCTACGGTGAGATCTGCAGTGCTAAGACCGTTCACTTCCAAAATACGATCACCTTCCTGAAAATGAAGTATGGGCTATGAAATTTTTATAATCGAAGAAAACTGCCGCACCTGTATACATGCACTACGTGCCGCTACACCTCCAGCTATGAGACGAGCTATATAAATTTTACCGTGATCGTTTCGTATAGTTGCTCCAAGCGTTTCGTCTCGTTTCACGATTTGAACCTGTTTTGAGAAATGGTCTGTTACGTTTCTTGTGTCCATATCCAAATTTGCAATACAATAAATTAAGCGGCTAGAGGCCCAGCCAGAAAAAAACATACAGTATGTTTTAGTGTAATGCGATACATTTCATACGGCATTTTCCTATTTATAAGAATGAATGGGCAGTATAAACAGGAAAAAACAGTAATGTGCAGAAGTCATGTAAATTCACTCACTACTTTAACAACTATCCCTTCGTCTTCGTCAACTTCAAATGGGACGGAAGGCAATCTTGGGAGATATTTATTGGCTGAGATATCTTCGGCACTAATTAGCACACCCTGAAAACTATGCAGTAAATTTACAATAGGTTTCCTCTGTCTCAACGGTCCGTACTTGATAAATTCATAGTTTTAAGAGCCACAAAAACATTTGAGAGGAAAAAGAATGAATGGACGAGAAAAAAATTCAGTTTCTAGTAATAAAATAGAACAAGAAAAAGCATAATTGTGGAGTGTAGACTCGTAGGACCTTTCACTGGCAAAACTAGCTCTGCTTAGTCGTAGATATCTCTCAACCGCAAGGCAGCTGGCGATGTCATTTTCTCAGAAAAATATGAGAAATGTGAGAAGGCTTACCCGAACATGCGGTCGATTTAGAAGTGCGATTAGTTGTTGTACAGCGGCTGACTTTATACCCGTTGACTCCCATTCACTGATAAAACCATCGCAAAGTGAAGTCGTTTCAGCGGCCCTAAAAAGTAAGGTAGGGCATATGAGTACGAGAGAAATAAAAATAAACTGACTGAAATTCTCTAAAAATGAACTGAAACTGAAGAAAAAATTGACTTTTCGCGTCTGCACTGTAAAAAAATTACTACGATTATTCTTCACCAGGTCAAAATGCAGGCATAATCCAATAAACAGGGCGAAGCACTAATATAGCGCAAAATGGCTACAACGCGTTATCCTGACAAACCTGCACATGTCAGCTTATATGACGGAAACGTGTATGAGGTCTACCTGTCATGTTTTGACAGGTACGTCATACGCGTCGCGCTGCTTTACATCTGAATGTTGAAAACGCGACCGCAGCGCAGCGACATTGGATTCAAAAAATTAAAAAATTAAGATGAATTCAAAAGTTGAATGGAAAATCAAAGCGCTAAGAGCGCTAAACAAAAATTAGTTACAACAAGATAATAAGAAGTAAGGACTCACGCCTTGTCAATCTTCAACTCTCCAGTGCTAATGAGTTCTTGCAAACATCGGGCGATGCTTTTTTGACTTTCTGTCAGATTCTTAGAAGAATGTGGCTTCCTACCATACTCCTCGAACAAGGTGTGTAGAATCGCCTCAAACTTCTTGAGAAAATTACTAGAGTCACCGTGCGACTCCTTTCCGTCCCCATTATTCATCCTTATGTCAACATAAAAGTAACGACATCATTTCGTGGCCTGAAAAATTAGCATCGTGTTCATGAGGTAAGGAGATGAGGAAAAATGACAATTTTCGCGGTTTGTTCAAAGATGAGCACGCAAACACTTCAAACATACTTGATTCACTCGATCCTCTTCGCTAATGGCCAAGACATTGAAGTGACCAATAGCGAAGCGGACGTCGCTTGATCCACTTGATCCGCATAGCTAGTGGTCAGTTCACTGATCCGACCAATAGCGAATAACAAGCGGATCAAGTGGATCAAGTGGATGAAGCATGGCCTTTGCTTGCAAAAATCGATATAGATGTGAAAATGCACTGCAAATCAAACTGTAGTTCATTTCTGCACAAGGCTAAACTGCTTAGAATTCGTTCTTATCATTTTGCGAGACCACAAACAATACAATACACCTGCGGTGGCAAAACAATTGATGTAAAAATGGTCAAAATACGCTCAATTTCAAGTTTTGCGCCCAAGGTCACTATTTACGCAAAAGTATTGTCGGCAACGTAAGAACACTATCATCGGCTCCACGATTCGTGTAGAGGCGGGGTTTCGCCAACTCAAAGCGCGGCGGTTTTTGATAGCGAGAGAGTACGAAGAACAATGCTATGACGTGGAGGTTTAACAAGTTTACCTGTGTTATCAGGCAAAGTCTGCAATAAATCTCTACACGAATCGTGGAGACGATCATACTTTAATCGTCAAAATTATTACTAAAATTTAAACGCTTCCAATAGACATAAAAACACCATGCTTTCCATTTGCTTGTCCTTAAAAATCGGGATCGAACCCAAATTAGCGTTAAATATTATGAGAGAAAGTGAGTGGATTAAGAGAAGCTTCGAAAGGGCACGAGAATTTCATGTTCCATTTCACTCAAATGATGTTTTATTCTAGGCGAATCCAATCAGCCGTTAGAGACTGAGTAGGGAATTTACGCGACTTACACTATTTGGAAGTGCATTCAGAGGATAAATCGAACAAACAGAACAACGTTCAACACGGCTCAATGCATTTGCTTTGCAAAAAAATTGATGAAGTAGCGTAGGAGATTTATTTCCTTTCATTAGCCAATCGATCAAGACCTTGATTGATTTATGACAGCGAATGAAACTTCGTATAAGAATCAAATGACAAATGAACAGATAATCAATGCGGTAGGGAAGAAAATACACTTATGATTTACACCTAGATAGTGACTTCAAGTACTTAAATTATTGAAATTCTTCCAAACAGCTGATCACACCTGATTGCACTATGAAAATGTTTGCGGGTGTCTAGGACTGAGCTGATCTGCTCGTCAACATAGGTGTGCGAAGTGTAATCACATCGTAATTGGCTGCGTGCCAATGCGATAAACATTAAGCGTTTGTGTAATGTGAAAGTGAGTATAATAGGATGAGTATTTCGCAGAGAGGATATAATTATGAATTCCAAGCAGTACAAAAGTGCTTCGGTCGTTTTTTATGTGCAAATGTGCCTCGGAAAATCTGCGAAAAAATGATTTGCACTTAGGAAAAGTACGAAAAGTGCACATAAACAGTAAAACAGATGATTTAACGAGGCTAGTCGGTGCAAGCTGTTCGCCAGTGGACAGCGACCAACCACCAGTGCTGCTCGTCTTTTCGAGCGGCCGTGAGGGCAGAACGAGGATGCGCTTTGTGCGACGCACGTGACTCATCGCATCCCTCAATGTTAATTACGACGGGTGCAAGCCGGCCCCGGTTTCGATTTCATTGTGGATGAATTGCCGTTTGTGTGCGGTGAAGTAAATCTTGGTGGAAGAGTGGAAAGTGTCTTCTTTCTGGGATCTCCGCACCTCTAACATTCTCCAAAGGCAGATCATCAAATTGTGAAAACTAAGGCCTCAGGCATACCTAGCCGCCGCCTAAGTGGCAGCATATATGATTCATCCATGGCTGAGAAATCCAGCTCTCAACTCTATCCCACACCATACATTCTACCGTACTCGGGGACGCATGGCTCGCTTTGGTTATGGTCTGGGCAGGGGTTAAATGTCGACTTTTTCGGCCACGAATGCATCGTCGGAGCTGTAGCTTGGACAATGGCTCAGCTGAAACTCAATCAGCGTTCCTACTAGCGATTTTTAAGTGGACTCTAGAGTGGAGATTTGCGGACTCCATATGAGATGGAAAGCCTTCTAAACCGAACGCACTTCCAGAATAAAAGCAGAAATAATGATGTGAGGAATCGGTCATAGGTTGCCAGCAACTGTTACTGGGTTTGCCGCTTGCCGCCGAGATACAAAGAATACTATGGGGTCCTACAACGACCGGCAACCGGCAACCTCGGCAACCCTGGCAACTTGCCGGTAAGCCATAGCCGATTTCTGAGAATAATTTTGGATGATTTCCCATTTCAGTTTTGGATGACTCCGCCCCCAGGGATGCTCCAGCCTTCTCCCCGGGCAATAATTTGCGAACAAGAAAGACGCAATATCTATGAGAAGTTTTGAAGCGACTATAGACTATAACTATAACCGAGGCCTATAAGCTGGGACTGTCCTATATACTCCATGTCGTTTTGCAAAACTAAGGACAATGGAATTGCGATATGTGATTAGTCCGCACTGCGAAAGAACTCTTCATTAAAAACTCCCCTCTAGTTACTATGGAAATTGAGCTAATGTATTCAACAAAGTTTATTAGTACATAAAAGGTTCTAGGGGAAGCTCCTGAGAGGTTTTCTAGCAACAGCAATTTGCAACTCAGATGTACTGCATCTTCTTTCAAGCAATAGCGATTCGTCTATGCTTCAGGTGAAAGCAGTGGGAAAAGCGATGGAAGAGAATTTCGGAACGAAAGGGCGCGCTCGAAATTTTTGCAAAAGGCGCGAAGCGCTTTGGGACCTCGGTCTTCATCGCTCGCTAGCTGTCAATTTTTACAGGCCTGTATCGTTACGAAACCATTACAGGGCAACTGGCTGAATTTATTTCACTTTGCTTCTTTTGAACTTTTATTCAAAAGGAGTTACAGTGTTGCTATCACACTCTTTTATAGTTTGGTTGTCGTTTTTCTGTGATGTTGGAAGAAGAAGAAATGATAGTTCGTTGCAAATGCGTAATCCGTGCGGAGGTATTCGCTAGGACCAATATGACTGCCTTGCTTTGTGGGCATGTTTTCCATGCTGAATGCATCCAAAAGTGGTTTGAGGTAGGTAAAAATGTCTCACCCTCCTTCTGAACATTCTCTATTTTCAGCACACGGATACACCCAGTTGTCCAAATTGTGGAGCTTCCATCAACACAGAGCAGATAGTACGACGCCTCTTTTTCAGTGCTACCGATGATCTGGACGACGCAACACTCGTTGACGAACTTATGGTAACTTTCGACGAGAAAGTATGCTTTCACGTACTGATCACGATTTGCTGGAATTCCGCTTGGGTTATTCGACCTTCTGCGAAAGTGATATGTACTCTTTTTGCATAGTTAGGCCTTTTTTGAGGGCTACGGTAGGTATACGGTTCGGGTCAAAATCTCACAACTCGCTGGAATTTTGCGTAGGGGCGGGAGAGGTTGCTGGACATGCTGATCACGACGTATCCATTCTCCAAAAATGCCTTGTGTAGGATTATGGTGGGATCATGGTAGAGAGTCATGGTCTCAGAATTCGCTGGAAATTCGCATAGGAGATTTAAAGGCAGCATCCAGGCATATCTGGACCTATGGGGACTTTACGTGGAAAGTGCTTTTGGGGTTCTAACTAAGGCACTGCCCAAGAGGCAGCGCAAGTAGTGTCTAACTGCTGAGATATTCCCCTCGAAAGTGGAGCGATCGTAGTCGCATGGATCATGTCAGTTTCGCGCCAGGACCTACGCTTCGCGCCATGAATCCATGCGAAATACGATCGCGGGTCCAGCTTCGAGGGGAATATTTCGGCCGCTAGAGCACTACGTGAGCTGCCGGTTAGGCAGCGGCTTAGTTAGAGCCCCAAAATTACTATCCACGTGAGATTCCCATGTGTCCAGACTTGCCTGGACCTTCAAATTCTGATCGCAAATAGTACTCTTATATGTTAGAACCGCTCGCAAATCCTAAAGAGCTCCTTCGGACATTATTGGGCTGCTATGGACCTGTCATACAGAAGCTCAAAAGCGCTCAAAAAGCCCGAAAAGCCCGAAAAAGTCGAAAGCGCCAGAAAGAACCGGAACGCAGAAACGAACTTTCGGTAGGATTCTGGCATTATTTTGTTGTGCAGACAGCAGAAAATGAACCAAAAAGGCTTCGGTTGCAGAATCAACACACATGCTTTAACGCCAAAACATGCGCATGCAAGGGGCGTTGCGGCTCCTTCTAGCGCTTTTGGATTTTTTGGGCGTTTTTGGGCTTTTTTGGGCGCTTTTGAGTTTTTGGGCTTTTTGGGCGCTTTTGGACTTTTTTGGGCTTTTTTTTTCGGCTAAGTATGAACGGTTTCCTATAGGAGCCTGCAGGATCGCGAAAGTTGGACGTGCGTACGGCCATTGCGCCGCGCATGTCCGATGTCACTAAAGCAGTTGCCAGACTTAACCGCTTCAGCCGGTTCGTTCGGTTCGTAGGTCAAATCACTACACTGTCCAATAGCAAAGTGGTGAACCGAATGAACCTGTTCAACAGGATAAGTCTGGCACCTACCTGAGTCGTCGGATGCACATCTGACGTGCTCGGCGCAATGGTCATACGCACGTCCGACTCTCGCGATCCTGCAGGCCATCCCTATACAGGTAATCAAGTCAGCCACCCGCCAGCAGGATTTGTAGAGGGGGGGGGGTGTGGTATTTGCGATCAGTATATCAGTAACACCTGTGTGCAATGTTTCAGCGAATTCTAAGATTTTGACCCCATACCGCATGCCTACCCTCAAAAAAAACCTCACTATGCAAAATGAGTATATTTTGGTGACTCGCAGGCCGAATCATCACCTACTATGCGAGTTTTAGCAAAATCCATGGTTTTCAATTTTTGGGTTGTATAAAGTGGAGTAGGATGAAAACATTGAGGATTGAGATAAACGATATTGTTTCAGGAAAAAGTTGATAACTTGGAGGCTGAGAACAACAATCTAAATAGGTGAGCTTGACCTAGAATGCGCTGACTCAAAGCGAGCCGTATATTTAGGCAGCTGGATGAAGCAAGGAATCTACAGAAAAAGCTCACAGAAGAACGAAATGTAGAACGAGAGGAACTGAGGATTCTCAAAGAAAGGGAAAGTTTAGGCTAGTCCGAGACGAAGGCGGTTGCTCATGTAGGCGATGCGTGGGCCTACAGTCAAATCATTTCAGATGATCATGTGTGTCACTGCACACACTGTCCACCTTTGGCGTCCCAATCCTGGACTTGCAATGCAAAAACGCATGAGAAGGACGATTGTTATCGTTTACATGACTGTGAAGATTGGTACTTGAAAAGGAGAAAAAGCATGAAGAAAACATCGAAACTTAGCAGAAGGGCCGTCTGTTCCTAAAATCCGGGATGAGAATGCCAAATGTGGACAATATGTGCAGTGACACACATGATCATAAAGTCGACTGCGCGAAATCGCCCGGGTTGCTGTAGGTTGAACGCACGCGAGCGTGCCTGCAACGCGGCCTCGAAGAACGGGCGCTATGACGACTCATGCGCGCGAATGCCAATGTTAGCCCGCAAGAGACACGCTCGCGGGCGTTCAGCCTGGGCGATTCCGTGCAGTCAACTAAATGAAATGATTCGACTGTACGAGTTCTACCGATGAAAGATGCTCAGACACGGGGTGGAGGACTATATGTCATATAGTCCTCCAGGGTGGAGGACATTAGGTCGCCGAATTTGGAAGAGTCCCGCGCGGATTCCCTGCAGGAACGCATGTCCGCGTATGTACAAGGGTGCGTATTTGTCGCAAATGACCGCGGGGACCGCCCTCTTTCGGCGACCTAATGTCCTCCACCCAGTCCTCCACCCTCAGACACGCCTTTCGCACTTTGCATAATGAACCACCTCCTTCATCAAGGATTAGCTTTCTAGTACGAATTACCGTTTGGGCTTGTAGAACCACGTTTTCCGGGCAGTAATTTTCATAATTTTTTCAGAGCGTTGAGGAACAGTTGAGGACTTCGAAGAAGAATGAAGACAACCTGGAAGCACTTGTTAAGGTTTGTAGGACTTAATTTCTGAGCTAGTACTGTTCTGTAAGTGTTCAGAGTGTGGAGGAAGTACTGAAGGTGCTCGATAAAAGGGAGGCCGATCTGGAAATGCTTAATGAAGTTTGTAACAACGCATGTACCACACTACGGAGTGTCGAAGAACAGCTGAAAATTCTGAGGAACAAAGAGACAGACTAGGTGAACTTTGTAGCCCTAAATGCAGGGCTATTATACAATAACTTTTGGGACTAAATCAAAGCTACACATTATTAGTACCGTGTGTAATCATTAAGAAATGCTGTACATTGTTCTAATCTGCTATGCGAAAATTATGGCATCTGTAGATTTGCCGTAATTGGTATGCGGGAATAAAATGTATTCGCCTGTTGAAGTTTACATACTTCGTCGCTATTGTATTTTAAAGGCATTTCAAAAAATTCCATCGCACACCCTCCCCCCCCCCCTCCCCCTCCCCCTCCGCCTCGACCCTCCGACGAAATCCTGGGACCGCCCTTGGTATCAGGTCGTAGTACAAATCTCTACAATCATTCTTCTAGAGAAGTTTCTACTGCTACTAAGCAGGATGTCGTCAGTTGCCGCGGTAGCGTGCAGGCTCACTATTCACCTACAAACGACTCAAGGGAAGGGAGACTTATACTGAAAGGGCGAACATTGAGCACGACGTCATGCTCTTCTGTAACACACCTCTTGAATGGGCGAATAAATATTCTCCACGCTCCCCTCCCCCTGAAAAAAGCATTTCGTGATGTAATAAATGTTGATCCGCTAGAGTCTTTCTGAAAGATGATTGAAGGATGACAAATTATAAGTTATATAAAAATAAATTTTTGCCATGTAAAGCTATCATGAGACTCAAAGGTAGGTCAAACTGTGTACACTAGAAAATCGAGGTTCATAACTATCCTTTGAGCAGTTCAAAATTCTTCGGTCCTGACCGTTGCAAATTTTCGTGAGCCTGTAAACGAAATATCATTTTAGGTTAAACTTGATGATGACCGTTGTTCAATAAATGGAGTTGTAATAATAGCTTTCTCATGGATTTGCTTATCATCAACTGTTATGACTGGCATTTTACTGGCCTCCGAATAATATTTCAAAACTTCGTCCTTGTTGTCCATTCTTTCATAAGCTTCGGCGATGTAGTAGTTGTTGGTACTGTAAAATTGCGGCTACAATTTGACATATGCCGAAAGTGGACTCGAACATCAACCGTTCAAGATCAACTTCAAACTACTCACCGAGCTTTCGTCTGCTTTCAGAAAATAGTGAAGAGCTTTGTCATAAGTGGAACTGGGTGGTGTCCATTGCTGCGTTAGGGGGAGCAATGAATTCTACCCCCTTTTCGTTTGAGCCAGAACCCCCTTTACCTGAGAATAATTTGGGAAGAAAATTTGAGAGTGAATTATGATTGAAAAGCTATTGGAGTTTCAAACACTCCAAAAACGAATTTGAGAATAAAAGACATTTGAAATTTTTTTCCAAGACAGTGGTTCATGGCTGTTTGCTGGCTCTTTCTCCCACGCTTTTTGGAAAAAATTCCTGAACATATTTATTTTCAAACCTTGAGATTTTAAGGCTTGTCGCAGCCTTGAGATAGATAAACAGATAGACGCCTTTGCTTGTAAGAGAAGCAAGAAAAAACCAACTAATAAGTATTAGGTTGTCCGGAAATTAATGTCCGTTTTGAATTTCAACCGCAATAAGTCATACATTTTTCATTCCTGAATAGGCTTCAAGATACCATTCGATAGAGCAAAGCAAGCTCTACAAGATGGCTGTCTTGCTTTAGCAACAGCTCTAATCCACCTCGAGTTTCGAGCCAAAGACTAAAAAGATCCAACTGCCTGAAAAATCGAGAAAAATCATAACTCAGTTCAAAAGAATCCTACAAAAATTCTAACTTGCTCACGTAAACGCTGTCCACATAAGACACATATGTACGCCATTGCCGTATTTTTTCCTCTGTTAGAAATCAAGAAATCAAAAATTTCCATGCTTTTGCCAAAGTGACGCTGTGTCGTCCCCACATAAGTAGATGTGTACTACATATCTGTAGAAGTGCAAACGTAAATTTTCAGCTCTCCACAAGCTTTAGTTCTCGAGAAATATCGAATATAGCTTTCATTAGTCAGGTGGTCCAAGCTAAAATTCAAATTTCTCCAGAACTAAAGCTTGTAGAGAGCTGGAAATTTACGACTGCACTTCTACAGATTTGTAGTACACATCTACTTATGTAGGGACGACACAGCATCACTTTGGCAAAAGCATGGAAATTTTTGATTTCTTGATTTCTAACAGAGGAAAAAATACGGCAATGGCGTTTCATATGTGTCTTATGTGGATAGTGTTTACGTGAGCAAGTTAGAATTTTTGTAGGATTTTTTTGAAATGAGTTATGATTTTCTGTTTTTCAGGCAGTTGGATCTTTTTAGTTTTTGGCTCGAAACTCGAGGTGGATTAGAGATGTTGCTAAAGCAAGACTACCATCTTGTAGAGCTTGCTTTGCTCTATCGAATGGTATCTTGAAGCCTATTCAGGAATAAAAAATTTATGACTTATTGCGGTTGAAGTTCAAAACGGACATTAATTTCCGGACAACCTAATAATTCTATATCTATGGTAAGTTTATATCCAGGTTGTCGATGCTCGTAAAAACCAAAAAAAGTCTTGCTAAACACTGCAAAAATAGCTCAGTGTGACATGCATGATTACTTCAAATAGTAGATGATTACATGAGTAAGACTACCCTTTTTAATGAAATGAAAGAGAATTAAACGCACTTTCGCTAGCTGAAGCGAATCATCTTATATATAAAGCTGAATGTCTGTTTGTATGTATGTCTGTATGTCTGTCTGTCTGTCTGTCTGTCTGTCTGTCTGTATGTGTGTACGTATGTTCCGAATAGAAAATTCCATTTCTGAACCGATCCGGACCAAACTTGGCACACATACACTTCGGGCTCCGGCGGGTGTCATAGGCTATTTTTCGTCATCGATCGATATCGATTTTATCGATTTTATCGATTTTTTTTGCAAAGTTTGAGCTACGGGGCTGGGAGTTCGCACAGGGGGGTAATCGAGCATGGGGATTCCGAATACAATATTGGTATTCGGGATTATCGATTACTTTTATCGATTTTATCGATTTTTTTGCAAAGTTTGAGCTAGGGGGCTGGGAGTTGGCACAGGGGGGTAATCGAGCATGCTGATCATCCCCAAGGGGGTGATCAGCATGCTCGATTACACCCCCGTGCCAAATTTCAGCCCCCTAGCTCAAATTTTCAAAAAATCGATAAAAATCGATATAAGTAATGGACGATCTTGAAAACTAATATTGTATTCGTAATCTGCATGCTCGATTACCCCCCTGTGCAAACTCCCAGCCCCGCAGGTCAAACTTTACAAAAAAAAATCGATAAAATCGATAAAAGTAATCGATAATTCTGAAAACTAATATTGTGTTCGGAATCCCCATGCTCACTTCCCCCCCTGTGCCAACTTCTAGCCCTGTAGGTGAACTCTGCAAAAAAAATCGATAAAAATCGGTAAAATCGACATCGATCGATAACGAAAAGTGGACTGTGACACCCGCCGGGGCCCGAAGTGTATGTGTGCCAAGTTTGGTCCGGATACGGCGGAGCCGGGTAAGCCAGCTAGTTATTTATATTATTGGATCAATTCCTCATATCTTACTGCTAAGAAGAGATTGTAAAAAGTCGACGGTCTACGTCGATTTTCGCTTACGAATGGTATATGACTTGTTGGGGCATTGAGCTTTCTGGCTACAAAAAATGCTTGCCCCGACCCATAAAAGCCAATACGTTAGAGGAGCCGGGTGGAGGAGCTAATAGTAATTATCTCCACCCCATTCTCAGAAAAAACCAAGTTTTTTTTTCGCCTGGCAAACGGTATACCATTCGAAAGCATGGAAACAAGTATTCCGATTTAGGCGGTCCACTCTTTTCTAGCTTCACTCTAACGAGAGATACTCCGCATTTTATTTAGAACCATGTCCAATTTTAAAAGCAGATTTCTGCCCAGCAAAGATCTAACTACCACTGGTTATTTACCTTTATTACAGAGCAAGCCTTTAGTAATAAACGTGGACCGTCGACTTTCTCGTAGCCTTCATCTTCATTCCATTAGGAGAGCAAAAGTGAGCACACTAGATCACTTGATATTGTGGTCAGACAAAATCGATCATATTTCTCGGCCCAAAATACCCAAAAAATTTGACGGGGTTGTTCCTTCTTCATGGCCTCAGATTTTTAATGGTATGTGACTTGTTAGAGCATTTCGCTTCCAGGGCTCATTTAACTCCTTCACCCTACATGGACGAGAGTAGCGGAGACCCCCTCTATCTAGAGAGGGCCCGACTTCCTCTGTCGCACCTATGGGACAGAGTAGAGTAGACGTAGGACTTGCCTTTCTATTCAGCGAGTAACACTTGTGGAATCGTCGACCGCAAGACTAGTCGTAGATTGCGGAGCACGCGCCGCGCTGTCAAAACGTCTGTTTGCATGGATTTCTAGGTGAAGGGATTTTGCATGGTGGGGTCTGTACTAGTACGCGGTACTATTCCACTTAATACGGCCCAGAAATTGAAAATCGCGGGTTTTGCTGAAAATTCGCTTAGGGAGGTTATGCGACCTGTTGATTACGAAAATGATATATATTTTGCATGGTGGGGCCCTTTTTAAAGGATTACGGTAGGCATGCGGTATGGCTGAAAATCCCAGAATTCGCTAAAAACTTTGTATAGAGAGGTTATAGGACATGCTGATCATAAATGCCACACTTTCTCCGCACGAAACCCTCTCCTTGTATGGCTATGGTAGGTACACGGTAAGGGGTCAAAACCGGTCTGCCTGAAACTTTGTGCAGGGGTGTTATCCGATGTGCTGATCACAAAATCGCGCTCATGTCGTTTACAAAGCCTTTTCGCAAACTTTTGAGATTTTGATTGGACTGAAAAGCGGGGAAAATGCTTACCTAAACGCTGCAAATCCATAACTCCACAATATGGCGTTGTTACAGCCTACAAGCCCGATACTCGTTATCAGCATGCTTGAAAACCCATCTAGGCAAAGTTTTGAGCAAATTTGGAATTTTCACCTGTCTGGTAATTCCGCACAAAATCAATATGATATTCATGTTGTGGGTGCTAAATACCCTCCCAGACCAGATACCAGCTAAACCTAAATTCTTACCCCCTATCGTACACCTACCGCGACTACACAAAAGGACCTTCTTGTGCCGAAAAAGAGGGATATTTGATCAGCATGTCGAATACCCCCCCCCTCCCCCTACGCAAAGTTTTAGCAAATTCTGGGATTTCCATTCTATGTTGTATGCCTAACAAATTCCTCAAAAAAAGGCCCCACCATTCGAAATGAATGTCAATCGGCAGGTCGAATAACCCCTCTAGGCGGATTTTCGGCGAAATCCACGAACTTCAGTTTTTGGGTTTGCTTTAGGTGAAATAGCGCCGAAGAAACTTTTGCAAAAGTTTCCTGTTTCTATGAGGAAGACTTTTTGCCGACGATGCATGTCGCGCTCTATTCGGGATCATTCGGCCCAAAGTCAATTAACATTTTCGTTTTGAATTGTGGGCATCAGCTGTTTCTGTTGCTTATGTGGAAAATGTCGTGTGTTCTTTCATTCTTGCATCTTATCTGTTCATAGACAACACTTCGAAGTAATTTTGAAAATTTTCAGATTTCTTTGATGAGGCTGAGGTGTCGGACTTCCTCATTTATCTTTTTGCTACTGTCTTTGTTTCACCACTGCTTTTCAACGGTTATTTGTAAGCCAAAAGGTAAGTTCCTTCACTATTGAATGACTTTTAACATTTTAAGGGTTTCGAAAATCAGAGCGGATATTTTTGTAAGATAAAGACGCATGAGATAATTAGGAGTGTACAAATTTATTGACTTGCAAAATCAGTCTACTAATACCATTTGATATAAGTGAAAATCTTGATAGTTTGATCTTGCAGAACTCGAGAAATCACGATGGATTGTCCCAGCAAAGTCATCGAATGACTTGGATTTATACGTTCATCGAGGGCTGGAATATAACCCTTCAAGAGCCTTCAGTGACATTTTGTTATTACTAAACCTTACTGATAGCGATACGTACGATCTTTATAAGGTGAGTAATCGTATATCATTTGTTATTTGTGTTTTGTGTGATAAGCCTTACTGTGAACTTACGGTTTTACCATATGCATTTCGTTTATTCCTCAGTAGACAATTGCAACCTTGATATGATATGCGAGAACAATGTTTCCGTTTAGAATGGCAGGTAAATCTTTAGTCGAAGTTAACTTTTTATAGGACACCTATAGCGCCTTGAAGAACGTTGAACGGTAATTCCAAATCTGTTTTTCTTTTTCGGAACATCTCCAAAGAAATCATGAGTGTTTGAAAGTCCAGATTTGTCAAACCTCAAGGGGCGTGTATGAAAACACTTGTGCAGATTGCCGCAGGCTATGCTATTTCTTTATAATCAGTGTGTTTGATACAAATTTGATTACCTACTTTCAGTTGTTTTTGTACAGTTTTTCGCTAATTTTTCACCACGAGTGAGAAAGATTCGGGCTTTTGAACACTCATGACTTTTTTTCGAGAAATGTTTTGCAGAAAAGGAAAGCAGATTTGGAATCAGCGCCCAAAGACGCGTCTAGTGATAAAGGTGTCATGTGGGAAGGCCACTTCGACTAAAAAACTTCCCTTGTTGGATCTGAAATTTTGACGCTTATCGTATGCCCACCGTAACCCTACAGGCTCCAAATAATTCTTTGGTTCTTAAGTGTATGTTTTTAGGGTGACAACTGCAGTGTCGTAGAAAATGACTACCTCGCCGATAATCGTATGTTCGGTCTACTAAAAGGAGTCAATCTATGGAAGAGTCATTACTTGAATGTGTTCAATGACACAGTTGTTGGAGTCGTGACACAACTTCCATACAGCGTACAAGCTAAAGTTTTGAGTAAGTGTCATTTTACTTAAGTTCCGGTTTTTCTGTTGATTTTCGTCTACTTTAGATGTCAACTACATTCGTTTTGGTGCTTTTGTAGCTGGTATATTATTATTTCTCTTTGCTCGAAGTCTAGCCAGAAATGCGCTCTTTTTCTATGGAACTGGTTGTTCCTTTGGCTTACTTGCTTCTCTACTTATCATTGTATTTGTTCTATACAGATTTGCTCCAAAGGTTTGTCATTTGTTAATTTATCTGTGGTATTTATGCTGAATGATTTCAGAAGTTGATAGGTTTACCAATCCTTGTTGGTGGATGGTCACTAGCAATGTACATGTTGCATTTCGCTTGGAAAAATTTCGCATCTCTCGCAGCACAATATCAGAAATATTTTGTTGCGTATGTCGTAAGTACCAATCGAGTTGATAAATTCGTGGTAGAAGGATTTATTCTTAGGCTACTGTCACATTGATCTCTTTGGCTGTCTGCTACAAAAAGGGCCCACCAAAGGATGCACGATCATTGGATCTTGCCCAGTGGGCAATGCAAGCTGTGGCTCTTTTGCTCATCTACGCGTCGTCCCAGGTATCTCAAGCACTTCATCTTGTTTCGTTGAACTCTGTTCGCATTTTTCAAGTTTATTTCCAAATTCTGCGACGATTTTTTTGATTATATTGTGGCATATATACTCACAGCCCTCGTTTTTATCTTATGTAGCATTTTTCCTGGCTCACATCAGTTCCAAGCTTTCCCGTACCATCGCCTCACATAATGAACAACCTGATTTGCGTGTAATTTTATTTTCTGAATCCTGTTTAACTGCCCCAGAATCGTTCTTTAGGTTCAAGAAGTTTCAGTGGGGGTCATCGCACTCCTTCTCCTGCATCAGTTCACAAGATCTTGGCTAGGTTCATTTCTTCGAGGCATTGGTGCAGTTGTTGGGTACTTCTGGTAAGTCATGCACAACTGTTTGGCATGGAATTGTTGTATTTTTTTCATTTAGGAGAAAGCTATTCCCTCCAAGGCGACGTCTGCTGACTAGGGAAGAGTATGAAAAAGAGGGAAGAGAGACTACAAAGCGAGAATTAGAAAAGCTACGGCAGTACTGTCGCAGTCCTGATGCCGATGTGTGGAAAATCACTAGCAAAGTCAATGATCCGAGGAGGTAAGTCGATTTCATTCAAAAGTGGAGACGGTACTGAATTCTTTGGAACATTACCCTGCCTGATTAGTTTTTCTTAGTTTTTCATCTGACTTTCCCTTCCTTTGAAGGTTTGCCCGCTTCATTGATGGTAAAGAGCAGCATGTGCTGGAAGAAGAAGAGGAGATGTACGAATCAGACGCAGAATATCTGGATCGGTATGATTTATTGCGTTTCCTTGCTTTACGTTTGAGGCAGCGTTCGGGTTTCTTAATGGGGAAACTGATGAGATAATAGAGCTTTTTGAGCTGGCAGTTCCTATGATACTTAATGGTATAGAGATTCTGCGCTGAAGATAGTTATCGTTTATGAAAAAGGTTTTTCGTTCAGTACCGTATATACTTTCCTGGTAGAACAATCAGTTTCGTCTACGGTACTGCGCGAGAATTTGGGAGTTGAACTCGGCGCCGAACCTGTCATATGAGCTGCCGCTTGGGCAATGAGTAATTCCTCTCATCTCATTGAACATACAAAAAGATCAGGTACCCGGACCTAAGCACTGCCTCTAAATTAATGTATACTTGCAGCGATGAAGAAGAAGATGATGATGATATCGGAGAAGATTCGGATAGTCATAATCAAAGAAGCAGACAGTATTCCAGTCAACAGTATCATGACGAGGATGATGGTGGTGATTGGGAAGAAGAAGTGGTCATCAGGCGAACACCTCGAAATCGACCCGAAAACGTTGTTGTATTCAAGAAGTAAGTTTATTGTAGTTAGCAGTTTCATTAACCTGATATCATATCCCCCAACTCTCATGCGCTGCGTTATTTTACATTGTTAAGTTGTCGTGATGCTTACTGTGTACTAGAATTTCTTCTCCAACAGATCTTCATCCAAGCGACCTGATTTATCTACCCCAAATGGATCGAAATGGAAGGAGTACACACCTCGAGCAAATACTTCCTACTACCGAGATAGCCCTCGTTCTCAGAATTCTTCTCGTTATACTTCACCGATGTCAGCAAATAAGCGCTATCAGAAAGGGTGAGTAACAGCTTTCTGCTTTTATTTCGTGATCTATGATGCGTTCTCCAGATTGATGAGAGATAGAGACGACATTGAATATGAGTCACCTTTTGGTCGAAAGAATAGGAAGCAAGAGTCAAAGCCAGTGCAAAAGTGAGTTACTCATGAAGTGTTTATGTAAATTCACATTTGAGACATACTTCTTAGGCGAGTTGAATCGGCCAGCGAGTTTCTCAGCTCCGATTCTGATCAAGATTTACGAGAGGAGGACTTCTATCCCAGAGGAAAATTCGACTACGAACGCGATTGATCGAAGGTATTTGGATAACTAACAGTGTTGTGTGTTTTACTTTTCTAGTGTGTATTGCTGTATGATTTTCTCACTCACTCTGTCTACTTCTCTACTTCGCTACTTGGTACTGTATTAGTTTTCAGGTAATGATTTTTTGCTAAGCTTGCTCTGTTACATTTCTCAACCTCATCTTTATAACAGTGCTTTCTACGAAGCAAATTTCGCATAATGTAATATATACTTCGTTAGTCGTCTCATAAAAAGTGACAGTGTAATCAGTCGTATATTTATTTTAATAAGAAGGCGGAATGAGGAAGCGCTAAGAAATATTACGCTAGTTTTTGCTTGGTCCACCGCTTTTGTCTGAATAACCCTTTCAGCAGTAAAAAATCTCTTCCTCCTCTTTTCCACATGCTTTGTTACCCTACTGTATCTTTCAGGTCTTGTTTTATTGCATGCCATTTTGCATTTGCCAGCTTTTGTGCTCATAATTCATTCATTTATTACTCTTTTTGTCACCTTAGTTGTACGAGTTGAACATATATGTAAGTGTCCTTTCATACGTGTTTTTTCTACGAGGATCTCAGTTTTGTGCTTACCTTCTCTGAATAAATCATAGCGTGTAAAAGTTTGTTTAGTTTATTTGCCAGCAGTCTTATCTTTTGTAATGGTTATCTCATTGCGTGCAAGTGATAGTGGCCTACTATTGTAAAGCGATCAGATCAAATTGAAGTTTGACGGGGACGGTCCCATGAAAATTGGAGATTTGATAAGATTTAACATTGCGGCAAAGAAGCCTTCGATTTGTTCGAGTTTTCCGGAGAAGCTGAGAAGATATACAGACCACTCCGTACCCTTATGGTCCCCTGCAAATCGGCGCGTGATAGTTATTATCTCATGTTTATGGAGGAATTATAAGCGTGAAAAACTACATCATTTTATCCCTACCATTCTAGCAGATAGGCGAAATTTAGGCTTGTCACTAAAGGCAGTGTCTTGGCAGAATTTCGTTTTCCAGTTCTTTCGGAGTCTTGTCGCCATGAGGAATCCATTTCTAGGCTTTCAGCGCATGAAAACCGAGAAAATGTGCTTTTTCCGAAGCTTTCCAGGCCCGCATTTAGTGAAGATACGCCGGAAAAAGCCGCGCTCCGCTTCTCTCGTTCGTCTCGCCCACTTCTCCATTAAATGCGGACCTGGAAAGCTTTGAAAAAAAGCTCGTTTTCGCCATTTTCATGCGCTGTAAAGTCGAGATATTGGTTTCTTCTGGCGAGAAGACTCCAAAAACGTGAAAATCTGGAAATGAAATTCTGCCGAGACTCTGCCTTTATCCAGGATGAATCATGAAAAAAATATTTAGTTTTTATAAAGATATTTACTGCTAGTAGGTACGATAGGTGTTCTGAAATTCGGCTGTCGCCTCAGTCGAACGCAGAAGTATAGTTGCAGTTTTCTGCTGCGATGCGGCACTGGATCACCTACCCTATACTTACCGTATACCTACCGTACCGAGGCAGTTCACTATGTTGAAAAAGATGTTGTACCGTAAGTCGAGTAGTCATGGATCACACAAAAATCAACCAATGGAATGACAGTTAAGAGATACAGTTCTGAAAATTTTTTCTTAATAATCAATATTATTTAGTGCGAAATATCGTTACCTATAAATGTCAAAACATGAAGATTGTTGGGAGTTCTAAGAAATTGCAGATCCAATAGTCAACAGCGCCTTCCCACGAAGTGGAGGCGAGGAAGTGAAATTTCTGCTATTCAAATGATCTTTGACTACTTAATCACTAGCAAACCTATTGCAGACGGCAACAAAAGGGGCCTAAAACAGCTACGTAGTTGGCCCATTGTTGGGCACTCAACTATGACCCACGATTTGATGCAATTAGAGTGCAGTCTGCGTGGACTTGCTCTCGACCTTTGGAACTTTGCGCCTACACACTTGAGCCAGGTAAATGCTTTGTTTTCGCAACATTCCGTAAGTGGCAAAATTAAATAATTTTGCAGTTTCATTTTAGTCTCCACCCACGATTATCTAATGAAAAATAGAGATAATGAAGCGTCATTATAGTATCAGTATGGGTTTCATCGCGCCCACGCACATTCATCTTTTTCTTCAAATAAATGCTCTATTAACAAAGATGGAAGCTTTGTGTCCTTTAGAATGTTTTATATAGTGCGTGGGCTCAGCAGAGAATTTCATCTGACAATGAGAGCTTTTGATCTTATATCAACGCCACAATCAATTTTGAAATTTTGGAAATATCTCGATCAAGATGCTTGAACCCCTGTCTTCCCTGTTGAACTTAGTGTGGCGCCCCCCCCCCCCTAAAACGCGCTGAATTTTTTCGAATAGGGTGTTTTTAAAAGTACGAGTGACTGTTTGATATTACTCTTTTGCCTTGAAGTCTCTCGAGATGCTTGGTTATTACTTTGTAGGGCTGGCTTCAATTCAAATTGACAGCACAGAACAGACCACTAATCTCTCTTTGCTACTGTATGACTACTGTAGGAAATTCCAACATTTTGCACCTTTATGAATTAGCCGTGTTTGGAAAATTTTAAAAAAATCGGAATGTTTGAAACAAAAAATCAAAAAAATTTGAAAAGTTGTATAGCAATTTTCCCATCAACACTGTTTCACTACTTGTCCTTTTAACAAGTCTGGAACGCTATTTGAAAGTGTATTTTTATAAATTGTGAGGATTTGTTATGGTATTCGTGGCAAAACTTATAGAACTGTACGGCAAAGTGCAAAGTTCATATCTTATATCAGGTGACCTATTAGCTTAGTGTAGAATTTTGGATTATTTGATTTGCTTCCTGAGGCAAAATAGGGCCCCTAGGGGTTCAAGATTCTCTCTGAGATTCATACCGTAATCCTACAGTAATATACATCATTGTCTCATCATATTGAAAATTAAGTCAGTTCTACAATAGTGTTTGAAAACCGCGAAAAACTTTTATACGAATAGATCAACGGTCAGTCGTTAGAAGCTTTTTGTGCACCCTGCATATCTTAACGGATATTTTTATCAACTGTTTTTATACAAAAATTACTGCTAAACTTATGTGATTTGTTGCTATACAATTGAAAAGTAATAATACAGGATGACAATGTACACTATAATCTCCCCCCCCCCTTCCTCTTCCCATCAAAACCCATTAGTCGGAGATCAGCTTATCCTCATCACTTGTGGGAGGACACAGAATGCCAGGAAAGGCTTGAAGTGGGCTAGTACACTTTGTGGTCTCGTGACTATATGAGAAATTTTGTCCTAAATAAATATAATCGAAACAAAAGTTTCTCACCTTCCACAGCAAAATATAATCTTTGTTTTTTTTTCGAAATTTTCTGCATGTGTTTTAGGTGAACGGCGTACTTTCATTTCATTTCTCATTCCCTTCTTTCTACGACTCTCACGTTTAGGAATTAAAAATAACAGTAAGTCTTGTCAATCTCAGTACAAATATTTTTCAAAACTGAAATTTTGTAAGAAATTCTTTAGGGTTTATTGCTGCAGAATGTCGCAATTTTTCAAATTTATACCGTACCGATTTTAGGATATGATTTTCTACCCACCACTTGCTCTCTTTATTGTTTTTAACTTAACATTCATTAAAATTATTTTTCCCCAATCTATCGCAAAGTGGCATACATTTATAGCACAGTGGGAAACGTTGACACTCAAAAAAAACATTATAATAAATTTAAAAATTGTTTAAAATTTTCAACCGCAAATTTTTATAATTCAAAACCTTTCTGTAATGTTGTAAGCTGAAAAAAATCTCGAAAAATCTGAAAAATAGCTGTTGATTATCTAGCCAAGGAATGTCTGCCATGTCAAAGCCTCCTCTGTCCCTTGCTTGCTTCCTCTTCCCCTTCCTCCCCTCCCTCCCTTTGCACTTCTAACATAATCATCATTAATCTCATTTATCAGAGAAAATGTGCCCTGACAGCAGTTGCATGTGCTATAAAATGTACTTAGAACAAGAATCACTGAATATCATATGACACAGCAAACGCTGTAGTCGCTGCATGTATGCCACGACGCGTCTTCAACCCTATGTTCAGACGGCCATCGTTACCTCCACCTCTCAAACCCAGACCTATTCATCTGATAGTAGGTATGCTTTAGGTGCAGTTGATGAGCTTGTTGGAACTGAGCACTTTTTTGCATTCAAAAACTAGATACTTTGCATTTGAATAGACTGATTCAGCTCTAAATAGTCGCGCTTACTTCGAAACACTTCTTCAGTAGATAATAAAATAATGATCATGCATATATAACAATTTACCGAATGCAAAAAAGGGTCTTTGCACATCTCATAAGTAGTAAGGTTATTGAATCATTCAAGTGGGTTGTTTTCCTACGCAGTTATATGGGTTGGAAAGAAAAGAGGAAATAGTTTTTTCTTCTGTTCTTCAAATCAAATTTGATATTTCCTGAGAACTGACTCTCGTAGAAGGCTGAAAATCTACGACTGTACTTCTCAAGCCAAGTGGTATAGAATCACTTACTCGGGAGCAATCTAACATCATTTTGACAAGAGCATGTAAATTTCAAATTTCTCGCTGTCTAATCATGGAAAAACACAGCAACTGCGCTTATTAAAATGTTTGAGTGGGATGTATGCCCATGAGCAAATTGGGGGTCCGTGACATTTGAACACGTTTTTTTATTTTTCGGCCCTTGGAACTTTCTAGATTCGTCGAACTTCATATGGATCACTTGGTGCAAAATGCTAAAGCCATTTTGTAGAGCTTGCTTAGCTCAATCAAACGATTTCCCATACAATTTTGATTTGCCTTGTTGCGAAGACATGACGAGTAAAAAAGCGAAATTTTTTTCGTTCCATAATATTCGTGTAAAAATTGAATAATTTTGGAATGAATTTTTTATCTGAGACTTTTATAAGCTTCTCTTATTCCAATAAAAATTTTTGTGAAGGCCGGGACCAACATCACTTTGGAAAGTGTTTTTTCGTACTCCTTCCGCTTCGTAAAAAAAATTTCTGCCTTCGCTGTTGCACTTTAGAGCGATCAGTGGCGAACAATGTTGTCAGTATAATCTAGCTCAGCAATTAAGCAGATTCCTATGGTTAAGCGAAACATAAGAATGTTAACGTTAGTCAGGGCTCGGCACAGGTGGCTTACAAGCAAGCTGGATATCGTTTTTGGGACGAAAAGCAAAGGGGGTTTCGTTTCTGTGACCGAAGAGACGCAAAATTGGCGACGTTTTTTTTTAGTCGACGTTTCGTTTTTTTTGGGGGGATTTTCCAGAGTTTTAGAGGAAATTTGGTTGAGGGTCAAAGGGACTTCGTAAAAATTCCCAAAAGTCACGGGGACTTCGTTTTTTTCCATTTTCATCTAGCCACCTCGTGCCGAGCCCTGACGTTAGTGGTCAAAGCGTATTTTAACACATTATGAAGAAATTTCATTTTAGTTGCTCGACTTCAGTTGTTCTGCATAATGAGTTTTTTCCGCTGATTTCGTTAGAAGATGGATAGGTTCAAAACCGACACGAGAGTCTCAGAATGATAACACCAATTATTGGAAGATGGTGCCCTTCCAAATTGATGCCTCTGTTCAGCATGCTTCAAAGAATTCAAGAGACCAGGGAATGGAATTTTACGTCATTACTGGGCTAAAAAATAATTTGGTTTTGGCATGCAAATCCTCACGAAAACTTTCCTTTTTGTTTTTATCATGATTTTTTGAGGGAAAGTATTAAACTTCCACTATTATATATGACTAGGCAGTCTTTGCTAACAGCAAAGAACAGTTATGCCCTAATGTGACCAAATTTCCAAAAGCTTAGCTCATTGAATTTCTGAGCTTCTTTTCATGCTGCGATGGTGTAGAGATAAGTGATTTGGGATCTGTAAACGCACAAGTTTTTCTCATCTGCCCATAAAAATTGTGATCTGCCTTCTTGAAATTCTTCAATAAGAATAACGGAATTCCACATTTGCAGATAATGAAAAAGCTGGATATCTCACTTTTTTGCCTCTTTTCTTTGTAGGGAAACAAACTCTACCCAAGCAGATTATACATTCCAGTTCTCGCTGTACTCCTTCCAGAAATATCAAACACTAGACTGAAATTTGCCCACATTATTTGTGGGAGCGGCAAAAGCGACCAAATTTATACAAAAAAAGTTTTGTTAATAATTAAGCGACCGAAGTCATCTTCTGTTTGATTACTTACTTATTTATTCACACCGCGAGAGCTCTCATCACAAAGTCAGAATTAAGCAGTATACTTATATGTATTTAATGAGAAAGTGGACAAGTGAAAAACGTCATTTCTTAGGCGAGAAAAAATAGGGAAAAGGATCTCGAAAAAATTTTTGACCTTAAATTTTGATTTTCATTGTACTTACAGAGTTTTCAACAAGTGGTTGTCTTGGTTTCTGCATTTTCTTACTTACAAGGGAATGGTCAGAATTCGAAGTGGCCAAACCAAACAAGCTGTATACCATTCGATGCAGTATAAAACGCTGACTTCGAATCTGTCTTTCTTATCTGCTTCTCGCTTCTGTGGACAAAGCTACAAGCCATTAAAGACCATTATTTTGCTAAGAAATTACGCGTGAAATTGAAAATTTAGCCGTGCAGAGCCACGTTCGCCTTAGCGCTGGGCCAAAACATGCAGCTAGTTTACTTCAAATTTTTGAAGAAAGAAGCTGAGCTAAGAGCGCAACAGTGTGCTCAATTTCGCTGTTTTTATGTGCGATTTTTTCACAATAAAATCGCTTGTAGCTTCGTCCACAGAAGCGGGAAGCAGATAAGAAGGACAAATTCGAAATCAGCGTTTTACACTGCATCGAATGGTATACAGCTTGTTTGGTTTGGCCACTTCGAGTTCTGACCATTCCCTTGTTAGGTACCATTATTTATGATTGCCAAGCTCCAGCAGGTCATCGTCAAAACACAGGCCGCGCTGAA